GCATAACAAAGATTTTAGCTTTTTGAATGCAGCATTGCATTCCAGCATCCACTGGTAGGACACCCCTTTCTTTGTGAGGTCATGGAGTGGACATGTGACACTTGAGAAGGAAGGGATGAATTTGCAGTAGAAGTTGCAGAATCCCAGGAATCTGTGAAGCCCAGTAAGATTGTCAGGGGCTTCCCATGTACTGATGGTGTTAGTCTTCATTGGTGAAGTCTCCATATGCCCCTTTCTGATAATCATTCCAAGGAACTCAATTTCTTTGGCCTCGAAGACACACTTGCTGATCTTGAGGCATAGGCCTTCCTTGTTGCATATTTTCAGGAACTCACGGACACAAGCCTGCAGTTCTTCACATGTTTTAGTGTGTATAGCAATGTTGTCCATATATCTGACTTGCTTCCCTCTTTGAGACTCGAAGGTCTTATCCATATACCTTTGGAAGGAAGGAGGTGAGTTGCACTGTCCAAAGAACATTACTGTGGGTTCAAACAACCCCCTGGGCATAATAAACACCCCTTTCCACTCGTCTCCTTCTCTTACTCATAGGTTAGTAAAGCCCCAACGAATATCAAATTTGGCATAATATTTCGATTCAACAAGCTCATCAAACAGAGCCTGCACATTCAGCAAGGGGTGTGCATCCAGGATGGTGAATGAATTAAGGTAGCAGTAATCTTGTATAAGCTGCTTCTTCCCATCCTTCATGACGAAAAACACCAGAGCTGCTTGAGGCAAGGTTGATGGTCAAATCTTTTTGCATTTGAGGTTCTCTTCCAAGAATTCATCTAAAACTTTAAGTTCATCAGGAGACATTGGGTATACCGCTGCTTTCTTCAGTTTGAAGTCTTCACAAAGTCTGATCTCATGATCTAATCCTGGCCAATGTGCTGGGAGTGGGATATTGTCTTCTGCAAACACCTTGGCAAACTCCTTGTAAATTTCTGGAAGTCTAACTTCCTCTTTGTTGACTGCCAAGGTGGCTTCCAATTCGGTGGACAGAGTAGTTTTGTTAATAACAATGGGGGTTTCACCTGTTCCCTGTTTTACCACTTCCGGGGGCAGACTGGAAGATTCCTTCTTACTGCCCATGTTGTCCAATGACACTGCCTGTTTAACATAATAGTCAGACCCTTCTGGGTATATGTACCCATCATCCCAACATGTAATTTTCCTGGTCTCCCAATTCATCCTAGGTTTGTATTCCCTAAGGAAGGGCATTCTGAGAAGGACATGTTCCTTCCCAACAAGCAGTCTGACATAACATTTGACCTGAATTATGCACTCCTTGATTTCCATTTTCAGGGTTACCCTGCGGGTGACCCACTTGACATCTTTTCCAGTAAATGAGGTGGTCTTGAACTTGCTCTTGACATGATACATTGGGATTCCAAATTTCTGGACCATCCGTTCCGAGATGAGGGAAACTTCAGTGCCTGAGTCAATACAGGCCCATATTCCTGCTTTGAAGTCTGGTAAAATGACCAACCCGAGAGGGGAACAAATTCACATATTCAATTCATCATCTATAGAAGTACATTTAGTGGACAGAATAGCAATGGGACTGACTGATGCAGGAGATTCATCAGTCCCCTTTAAAAACCCAACAGCTTCTTTTCCTCATCACTCGCTTCACAATCTCTGACATAGGCAGTCTTTGTTCCATCCTCCAAGAGGACTATGCGAACATTGGAAAGCTGGGTTTTAACCTTGACTTTACAGTCATGCTTGTAGTGACCATCAGCTCCACAATTGAAGCACTTGATTTCTGATCCGGAATGTCTAACATTCCTTTTGCATTTGTCAATGTCCATCACATCAGGATCTCAGGAACCTCCACAGTAATGAATGAACTTTCTTTCATACTGAGATTCCTTCCCTTCTAGGATATGTTTGGTAGTGATGGCTGTCCTAGCTTCTCCCGTGCACTGTATCCACTCTATGACTGTGGTAGGGGTGCGTCCAGAATTCAGGATCCAATCACAGTACTCCTTACTCAACCCTTTTCCAAAGAAGATCCCTGCTTCATGTGATTCTTCTTTGAGTTGAGCCTTGTTAACAAGCCCCATAAACTTGGCAATGTATGCCTCAAGTTTGCATTTGTCTTGGCAAATGTCTGAAAGGCATAAGATTGCAAGAGCAGTCTGATCGCCAGACTCAAAGGTAGCTTTAAGACATTCCATGAACCTTTGGAAGGTGTCCATGTAGTAGATTGTCCTGTTGAGAAGCTTGTTTTTGTTTTGATAATTTTCAGCAAAAGAGACTGCAGTGCCTTTGGTCATATAGGTGAGTGCAAACGAAATCTTGAGCAACTCTGTGTTGTACACATGCTTGTTCAGGTTCAAATAACCTTCAACCTGCATAATCCAGGTCTGAAGCCCATTGTGGCTTCCATCGTATTCTCCGGGATGCCTGACATTAAACTCCTGACCTCCATTGGGTGGGTGGCAATCATATGTGTCATCAGGATTGGCTGGGGCCTTACCCTTACTGGACCCTCTGATGGGGACCTCTGGGGGAATTACCTTTCTGAAGTTTCTCTGATACCAATCACATAATGCTGAGTCCATAGGCATTCCTGTTGGAAAGGGGTCACTACTCCGGGCATGCATAGCTCTTCAAAGCTCTTCTGCCATAGCGAGCCTTTGATCTTCCAACCTCTGTCTCAGCTCCTCTTCTGAGAAGGTCCTTTGAGGCATCTCAGGAGCTGACTCTCCATGACTGACTGTCATAGACATTGTGGGTGATTTGTGAGCTTCTTGTTCTTCTTTGAGGACTGATCCAAATGAAGTATCCAACTTCTGATCGTCTTCTTCTTCTGAACTAAGTGCAACTTCCAAATCCCTAAACCGGGATAGATAGGATAACCAAGGGTTTGTTGCAGTAACCAAGGGTCTGAGCCTTCCTAAAGGGATCAGCAGCAAGGGAGGATTCCTTCCAAGTCCAAGAGGGTTAGGTCTAGGAGGGACAGGGGGTCTCGACTTCTGCAGGTTAGACACTTTAACGAGAAGTGATAATGAAGGCTGAGGGAGGATTTATTTCTCAAAAGAAACCTGTCAGTGTAGGTTTGTGGTGGTGTGCAAGTGGCTTTACATGTAGGGAGACATGAGCGCTGGCTCTAGGGAGGCAATCTATTAAAGCCTAATGGCTGCCTGTAGAGCAGTGGACTTGATTGAGGGTAGAGGGGTGCTTCTCAATTTTGTTACACTTTATTGAAAGTGGTTGAGAGGCAAGGACAAAGGTGAGTTAGTCTTTACACGTAGGGAGATGCAATGAGCCTTGTGCATGGTAGAGTTGGTTTGTTGAAGTTCAGTAACCAGGGATGAGTAGACTTTCGCGAAGAGGTCGACAAGTCCTGAAAGCTGCATGGAGTTTTTCGATTTTGTTATGCCCGAGTGTGGTGACTTCTTCAAATGGAATAGGCATGAAGCATGCAAGGGGGAGTCTATGGGCTGAACTTGTCATAACCCCTATGGCTCAGTTATCTCTGAGGTCCGACAGAGGTCTTGTCTACTGGTGAGTCCCTAAGGTTGTTCACACAGAGAGAAGACAAGGACAAAAGAGAAGGAAGTTAGCTGAGTTGCAAGCTATCGAAAAACTGCAGATACAGGACAAAGTACATAGGTTTATATACCCCTAAGTATGAGCACCGTAGCAGTTGTGATGTGACACATATCCACAGTAATCAACAATACAATCAGTCAAATAAACAAATGGAAGGAGTCATACAGTGTCATATAATGGGGGTAGGCAAGGCAGCAATGGCTATACTGGATGTGCAATCAATGCACAGTGAGGAGCCTGACACTGGAACTATAATACAACATGTAAGCAATAAAACTGAGTCATATGGAACAAGAAAGAAACAAGTTGTCCATCAGAGAGGGTGGTGGAATACCGGATCAAGGGGAGGCGCAGTCTTGACAGGTATTGGAAATACCATGACAGCGGGAGATCCGAACAACCCCTGGAGCATGTGAACTCCCAAGACAGTGATGATTATTAGAGACACAACTAGGTACATGGCACATGTGACTGTGACTAGTCAAAAAAGGAAAGACCCCCTAGTTCATGTGTTGCATGCAAGAACATGACAGAAAGATTCTGAAGTGCATCAGGAAATTAACACTTCACTATTTTTGACCTTTTTGTGACTCTTTTTGACTTTTTTGTGACTGTTGTGACTATTTGTGACCTTTTGGGAAGGAACCTACTATCTGTACTTTTTTTTTGACCATATACAGCATTTTGAAGAATGAAAAGAGAACAGAGTCTATTGAGACAACTAAGTGATGATATATCTAAGCCAAGAAGACTAGAAAATGTCTGAAAATTCAGAGATATTGAGCCATTGGTGTGATGCACACTGTCTGAGAGAAAAATCACAATATCTCTTTGGAACCTCCATCAATGCAGCCATGCCTGCAGGATGTGGGTAATGATAGTAGATTCCTCCCCAAAAAGTCACATTAGTCACAAAAAGTCAAAAATAGTAAAGTGTTATTTTCCTGATGTGTTGTCACTATTGGATGTTCACATGCAAGTCCAGAAATGAAAAGAATTTCTGTGGTGAGTTGGTTCCCACGCATTTTATGAACCTGGTAGAAACCTTGCAAGCAAGGTAATTGGCATGGAACGCGGACAGGACCCATTAATAATGGATTCTAGTGAATAGGGATAGTGTTGTCTCTTGTGCAGTACCTCAATATCACTAAAATTCAATGTCATTGGTTGAGGGATTGTCGATTGGCACTCAGTGCCTGGCCTAGGAAGCTGTAACTCTTAGTTGTATTATGCGGGCTGGACCTGAGGGGAGCACATGTGTACATATAGAGGGATAATCAGACCCGGAGTGTTGGACTTGGACTTGCCAAGGTTGAGGATGGCTATCATCAATCGTTGTCTACTATTTTCTAGCTACCCACCGAATGCATCACATAGATCATGCCACTGCAGCGCTTGAATGAATGAAAGCTACCTATGTCTTTGTTGACCACAAGAATTACATCGATAAAAATACCTGACGCAACAAACACTACATCATGATGTCGATGGCATTCCCAATAAACCAACCTCGCTCTCGCCGTGTTCCCGCCACCACCTCTCAGCTTCTTTGTCGGCATCATACCTAAACTGGATTGCTTCCCTCTCTCTATCCGGCTGGTTCGCATTGCCGATAACGTTCGTGTCAGTACCAACAGGTGCTCCGCCACGAGCTGCTCTTAGCGAGTCTTCCATGGCAGCGTGCACCTGCTCATCATGTTGTTCTTGTTCCCGGTCATCAGAAAGATGGAAGGGGGTCCTACGAAGGCGGGAGAACGCTTGCGTGTTAGTCGCCCGGTCATAACGGATTGCTTCGTAAGCGTGAAGGAGAGGGGCAATCTGAGCACGGGAAAACAAGCGGGAGAACAGGTTCCCAAGGACCGCGGCATCTTCGATCTGACCGCAGGTAAAAATTAATTTAGCATATTCATAAGAGAGGTTTCAGACCAACGAGAGTTTGCGAAGAAATCTGTTGGACTCACAGCCATAGCCGCCCCTTGTGCACCGTAAGGCTGTACGAGACCGTGGAAAAATCAAGTCAGCTAGATCAGTGATAAACACATTCATGGCCTGGACTCTCACAAGCACGGGATGGCAAGCGTCGCCAAGAAGGGTAAGTTTGCCGCCCTTGTGTACCCAAGTTTCTAAAGGTGCGTGGTCCATCAATCTCCATTTGATCGCTGAAGGGATGAGCGAAAGGAGTTTCTGGATGCTGGTTTCCCGACAAGTGGAAGAGACCTCAGAAGGAGAAGTAATCAGACTTACCGTGGTTCCCAGCCTACAAACTCCTCCTTCACCCTATCGGAACTCTCCTCTATTTTCCAGGGCCCTTCAGGGTCTTGGTCGGGATGGCACATGACCATGTTGTACTCCTTCATGCCTCGCTGTTGAAAGCAAATGTCAGATTATCAAGGCAGCCGAGAAGGAAGGGCAGAGAACGAGTTCTGACAATGTTGTATGCTACGATGCGTCGCTGTGGGCCAAACCATACAACCATCTCCGGTGTCTCAGCAAGGACCCTTAACTCTGGGTCTGCAAGGAGCAATTCGGTAGGTAACACGGCGCGGTAGGTTGCGTCACCCGACGGGGTTCGTTCGTCCGGCCTTCCAATGACATACTGACGAGTTACGCTCCACAAACCGTCTGCACCGACTACCAAGTCGGCACGGACAACTTCACCAGATTTTAGCGTCAAACTGGGTACGGATGGGTCCATGGCAACAACCCGGCAATTCGTTCGGATGGTGACACGTGGCTCTGCGAGATCATACAACATGCGATGCAGATCAGCTCTCTTTAATGTCGTCAAAAACAAGCCAGAAAAGAAAGGAAGAATTGCTAACGTGTATGTTGAAGAGCGGCGCCCCGTAGTTCTTCACCATCGAGTCGCCACATTGTTTCCATGATACCGTCTCTCCGGTGCACCCTTTGACGCCGTCGAGGAAAGTGGTGCGTAAGGAAGGTCAAAACTAATAAAAACGGAAGACTTACAATGCCGGATGTTCAGTGCACTCGGGCTAACAGCGACTTCTTGCAGTCGCTTTTCGAGGCCCCAACGAATTAACTGGCGAGTTACGTTGGGACTAATGACAAGGCCGGCGCCAAATTCGCCAACCGTCGCAGTGCTTTCCAAGATAGTGACTTTATGGCCTGCCATTGCAAGGCAAAATGCAGCTGCTAAACCTCCTATGCCACAGCCTACAACCACGATATCCAGAGAGAGCGCTGCTCGTCGTCCCTCATACAATTCTGACGGCTGGAAGGGTGTTAGTAACGTGAATGAAGTGGCGTGTCATTGATCACTCACATGTTCAATTGGAGCAGTCACATTCACTTGTGGAGGCCCTGGGTAGACCGTCAATGGGCGCCACGGTACCTACAGTAACAAGGTCACTCATGAGGTGATTCGCACCACGGTAGATCGAAAGGAAGCGCAGAGGAAGCTAGGATAGACTTTCATGAGGATTCTGCCATTGATATAGGTAGAATAATCTAATCACTTTGCTTACGAAGGGAACGTTGTTGGCAAGCATTGATGATCGGGGAACGTTGTTGGCAAGCACTAATGACCGGGGAACGTTGGGGGAACGTGCAACCCCTTAGTATAATCCTACACAGGGTAAATTGTCATTGCTAGGACCTGGTTTCGAATCACGCCACACAATGTGGCATATCTTTGCCGACGAGGGAGTTTGGACCAATGGATTGCAGTTACCGCAAACTACAGATCGATAAACCAGGTTCGAGCAAAATTCACATTGTTTAGTTGTGGAGCTGAGCGAAGTGATGCCACTCAATGTCGGACAGTCACGCGAGTATCAGTGGTTACCGGAATTGGTTACTGCAGGCGCATACCGTGCTTGGTCCACTCAACTCGAGGGTTCCCGCCTTCAACACATGGTTTCTTCACGACAGAGCCTCCAAGTCAAAATTTCAACTGGAAGACTTTGTTGACTGTCTGTAGCTTGTATCAGTAGTTCATTTTGGCAACCAATACTCACGCGGCTGACCGCCATCAATTGTTTGGCTTCAACATCAGTAAAGCTAAGCGTTCAAAAACCTGGGTTTTCAAGCGCTTAATGTTCGCCAGTGTTTGCCGAGCATTCAAAAACTGTCCAATGTGCATGCTGTAATTTGGCTGAATTTACCGATGAAGTCACTCAGCTCCACAACTAGGCAAAGGAGCTTTGTGTGGATTTTTGCTCAAATCTGGTCTATCGGTCTGTAGTTTGCTGTAAAGTGAGACCACGTCCGAACCGGTATGATTACTTCGATCTGTGGTTAGAGCTCAATGCCATGTATTGACATACGAGAATGCCAATGCCATACTCTTTCTCTGCACGCACGGTAGCAAGGTCCAAGAAATCCTCGAATGTATGCACTACTCGCACATCAGCGTCCACTGCATCAGACCCTTTATTGCCAGGCTGAAGGCTCTGCGCCATAAGGTTTGGTAGCCGTCTCTCTGAGGTACCCACAAGAAGATATGGTGATACCATTCAAAGTGGCATCATGGCGCGCAACTTCGTACGGCCACGGCCAGCGGTTGATTCTGGTCGAGGATGCACAGCACGATGGGTGGAGAGAAGTAGAAATATGCCCCCTAGATACTCAGTACTCATGGGCCGTGATAGTCTGGGCGTGCTTAGTAAGCCTAAGTGGCACCCGAACTAGGTTGGGAGGACCAGCAATAAGCACGTAGCAGAGAGCTCAGCCCGTTATTCACCATCGGGCCACGTCGTAGTAAACGATGCGGCCGCCAGCTGTCTTTTTTCTCTTGGGTGCTCTTCTTCCAGCATCCCAAATACTTGCATTCAAATCTAACGACTTCAAGACAGTGTGCCCAGTCCGGGTTTTGTCGACGTGGCCGTGCGCTCTCAGCCCGCGCACTCGCAGCGGATTCATCATGGAGGTCACCGTACTCAATTGTCCCATCGTCTGTCCTACTCGCACCTGACCAGGCATCGTTCACTGCATCCGTGAAGTCTGCTTTGTATCCTGAAGTGAACTTCGGACTTGACCTGCGTTTGCACGAGGACGGCGTCGTGCGCGTGCGCATGGACGAAATAGGTGGTTTGCGAAAACGGTACGATGAGGCTGCTAGCTGGGCGCTAGTCGCACCGCCTCGCGTCAGTCGCGACATCTCCTGGAAAGTAGGCAAGCATGCAGTACGAGCAGTTTATGGAGAGAAGAAAAACATCGAAGTTATCGTCGAATTCGAGCCAGTCAGGGTCGTTCTCCTTCGAGATGGTGTCGAGCAAATTGTATTGAACGACGGGGGGCTGTTGCACATGGAACACTTCAGGACCAAGGACGATGCTGAACCTGCGGCAATCCCGGAGGACGAGGCACAGACTACTTTACAGCTGAACAATCGAGCATGGTTTGAAGGTGAGGAACAAGATGCATGGTGGGAGGAGAGCTGGTCTACGTGGACCGACTCAAAGCCCAAAGGTATGCTCTGATTAGCCATGATGTATCCACCAACTTAGTATTTATTTTGCAGGCCCTGAGTCTCTCTCCCTCGATGTTACTTTCCCTAATCACCTTCATGTCTATGGCATACCTCAGCACGCTACCAACCTCTCACTTCCTACTACCACCGGCCCTGATGCTGGCTACACGGACCCCTATCGCCTGTACAACTCGGATGTCTTCGAGTACCTACCCTCCTCCCCCGTCTCTCTCTACGGCTCTGTCCCCCTTATGCACGCACATAATGCGAAGTCTACTGTCGCAATCTTCAACGCCGTAAGCAGTGATACCTGGATCGATATCGGCCGCACGGAGACCGGAACGAAAACACACTGGATATCTGAATCTGGGATCCTCGACGTGTTCCTACTACCCGGCCCTACTCCTGCGGACGTTTTCGCTCAGTATGCGCGCTTGACTGGGGACAGCGCCCCTCCCAGCGCATTGGGCACTCGGCTATCATCAATGTCGGTGGAACTACGTAAGTTCAGACGACGTTCGCAGCGTCCAAAAGCGACTAGACAACGAGGACATGCCTGTGGATGCGTTTTGGCTTGATATTGAGTACTCCGAGGGTCACAAGTACTTTATCTGGGATAAGAAGAATTTCCCTGACCCTGTCGATATGATCAAGGATGTCGAAGCATTGGAGCGCAGAGTGCGTAATCTGCGTTGCAGTATCTTTTTTATATACTAAAGGGCGCATGGTTTACGGCAGATGGTGGTTATCGTGGACCCACATTTTAAGCGGGATTCAAGCTACCCTGTATATAAGGCTGCTTCTGAGCTCGATGCGCTTGTCAAGCCTAAGAGTGGCTCTGGCGAATATGAAGGATGGTGTTGGCCGGGTTCCTCTTCATGGGTTGATTTTTTCAATCCTGCGAGCTGGGATATGTGGGTCTCATTTTTCAAGACGAAGAGTGTGGATGGGCAGGTGGAGCTGGATTGAAAGCACGGAGAACGTTGGGATCTGGAACGACATGAACGAGGTTAGTGCTCGGGCTCGGATTTTCCCGTCCACGCTCACGCCGTCGATAGCCATCCGTATTCAATGGCCCTGAAATCTCGATGCCCAGGGACAACGTTCACTATGGTGGATGGGAGCATCGTGACATCCACAATATCAATGGCATGTTGTTTGTGAGTTGCTTTACTTCCACTTCCTCTTGGGCATTACGCTTATTCTCGCCCCCTTATAGGCCAATCAGACGTACAATGCCCTCATGCATCGATCTGATCCTCCAAAGAGACCCTTCGTTCTCACGCGCTCCTTCTACGCTGGATCTCAGCGCTTCGGAGCTATGTGGACGGGTGACAACGTCGGCACGTGGGAACATATGGCCTATCGGTATTAAAATGGTTCTTGCGAATGGGCTGGGTGGTTTTGGATTTGGAGGCTGTAAGTTTTCCTTTATACTTTGCATCCCAAGATATTTTTGTTTATCCGGCTCGTTCTTAGCCGACGTTGGTGGTTTCTTCGGAAATCCGGATCCTGAGATGCTGGTGCGCTGGTATGCCGTTGGTGCGTTTAGTCCGTTCTTCCGGGCCCATGCGCACATCGACGCAAAGCGTCGCGAGCCATACTTGTTGGACGAACCGTATAAGAGTATACTGAGAGATATGTTGAGGTTGAGGTATGCAATGCTGCCGGTGTGGTATACGGCATTCAAGGAAATGAGCACTACGGGTATTCCTATCCTGCGGTGAGCTTCATGTTGTCGCTGGTGTGGTCGCACACGCACTCACTACAATGATGTTGATGCTTTCAAGTCCCCAATATGTTGTGTTTCCAGAAGATGCAGAAGGTTTTGCGATCGACGACCAGTTCTATGTCGGTTCATCAGGTCTTCTCGTTAAACCTGTTACAACTCGCGGCGCGACAAGTGCGTCCGTGTACCTGTCCGACCCGCAGATATACTACGACTATTTCACCTCTCACGCCTACCCGGCGCCGGCCAAGAAAGTCGCTCATGGACGAACCGTGACAGTTCCTGCAGCTCTTCACGAGATACCCTTACTTATCCAGGGCGGATCGATCGTGCCCACGCGCGAGCGGCCCAGGCGGTCATCAGCCTTGATGCGCCATGATCCGTTTACACTGCGAGTAGCTCTCACCACTGATGGTTCTGCCACTGGTGGAGTATATCTTGACGATGGTGAGGGGTACGGGTATACCAATGGTGAATTTGTGTGGCGCGAATTTGGTGCTGAGACGAAGAAAGGGGGTTGGGGTAAGGGCGGGGAGCTGAAGATTTGGAGCAAGGACCGGGTGACACAAGGCGGTTCCAATGACGTTGCGGTATACAATCCAGCGAACGTATTTGCCGAGAGTGTCTCGGGCGTGCGTGTGGAGCGGATGATCGTACTCGGCGTCGGCTCGCGGCCTGCATTGGTGAGTGTCAACGGTGGGTCGACAGTGGAGTGGGAGTGGCAGGAAGGCATTGGGTCTGGTGCCACTACAGAAGGCAAGGCGGGTGTGCTGGTGATAAGGGACCCTGCTGTGGGCATCACTAGCGACTGGCAGATTACAGTCGTCTTTTGATTTTGTGTACATACCGTTCTGAATAGGGGCTCCGGCCCGGCGGTAAGATAATCGTAGCATCTTTTTTCTCCCGCATCTCAAAATAGAAGTGAAAATAAATAAATACAATAACTAATTGACCAGCGACGACGACCGGCAGTGAGCATCGCAGACGACGTTACAAGACTGGCCTGGACGTGGCTCAGAGTGGATTAATGAGGCTCAGCCTGCTGCGTTGGTTCGGTCATTCAAGTACTTGAGTATCGACCAAGGGAACAATACTTCCACAGGCTCCTCGCCCCAACCAACCATACTTGTGAGTACAACCCCTCATGCAACCTTGCACCGCAAAGACAAAAGAAGCCATCGACAGTAACCGTCGTTCGATGGACACGAAAGCCGTCCATGAAGATGGATGGCAGGAAACGCACTACACTGACGTCGATTGGACATACCCGCCACTGCGCTGTCCCCACTCTTGCGGAGCATCCGCCTCTCGTCTCATGCGACTCTTGGCACAAAGAACCCATAAAACTTGTGGGTCGAAGAAACCTTGTATCTCCGTCGTTGATCGACGGGTGTACCCCACCCTGATACCGACAGCCTCATACACGTCATTGTCTTCAGCCACGTCTTCATCCATGTTCACTAGTCATGGTCTCAGCAGCGTACCCACCACACCGCCAAGTTCACCTTCTAAGTGTACTCAATCAAGCACACCATCGCAACCTCATGCTGTTCTTTCATCCTACCACTCAATCAATACAAAGAGCAGGCGACTCGCAGGAGTTGAACTCCAGCATCACTGTCAACTCTCGTGCGCCAAACCTCCTTTTTACCACGCTTCTCTTCTACGTTCCTCCTTACCGCGACGGAAGGGAAACTTTAGGAAATCTTCCCGTCCAGCCGTAGACTTCTTTCGCGAGGAAGTAACCAAACCAGGCGGCTTTGCTCGCACGCTCATTCCCAAAGAAGACGTCCTTGGAAGAGATACACCTAGTATGGCTGTCCATGTTGCGGAAGCTGTGCTTTGCTCATACGAGACACGCTCTGCATTCTTTGGCTGGTACGGGCTGAGCCTTACAGGGGACTTGTATGATACCAAGCGAACGGACAATCGTACCAGACAACGCTCGAGATCTCATAGGAACTCATTGGACGTTTTGATTGCTGAGGAGGATGTGGATGAAGGGAGGGAGAAGTGGTTACAAATGACCAGGGAGCTTGTGGGACCCATCACTCTTCGGTCTCGTTCTAGGCTGGATACAGTCTCACAACCACCTGTTGCAAGGTCGAGTCAGCCATCGTATAACCAAGCAAGTCAAAGGTTGGTACAGAGTTCTGGACAAACACGTTTCATGGCCTCAGGTCAGATGAAGACAAAGGATTTAGAAAATGGAGCTCCAGCCAAAGATTTTGCACCGAATTGGTGGTATAACCCCCCGTCTACCTCCGTGCAGTTGAACCCTGTGGTCCAACCTGTCACGTTTGGCTTGAATATACCCCAAGGTTCTCTGCCCAAGTTGGGGTTTTCCCAAGTCGTCGGGTCAGGAAGTGGAAATGTGCACCCTTCCTCTGCTGCGGGTCGGTGCGCACCTCCGGGAAAGGATGGTGAGTATATCTCGCATCCCACCTTGGGTATCCCCCGACGTTCCCCTATGTGCTAACGAGGGGCTGTATTGGGCTTTTTCTCTGGATATCTGCTCTTGTCCGTACCATTTGATGTTGTTCGGTTTTTTCTTGTCGCTTTATCCCATGGAATCAGGTCTAATTCCCTTCTTCGGCGCATAAATCCAGGGGCGTTGTCAATGCCGGAACCTTCAGCCTCATTGTCTCATAAGCCAAGCACTCTACTCCAAGCTACATCGGCTATATTCCCATCTCGTCTCAACGCTTCTTTCCAACTTGCAGATGTGACATCTTCAAACGCTATAATGATGAAAGAAGTTCATCAAGACGGACGCTCGAAAAAAGACACAGCCATAATGCAAATAGCATCCTCTCGGAAGTCCGATGCTGCCCCGTCCGTCCCCCCTGGCTTTCCATTCTACTCACCCAAGTAGCGAATCTGCGAGCCGCACTGCGGCCTCGTCCGTTTCGGGCACCCTGAAACCAACTACGTCTGATGGTAATACCGTTCAGAGACGACCTCAAAGTGCTGGAGGTGGGATCGAGCGAGAACGATCGAGGTATATTGACCTTGACCTTATCACTACGCGCCTTAGTGGGCAGTCTACCAAGCGGTGTAGGACTAAGGAAGGACGCACAAGGGTTCTGGGAGCCGGTTACACCGCCTTGCTCGCCCCGTGTTATTCGAGGTGTGTCGTGTCTCTTTCTCTCTTGGAAACCATCAGTTCGTTGCTGAGTCTGCACCCTGCAGAACAGGAAGCTAGGTCTGCAAGGTCACGATCTACAGATGGGTCTCCGTCTTCATGTGGTGATTCCCCCGATTCGAACATGAGGTCGACACCCGCGTCGACTGCAGTATCGAGTGCAACATCACCCCCGCCTGATTCTCCCGGCTCTTACTGCTTACCCGAATCGCAGAGCTTATACGAATACCTCGATCTCCCAAACCCGACCTCGTTGCTTCCTGCGTTTTTGGGCTCGGCTGGAAAACGGAAGAGGTCCTCTCGAACAAGAGAAATCGTGGACAGATTGAAGCTCAATAATGTAGGCGCGGACGATGATGCCAGTGACAATGGGACTGTACCTGATACAGGAGGTGGTACAAGCCAGTGGTCGTCGCGCGACGGTCTCGAGGATGCCTTGTCTGTGAAATCGGCTCGCGCATCGTCAGGAACAGCAGTACACAGCACTTCGCCTGGTTCTTTGGCCGCTGCGGCTTCGTCGGTGGCATCGTCCAAATCAACGTCGTCGGAAGTGACGGGATCGAAAGTAAGCCGAGATAAGGGCAAGCCGGCTTCCAACTCGCGGTCGGTGTCCGCTGGTCCAGTGTCTGTGAATGGGCGGGTTGTGGCACCCGGAGTTGGTATACACGGACGGTCTCTTAGCGGCGCACAAAACCACCCCCCTGTGTATAACGTGCCCCCGGGGCCCTCTGGCCTACCTGCAGGAACTGTTTTCACGGTCCCACCCGCGCAGCTGGCACCTCCATTACATGCTCCTTTTCCTCCTGGCATACATCCTCAGCCCCAACCGCGATCTGCACCAATAGCTGGGGTTCCTGCACAGCAGCCAGGCTTTTATGTTCCTGTGTATCCCGTGTACGCCTACCCTGTTGCACCTCCTGTCGCTCAGCCCTTAGCACAAGGTCCGTGGATGCTAGGGTACCGCCCTCCACAAGGAACGGTACATGTCCCAACTCAAGCGACAATAACTGGTGTATCCGGTATGAGGCATATAAATTGGTAAGCTGGTGTGGTACCGACGGTGGTTAAGGTTTGACTGTTTTGGCTGTCCTTCCATTTGGTTTTCTTACGGGGTCCCTTACAGATGCCCTCGGGTTAGATCTCAATCTCCCATTTGCACCCATTATTCCATATGAACTCTTCCTTTTAACAGTAAGGGAGATTCCTCCCTGTCTTTCTGTATATGGCTCTTGCATGATGACTCTTTTCCCCTCTCATTCTCATTACTTTTGTCGGCTGTGCTATGTTTCTTCTTTTCTTTTTTTTTTTTTTTTTTTCATTGTCTCCTCTGCTTCGTAGGTAGCATCGTAGGTAGGTCGTACATAGTCTCTTACAGTACTGCTTTTAGAACCCTGTACATGCAATTGTATCCATGAGTTTATCAGTTAACTCATGGAGGGCCGACCGCACGCAAGTTGCAAGCGTATAAGTTTTCGCCGAATGCACGGGTAATGTACAACGAATGCAAAACGTACTTGGATTTCTAGGCCGGCGACTGTTAGGGTTGCCTCCACCCATAAGCTCGCACAGGTGAACCATCTGAACCGCTGATCTTTAGCGGGACGATGCTCACCCATGCCTCCCCCGAGTCCCCGATCAACGTTCCGAGCCCTCGCAAATTCTCGCATATGAGTCTCCCGGCCCCCAGTAACACCTCATGCACGACGAAGCCATCACCTGGCTCACCGCCCTCATTGGCATCCGCAGGTGTTTCGTCTGGACTCAACGTGTCCAAGCCAACTAGCCCTGCACCCATGTCTTGCAATCTCTCTGCCAACTCCCGCGTGAAGTACGGATGCGCAAAGTACGCCGGAGTATTCCAGTGCACGTCCCAGCCTGTCCAGAGCAAGACAATATCCTTTTTTCCCTCTGCGCGCAACCCGATCTCCCGCAGACTCAGTGTGTTGTACGCGACATCGACGTCTGCCCATCCGATCTTTCTCCTGGGATGTGCGGCATGACGAACATCCAACACAACAGCCCGTCCTACGAATCGTTCTAGAGGTATATCATTCAATTTAGCGCCGTCCGGAAAGAAGTGGAATGGCGCGTCCAGGTGAGTTCCAGTGTGCGTGCTACACGTGAACTCATGGACTGAAACTGGGAAATTGCATAAACGACGAATTCTGAAGGAGGGATCGCCAGGATAGCAGGTCATGCCATTTTCCAGTGGATGAGATAAATCGACGATAGAAGTCGGAATCATGCTTGGAGATTCTGCGCTGGCTGGCTGGTTTATCTGGATGTTACAGGCCGTGAGTAGCCGGAACGAGTGATCGGCCTCAAATCGACCTACACAACTCCCACAGAAAAAAAATAGTAATATTGTCAACAATTAGGGAGCGTCCTGGAATACATAGGTTGGCGTAGATGGTGATGCCCATAGCGGTGCATTGGACGGTTGCTATTTTCTTTTTTTGGCTATGACCATCGAGCCGCTCCTGGGTATGCGTAGGTGTACTGTGGGTGACTCGACTAACTGGTACCAGCTGGCCTGTTGAGAGCTATCCCGGACTCTTTGAGGGGTTTTTGTGGTTCGACCACCCGCGGGAGCCTGTCACATGCCTCGGATCATCTTGCAATACACGGTAACTTGCAAGAAACACATTCTCCGGATACCAGAATCACTGCGGTATTCTTCCCTAATCCTTCCAAGCAACTTTTCCTGATTTCACACCCTGTTGACTTAGCAGATTGCCTAGCCTGCCTTGCAAGTGGCATTCTGCACTTTACTGATGTTGGTAGAGCGAGACGCCCATGCACGGACCTGTTGACAAGATATCAAAGTTTAATCTGACGGCTTCTGATGACCTGTTTTGATTTTCTTTGGCGCAACGGCGCCAGTGATTTCGAGTTCACGATAATGAGGCGTCCGCCTGGCCGGCGAACCACGCACAGCTGTGCTGATCAAGTAAAATGTGTTATAGCAAGAAAGGTGAGATACGTTAACTGAAAAGGGGGCAGGTAAGCAATATAATCCATATACTGCAGTACGTATCTCTACTGAATGATTTGATGGTACCATGCGCCCCACTGCCACGCGGTATCTCCAAATCTTGGTCTGTTATATCAAAATCTCGATTGTGGAGCTCCGGAATGTCCAGTTTAGGCTGGGAACGATTCGTATTTCGTTGTAGGGGGGAAGCCATCGGCGATAGCACCCCTGATAAGGTTTGGGGTGACGGACGGCGAACTGTTGGCCCCCTCGCGTATAAGTATTAGTTGCCATGAACAGGTAGAACCTATCCTCACCTTAGCTCTTGTCACTCGATTTACATGGTGCCGCTCACAGCCACAATGTCTCTTCCAACGCTCCAAAAGCTTGGCAACGCCTTTGATCCTGACATTGACGCGAAGGCTATCGCAAAAGCATGGTTTATCCAGTTTGTAGAAGCCATGGCCGACGCCACGGCTGTCGTCGACCTATTTGTCGACGAAGGTTTGTGGCGCGACATGTTGGCTTTCACCTGGGACTGCCACACCTACGAAGGAAGAAATACTATTAGAAAATTCCTCGCTGACCAATTACCGAAGTTCAATCCCTCTGCGTTCAGGTTTCACGATGAGCTAACAGGGTTTTATATGCCATATGAGGACCTCGTATGGATCCAGGCTTTCTTCGATTTCGACACTACAATCGGACACGCATCCGGGGTTTTTAGGCTTGTACCTTTGGCAGATGGCTCCTGGAAGGCACACACGGTATATACAGGTCTGGAGGGTCTCACGGGGTTCCCGGAGAAGATTGGTCCCTTAAGAAATCACGAAATGAACTGTGCACATTTCCTCGATATGGAACCCACAGCAATCATAATAGGCGGTGGTCACTCTGGTCTGATACTTGCTGCGCGTCTCAAAATACTCGGAATAGACGCGCTTGTGGTCGAACGGAACGAACGCGTGGGGGATAACTGGAGGAAGAGATACACATCTATTTTCTTGCATGAACCTTTCTGTGAGTAGAGTGAAGAGTTGTCGGGGATAACCACTTAATTTGGCCACAGGGTGCGACCACCTTCCCTACTTTCCGTACGTTGTGTCTATATACTTCGGTATTCACAAGGAGTAGCTCATGTTTCTGTCCGATAGGTTCCCTCCTTCGTCGCCGGTTTTCACGCCGGGATTGCAATTCGCAGACTGGCTGGATTGCTATGCTCGATCACTGGATCTGAATGTATGGACATCTGCCAGGGTACGCGCTGTCGAACCTAGCACAAGGGGGAAGAGGTGGACGGTCAAAATTGTCTGTGGGGACGGATCGGAACGCCAGTTCAACGTGAAACATGTTGTGTTTGCAACAGGTTTATTTGGCGGTGCTCCCAAGCTCCCGGATGTCCCTCACCGAGTAAGTGGCACTTTCTCCGCCCCCTTGAATGCAAAGTAAGAGGTAACCGGTATTGGTGCAAAGGAGGTGTTCGATGGCGTGGTATTGCACTCGAGTCAGTATAAAACTGCCGCCGATTATATCGGAAAGAAAGTTGCCGTTGTTGGCTCGGGTCCATCGGGTACCATGCACTCTCATCCATGCAGCACCTGCTAACGCGATGCGGATAGCCCACGGGATCTGTTTGGACTTCGTCGATCACGGCATTGGTCAGACTATTACAATTTGTCCCCGAATTGTTTTCCAACATTTTTACTCCAGATGTCACAATGGTACAGAGGGGTTCGATCTACGTTATGTCAGCAAAGAATGGAATTCCCAGATATTTCGGTAGGAAGTAGTTACCCTGGCCGTGCGGTATATCTGATGAAAGCAACCCCGTGAAGGACTTTATGTCAAAGAGGGCCTTCCCGTCGACGTCGCCGATCGTATCACTCTGTCATACCCAAATAAGTTTGGAAAGCTATTACATCAGCGGATGACAAGGGAGATTGCAGAACTCGACAAGTACAGCTATCCTCACCCATTACCCTTTGTGTCGGCTAAAAACTCCCAGGGATCTCCTTGAAGGGCTCCGCAAAGTTGGATTTAAGCTCAATTCTGGAGAAGACGACGCGGGGGCGCTCGGCCTTGTATGGTCTAGGGCAGGAGGATTTTGCATCGGTGAGCGTGATGGACGGACCCAGTCGGGTAGGACTGCTTACTGGGTTTGGTAGACTTTGGGGCCTCACAGAAGATTATTGATGGGCAAATCAAGTTGAAAAGCGACGGCAATATTGTTAGATTCACGTCGACAGGGCTACTCTTTGAAGATGGTTCAACCCTTGGTGCCGATGTGGTTATTTTTGCCACCGGGTAGGCATGTGCCTGTTCTCATTGGTCGTTTGATCTACAAATTTGTCCACTTAGGTATGCAGATGCCAGAGATTCCATTCTCGAGCTACTGCCGACCCACTTGCACGATTCTGTGCAGCCGGTCTGGGGTCTTGATGAAGAGGGCGAACTAAATTCGGCGGGGCGCGAGCTTGGCAGACGGGGTCCAGACGGTGAAAAGTTAGCTGGACTGTGGGCGTTAATGGGTAACGTATCGCTAAGTCGCATCTACTCCAAGTTTATTGCCTTGCGTGAGTGCTTCATAAGTTCGGGGCATGTGGAACATGGATTGGAGCGACTGATTCGGCTGGTTCAGAAATCAAGGCGCACGAAGAAGGGGTTTTTGGTGGAAGATACTAGTTGCCCTTCAGCTCTTTTCTTGGATCGGGTCACGGTAGAAAGACTCGGGTGGTTGTGATCGGGAAATCCGTGACCGACCGATTACTATCCAGCTACCATGGGACCTGCGATCGAAGAAACGTGACGCAGCCACGCGGCCGCCAGCTGTTGTCGAGAATGCACGATACAAGGGAGGAAACCACTTAGGTTTATGTCTCGAACAACTCATTACTAGTAGTACGAAGTCTCTCACATGCAGAAAAGAATGAAGAAACGACGAGATAATACCTTCAATCTAATTTGGAAGTGTTGTTGAGAAGCGCAATAACGTCCTTTGCATGCAACTTGGCTGATTCCTCACAAATAAGCGCCCCAAGCCTTCTCATCTGCACTGAGATATCCGCAGCTGTACACGTCCGAATCAAACGCCCAACGGCCCAAATATCGACCTCTTCTCCGTGGTCATCTCGAAAGATAGCTGGCGAGTGGTGTTCCCGTTCTCTCGCAAATGGCAGAGCCTGTGTCGGTGGGACGGCAGCATCGTCCCAACCGATCAGTATCCATTTCGATCGATCATCGATCGTGCGAATAATATTGGGCCACCGAATGTCGCGGTGATACAGTGGAATGTGATGCAAAGCCTGCAGGGGATGAGATTATGCGTAAGGAGTTCGTAAATACCTTACGACGAGTACATCCAGAACGCAAACCAGACATTCACGTAATTCGTTCTCGGTGCCTGGCTCTTGGGGAGTTCCACGTGGAACTAAGACTACAGCGTCCGTTTGCGCGCGGACAAGCATATCAGTATTAGGGATCGACTTGTCCTTGAGGATTCCGTAAATTTTTTCGAGGTGGTTGACCTTCTCTTCAGCGTCTTTGCGCCGGTAGATCTTCACGACCTCCGTGGGATTGAACATGACGGTGGATTCCGTTCTGTGGATCACATCACTTCCAAGTAATCTTGTATTTAAAATGAAAATCCTACTCCGGCAGCACTGCAAAATCATCAACAGGAGATGACACGAGGTTTCCCAGGAGGAGGAGAACCGATGAAAGGTTGATGAGATGTCGTATGTTGGCAATACGATCCCTTGTGTACTTCAAATCGACGGTGATTACATCATGGAGTCGTATCTTGTTTTCGGGGGCTCGAGGTGCAATAATGGTAGTAAGGGTCATTTCAGTTCCACGATAATAGTAGCCTGCGCAGGCGGTTGGGATAAGTGCATAACTAAATGTATGCGGAACACTTACCAAACATATAGGGGACAGAACCATATGTCCACTGGAACTTCTTGATCAGTTCCACACGAGGGTCATCCTTGCCGTGTGGGGCCCGTTCCTCGCCCCGAAACAGACATACATGATTCACAAGGAAACCGAACTTGGGGAAGTTGCTGATTTCCGTCGGAGAGTGACGAATAGCTCGGCCTCCCGGCACTAGAAGTGCGATGACGTTACAGATGTTGTTGTCCCAGAATGGGACGAAGGAATACTCTGGTCCACAATTGGGTGCAGATTGATCAACCGCAAAATAGAGAGCAGAGAACCGTGGGTCGAACTCCGCGACTTTGAATAATTCGCCGACATGATCCTCACTACAAAAGTCGTAGCCACGTTCAGAGGTGAGAGCTGCATACATGCGGTCTGAGAGCGGTATTTTCTCGGACTCCGCTAATGGCATTTCAACCAATTCACGAAGTTGCTCAACTGGTGGAAAATCCGTCTTGTGTCGATTCGTCGTTCATGCGTCAAGAAGATCGACGTGCATAACTATATGACACATGAGAAATATGCAGTTCGAAGGTATGTGGGGGATTGACTTACCTTGGGGTCGCTTTGTGAGCAAGACGATAACTTGCAAGTGCTCATACAACCTGGTGGACGATATTTCCAGAGAGGGAGGTAACATATAAGTCTTCGTTTCGAAAAACTTGTCGTCTATAGAGCCAAGCACATTCCGGAAATTGCGAGGTGTCCGGCGACGCCAATTAGTGATAGGACTGGCAAGCTAAATAAATGTGAGTAGTGGAAGATAACTGGAATGTGAACTGACTTGCCTCATATGCCTCGGCTATGACTGGTTCATCGACATCGCCCGCGGCAACAGCGTGATCAAGCAACGCGCGGACTTCCCCCCAGTGTGGGATGTCATCAGTAAGTTCAATTTCACCGATCTGGTACACGTCGGGCAATGTTCGCAGAACTAAAAGACGTGGGATTTGGGGCATGGCGTTGTGAGTGGTAGTTCTGGTGCAAGTGTGGTGGTGGCTCCTATGAGGATGTTCGCATACTAATAGGAGCAAGATCGTCGGGGGAAGCGCCCCTCATACTTGCCTTTCTTTCTCGCATGATTCAATTTGATACCGTCCCCTTCCCTGTGTAAGGCTTCATATAGGCTACATATTATCAGTGAATGAGATCTGTTGCTGAGAGAGCGAGGGAAATAAAGCTATATTGGTTTCAAGGGGTTTCAATGCGTGCATAGCCACTCGGTATTTCCCGTCACTAAGTGCATGCTGTATAGCAGACCAACTGGCACCAATCTGGGCTCCATTCTCTATGCATACCATGTATGATTCAAGTGTAGGTGTGAGTGCTAAACGTCTGTTAATCAGTCATCTGTGTACTCGTAAAACCCTTTCCCACTCTTCTTCCCCAGCCATTGCGCATCGACCATCCGCTCGAGCAACACAGAAGGCCGGTATTTGGAGTCAGAAGTGCCAGTGTAGAGTGTTTTCTGTATGGCAAGGCACGTGTCGAGGCCAATGCTAACTTAGGGGTTAGTAAGGTGACAGATGTGTGAAGGCACCACCCACAAGTCAGCTAGAAAGACAGAAAGGGATGAGACGAGCAATACACTTAGACTACAATTTACTTGCCAAGCTGCAGGGGACCCATAGGATGGTTCATGCCCAACCTGAACGTTTTGTCGATATCGTCCCGGGTTGCCACACCCTGGTACAGAAGAGAGTGGAAACTGGAGTCAAACGATAGCAGATTTTTGAGGCGATGATACCTTCTCTAAGCACATAATGGCTTCGTTTATGAAGGGCATCAAAAGCGCATTTGAGACGAAGCCAGGGACATCTTGTGACGTCGTAACCTCTGATCAAATCAATAAGATTCCTCTACAAATATACCTATAAAATAGAAGTACCCTTTCCGCACGCCTCTGCGAACGCACGTGCACGAGCAAGAGTTTCAGGCGTTGTTTGCACCGCGGAAATGAGTTCGACGAGTTTCTGAGTGCGAAGCTCGACCAGTAAGAGGACGGGTTGACTTAGCAACACTTACCATCACCGGTACCGGGTTGAAGAAATGCAAACCTGGGGGTATATGCCTCATGCTCCAGCCATTGATTAATGCTTAGGGTGGACTTACCGACAACACGTCCAGTTGCAGCTTGGCCTTCTGCAGATGCCGGACTTACCCCCTCCGGTACGACTGAGGCAGCGATCTTAGTTACACTTATAGACGATGTGTTCGTCGCCAGGATGGCGTCCGGTCCAAGTTTCTCGGAGAAGCTCCGGAAGACAGTCTTCTTGAGGTCCAAATTCTCGGAAACAGCCTCGATAACCATATCCACATCATACATCTCGTCAAGAGCGTCGACGACGCGCACGCGGTCGCGCGCTTCCTGGGCCTCGTTCGATTGGATTCTACCCTTTGCAACATCCTTTGAAAGTAGCTTGTCCATGAGAGCGAGACCTCTGGCCACCTGGTCCTTAGACTTGTCGTGAAGGAGCACCGGAACCTTTGCCCTCAGCGCTGACACAAAGGCAATCCCAGTGCCCATTTGTCCTGCACCGAGGACGCCAAGTAGCTTGACACCATGAGCAATGGACATGATTGCAGGGGGAATCAAGCGTTGTAATATCACGTGTGACGAACGACCCCGTCGGCGCCTACGGCCCGTCAAACTACATTTGATGCCTAATATGGTGGTTACTCGGAACTCGCTATTCAACAAACCGCTAGCCGTTGTGGTTCGACGACGCACAGATCATTTTATGCTACCAGCAGCACGCCGTAACCGGTGGCCGAAGGTTTGTAGCACCAGCTCAACGTATTTGCAAAAACTCGTTTACGCCTTATGACTAGTGTATCACCTATCTACATTCAAGGTGCGTTTTACGGCTTGTCAAAGTCTTCTTTCATCCAACTTCACAGCCTGTTGGTCAGAAGAGGTTTCCACATGTGGTCAGCCTCGCTAACGTCATTGACTTTTTTGGTCGCCGGAAATTGCACACGGGAACAATGTTGAGCGATGAACCTCGGTGCTGCAATACTGGTGGGGCGAAGTGCCCATATGACCCAGGCCGCTTGCAGGATATCAAAGTGTGTCTGACGAACTCTCTCTGGAGTAATGATAGGTTTGTATGAAGCGGCTGTGTCATCTTCAAATCATAGATAGCTGTGCTGGTCAAGCAGAATCTACGAGAAAAAGGTTGGTACTGGGCAGGTAAGCAGTGTGATCCGTGTTTAAAGTATCTCCCGCTGGCAACTTACGATCATTTGACGATACCATGTGCTGCACTGCCGTGTTGCATCTCCTGACCTTAACAAGTCCGTTATCAGGATACTTTCGTTGTGGAGCTTCGAGTGCCCAATCTGATAGTGTCAAAAGACTACGTCGCTCAACAGACTTGTTGATCAGGCATTGCCACTGGGGGATGTTATAGCTCGATTGTGGACTGGCTATCCTGAGTGGAACGACACAGCTCCTTGGATTTGGGCTAAAGATGAAGCGGGTGGGCGTATAAATGCTAGCTTACATGGTCAGGTGGGACTTGTCCTAACGGTAAGTTTACCTTTGCTCCTCTACTGACACTGCTAATTTCTATTATCAATAATCATAAGTGCTACGTACAAGTGCAGAGTTGTTGCAACTTTATTGGCGATGTCATCCTTTTGGTGTGTACCATCCTTACAGGAGCGAATCGGACCTTCTGGTCCCACGTTAGCACCTTTTTGAAAGGGCTTGTGATTACTACCGATGTGGGGATGGTTGTGTTTCTACTGATGGCTTCTACCATGTGTTCTCTACCGTGATCCACGCAAGTGACGCAACGTCCCCAAAAATGGATACATTGGAGTTTCAACCATTCGCATGCGGTTTAGAGGCTCTCTGCCTTATGTAATTCTGCCCTTGTGCCAGAATGCACCCGCGGTGGCGAGGCCTATCGCGTGCTACTATTGCTTGCGGTGTCGCGGACCCGCCATGGATTTGCCATTAATTGTGTGAGAAAACTCAAACAAGGACGTCGTAGGAAAGCGATTGTCAAGCTTCAAGCACGAAAAGGGCTCCGTAATGTACACGACAATCGGCGGATGTGAGAAGTCAATTGGAACTCTGTACTCAGGGATGAGAGTACTTGATCATGCTGATGCTGAGATTGATTACTAGCAACGGTATAACTACCGCCCTGCTGGCCATGGGAAGTAGCGCGGGCAACTTTAGTCCAGATCTGGAAAGTACTTTTGTTTTGTGAGTTTTTTTTCCCGGTCTGACTTCGCTTGCTCATTTCCATTTCGGGGAGACGAACGATGGGGAACGACCACACCGCTGAGGCCAGCAAGACAGCGGTTAACGTTAAGCTACGAAAGGGGCTCCGTGATGTACACGACAATCAGAAGGAGCCGGTCGGAGACTCAGCACTCAGGCCCAGGGGTGAGAGTACTCATCAGATGCTGACAACGGTAGAATCACTGCCATGCTGGCCATGGGAAGACTATCCGGTGGCTATATCATAAACCAGGTTAAGTTCCATTCTATCCAGACCCCCCGCGACATCCAGCATGGTTGAAACTGCTCAAGCCCGTGTCACACTCCTGCCAACCCTCCAAAGACTAGGAAGCACCGTCGACCCTAACATCGACGCGCTAGCGATCGCTAAGGCCTGGTTCGCTTCATTTGTCGCTGCCATCTCCTCAAAGGATGCAACCGCAGTCGTCGACTTGTTCGTCAATGACGCCTTCTGGCGCGATACGTTAGCCCTTACCTGGGACTACCACACCTACGAGGGAAGAGATAGAGTGAAAAAGTTCCTTGCCGACCAGTTGCCAAAGTTCAACCTTGCCGCTTTCAAATTGCACGAAGATCTCGTCGGTCTTCAGACTCCCTTTGAGGATCTGGCATGGATACAGGGTTATTTTACTTTTGATACCACGGTGGGACACGCGTCAGGGATTTTCCGAGTCGTTCCATTGGCAAACGGGTTGTGGAAGGGTCACACCGTATACACTAATCTCGAGGACCTAAAGGACTTCCCAGAGAAGATCGGTCCTCTTAGGAATTCGGAAGCGAACCACGGGAAGTGGGCCGAAGCAAGGAAGAGAGAACAAGAATACCTCGACGAGGAACCTAGTGTGATCGTCGTAGGCGGTGGTCAAAGCGGACTAGAGGTCGCTGCGCGTCTCAAGGTGTTGGGCGTCAAGGCATTGGTCATCGAACGAAACGAACGCGTCGGTGACAACTGGAGGAAACGATATGCAACGCTTTGCCTGCACGATCCAGTGTGTGAGTGACCGGTGACCACTTCTGTCGATGCCTTAGTAAACTCGGTCACAGGGTATGATCATATGCCCTATTTGCCGTACGTCATGAGTATGGTGGAGATATCTGGATGAACGGATGATCTTCGCTTCAGGTTCCCTCCTACTTGGCCTGTTTTCACTCCAGCATTGAAACTGGCAGATTGGCTAGAATCCTACGCTCACGCTCTCGAACTCAACGTATGGACATCTGCTAAGGTTATGTCCATCGAGCCGGGTACGAATGGAAAAAAGTGGTCAGTCAAATTGGTCCGCGGAGACAAAAGAGGGCGTGTCTTCGAGGTGAACCATGTCGTCTTTGCTCTCGGGTTTAGTAGCGATACTGTCGGGACGCCAGATATTCCCGGTCAAGTACGTGATACTCAGCCGAGATTTGTTCAACTCATTGGGTTATCGCACGAACGCAGGACGAGTTCAAGGGCCAGGTATTACACGCGAGCAAGTATAAACTAGCCACAGACCATCTTGGCAAAGAGGTTGTGGTGGTTGGCGCATGTACATCAGGTACTTATGGCAGTGCACCTGCCAACGCAATGTACTGATGTCATGATCGTGCATAGCCCATGATATTTGTTCAGACTTCGTCGACCATGATGTTGGTGAGCACTATCCATGTACTTCCTTTTTTCTCATCTTCGTCTCGGTGCTTTTCAGATGTCACGATGGTTCAGAGAAGCTCGACTTACGTCATGTCCACAAAGTATGGCGTACCGATGCTTCTGGGTGGTAAGTACACTATCCTACACAAACATCTGTCAGTCATAAAACAGTGAAGCACTGTACGGCGAGAACGGACCTTCCACGGACCTTGCCGACCGCATGAACTCTTCATTCCCAAATGCGATTGTCAAGCTTTTGCATCAACGTGTAACCCCGATGATCGCCGAAGCGGACAGGTGCGCTGATGATTCACCAGAATCACTCTGGTGTTTCCTGCTAATGTATGAAAAATAGGGACATACTGGATGGCCTCCGCAAGGTCGGGTTCAAGCTCAATATGGGTGAAGATGGATCTGGGCTACTTCAACTCATTTGGAAGAAAATTGGAGGCTATTACCTTGGTAAGCATCACATAGCGGCCTTTTACAGAGCGTGTTCGACTGTGATTAGATGTTGGGGCTTCTCAGAAGATCATTGATGGAAAGATTAAGCTGAAGGCCGACGGACACATTTCCCGGTTCACATCGACCGGTCTCCTCTTCGAAGACGGTTCGACCTTGAATGCAGACGTCGTAATCTTCGCTACAGGGTACGTCTTACCCCCATTTCTTGAAACGTTGCGACGTGAACAACCACACAGTTACCGGGACGCACGCGAAGCCTACCTGCAGCTGCTACCAACCTATCTCCATAGCGCCGTCCAGCCTATATGGGGTATCGACGAAGAAGGTGAACTCAACTCCGTGTCACGCGAGATCGGTGGACGGGGGCCAGATGCCAACAAGGTGGCCGGTCTGTGGTCGCTGATGGGTAACCTTGCAATGTGTCGGTTCTTTTCAAAGCATGTTGCACTTCGTGAGTTGCTTTTGATTTCTGTTGTGGTAAATGTGCATGATAGATTGCTTATTGCGCGGGCTTAGAAATCAAGGCTTACGAGGAGGGAATTTTCGGTGAACGGTATTAGTAGGAGATTTGTACAATTGTTGCTTTCCACGGCAAAGCATACGGTGTAAGTATGCCAAATGTATTTATGTAGCTATGCAAACTCGATAGTCAATCAGGCTATTTCCAGCAAGTCATAAGCCACCAACCGTTATCAAATCGTCCTGCCTTGTAGCCCAACCATCGCTCCTGCGAGGGCATCATAGAAAATACCCGCATCCAACCCTCGCAATCACCGCTGGGAAGGAGCCTGCATTGCCATCGACGTTCATGGTTATAAAGTCCGGATCCCCAAATGTGGTCTGTGCTGGTCCATGTCCGCGGGGCAAATTGATTCCTACTCATCTTCCAGGTCGACATCTTCTACGGGTCGGAACTATGTTCGCTCCTGCCAACATAAACCTGCTTCCTCGGCCGTTCATGGCAATCTCTGGTACAACATGACATTGTGACTGCAGTACCTCTCTCGGTTCGACGGTTCCCCTTATTTAGACGGAATACCACGTGAGAGAGGGTTTAGAAACTGCGCCTTTGTCTGGAGGTAGACCTCGCGGTCTTGATTGGGCGATAGATGCTGGAGTCGTATACCTCAATGTTCCGCAGTGCTTCCGCCGCTTTGAGCTTTGGTAAATTCATACATGGTGTTACACCGCGGCAAGGTCAGTTGGATGTCGGATAGCTAATTGCTGACGGTATAAAGGTAGGAGTTTCTGACCGTCTACCACGGATACGCAGGAATATCTTTGCATGAATGGGGTAAATGGTAAAGAATGGCTGGCCAGGGCACAGCTCCCAGTTGTTGTCGAATATGCACGATGCGGGGTGTGAACAAATTCTCGAACAACTCGCACTATTAGTAGCACGAAGTTTCTCTCACATGCAGATATTCCAACCTGGAAGTGAGGAAACGAAACGAAACGAAAAAATACCTTCAATCCAATACGGAGGTGTTGCTGAGAAGCAAAAGACCGTCCTTTTCATGCAACTTGGCAGATTCCGGAGGTACACTTGACAAGCCCAGCGACGTCCTTAGTCAGTCCATGCAAGGACGGCGTAACGCGATCAGCGACATAGACGAGGAGACCCTCATCAACATACAGTCCTTACGGAGCTACTTTCACCAGAGATCCCGCACGATCAGTGCACTACTCACCACCTCGGAATCTTGGTGTTCATCTGAGGAGTAGAAAATGAGGAAACGGGTCATAATAGTCTGATCGTCACCATAATCGGCACAGTTCAAACTGATATCGTGGGCTATCCGCGTCATGCTAAACTCAATCGTTGCAATGAAAGTAATGTTGCGAATACTCGATGGATACGATATAGCTGCGGTAACTTTCCCTCCATCGCAATCGGTGTCGATATTTTATTGATTCGGTTGCAATACCTGCCCGTCAATACAGCTACCGTTTGACAGGGGATGTGGCTTATAACCACTCTTCAAATTCAAGCGTCCGCCAGCGCATTAAATAGCATACAGAAGGTAAAAGGCGGTGTGTAGTGATCCCTATGTCGCCAACCCTCGACTCCGACAGCCCATCGAGTACAGCTCCTCTGGCTTGGATAATTTTCAGCTCAACTCTCGGAAAACTTTGGTGGAGCTGTTGAATCGAGAGAAGCACCGACAGTCGTGATGACACGGTGGAGCAAATTGAAGACAGTTGACATGAAACTAACCCGCTCTGCGGACGCGGAACGCTATTGGAAGTCCGGGCTTTAGGATATCGATGACAAGGTCGAGTTAAAGACCGCGATTCTCGACGAAAAGCACTTGGTTATCAGAGGTGTGTAGCCACTGACGCTGTCAGGTACTTCATACATCATTAGCAACTTCGATGACGGGACAATACGAAGTGCCATGACCCGACACCACAACGGCAGGAGGCAGGCAGTGTAAACGCAGGGAACAGATTCATTTGCACTGTGACGAGTATTTGGTCAGCAGGCGAACACGGACAGGCGGAAGTTGGCATCAGCGTTGCACGCGGGAGAGGTGGACACTTGCGCGAGGAAGGGTGTGGTGAAGCATTGGGCAAGTAAAAGAATATTGTCCTTGTCTTGATCGTAGGAGCGAGGTCGGGAGGCACGAATACCGCGTCGTTGATGCCAATCTGTAGCGAGTTTAACGCCCACGACGGAGTAGGTCATACGAACTCGAGATCTCATCATGTAGTGTGGCAGACCCCCGACAGAGATCCTCGTTTTGCTGGTACTTCAAGTTGTAGAACGGCAAGACGCGCAGTTGCATCTCACTACAGTCGCCTCAGGTTCACGAATGGATATCCTTTTCATTTCTGGGTCACGTCTAGGACCACTTCGAATATAATCAAGGGACTGGAGTCGCAAATCGACATCGAGTGAGTAGCATGTTGGTCCGTTCAATTCTGCACTTCTGTCCAATCTCCGCGGACAAAGCAGCCTGAGCTGCACGACATTTCATCCTCACTCGTCTTCGTGGAGATCGGCACCCCGTTCCATGCTACTTTGCGTCTGTCGAGGTTATGACAAGCTGGCTGGTACTGGCCAGAGTTCCCCCAGGGTGCACAGGTTTTGATCACATAATCAAATCAAGTACGAAAATTTAATCCCACGCCGCAACTCTTCGCACGGTTCACTTCCAGAGAGCGACACGTTTCTGGCCAGCAGAACTTCCCCCGGACTCGCGAAGCAAGAGCAGTACTGACCGAGTGCTGTCCATGACCGTGCTTGAATAACAAGGAAGAACAACTTCACAGCGTCCAAATTACTGCTCGAGCTCAGAAAGCGAAGGTCGAGCAACTCGTCGAACCATTGTATAATCACCCATCACAACGATTTATTGCTACAAGTTTTCGAGCTGGCGGTCCACGCTGCGGAATTTTTAAAGCCGCGCACCATGCAACTTGACTATAAGGTGTGTCACGTAACTGGAGAAGCCTGGTGCTGTATTCTACGACCCCGTGGACGACGAAGAGGCCACTCTATCCCCATGTGTAGGAGTTCACAACTTCCCATCGACATCGAAGCCCATTCTTTGGATTGCGACTTTTGGGTTGCTCGATATTGTTACCGCCAGTGCGACATATGGCTACATGCACTCGTACACTTGAAATCGAATTAGAAGAAATATAAATGAAAAAAGTGGTAGAGGCTAAGGGTGTTAGCTGTAGCCAGGATGTCCGTCCTTCATCGTACGACACTGATCCCCTTGCAACCACTACCCAGAGGTCTAGTCGATTTTCCGTGCAGATTGAACATGGCGCGTAGGGAAGGATGGCACGGAAAGCGTCCGGGTTGGCAATTGTCTCTGAAAATGCCAGGCATTTAATGAGAGACACAGTCGAGCCCAACCTAGCCTGGACTGTGGCTGTCTACGAAAGGTAAATTATCAGCGCTGATCTCCGCGGTATGACACCATTCTCAATCATGCAAGTGTCACGTTCCGAGAATGATGTGGTATGCAGGTTTTCCTTGTGTTTCCGAGTGGCAAAATGACGCTCCATGAGTCGTCTGTTCGGGAGAGGACGGGTCCATCAAACAACCTGGTGACCGATCCCCCCAACATACACGCGCGCCGAAGTCAATGAATGACCAACAGAAGAGGTGACAGAAGAGGCGTTCTCTTCGTGACAAGTCTGGGTAGCCTTGCACTTACTCGGCAGCTGGCACTGACCGAGAGCAAATGGCCATTGGTCATCAGCTGCGGCTACGCAATCCGAAGCCTTGGGACCTGCTTGCGGGGGATGAATTCTATATTAAACTCAAACAGGTTGGAGCGTTGCCCCATTTCAAGCACTCGTCGGATGCTGTATGCATTACCAGGACGAGCGACAAGCGGTGTGGGGGCTCTTAAGCATTCACTACCGGTGAGCACTTTGGTATCCGATGGGAAACTCACCAGTTTCCTTTGGCTTTATAAGGTTGTCAGCGCGAAGCAGACACCACTCATGCACGTGTCCTGACTGTGCTGTATGTAAGGTCCACACGGAGGTCTTCCCGAGTCTATCTGAGGGCCTCTAAGAAAACATGATGTGACCCTGGTCTCGTTTACATCGACAGTACATCCATGATGCAGAGCTGCGACCATATCGCAACACACTTGGTCGCAGCCCATGCGGCGATAAGAGGCTAATGAGGGTAACAGTTCTTCCCGAGAAGACACGATGTACCGTACCAGAATCCTTCGAGTTGCGGAGATGACCTAGCTTCTTATGATGTTGTGTTACCCCCCCATATAAGTAAGGCCTTCATCAAGTTTCAAGCTATCCTCGCACCCTATATTTTCGCCCCACGCCACTCAACAACGGAATATGCCTGCAGTTGCAACACCTCTTAGGTCCCTTCCCACCCTTCAGAAACTTGGAAGCACGGTCGACCGCAACCTCAATGCTCAAGCCGTTGCTAAAGAATGGTTCCTGGGCTTTGCAGATGCTATGAGTTGTGGAAATTATATACGGATTGCAAGTCTACTTGTCGAGGATGCCTTCTGGCGTGATATGCTTGCGCCTCACCTGGGACTTCCACACGTATGAGGGAAGTGATGCCATTCAACAGTTTATTGCAGATCAAATGCCGAAATTTAAACCCTTCGCATTCAAGATTCGCAATGACCTTATACGGTTACATGTACCCTACGAGGACATCGTATGTATTCAAGCATTCTTCGACTTCGAGACCACTGTGGGGCACGCATCGGGTATTTTCCGACTTGTCCCGATGGCGGATGGTTCGTGGAAGGCGCATACGGTGTTCACGAACCTCGAGGATCTTAGGGGATTCCCTGAGAAGATTGGAGCGCTAAGAGATAACGAACCGTACCATAAAAAGTGGATTGAATCAAGGGAAAGAGAGCGTGAATTCCTCGATGAGGAACCAGGTGTTGTTATTATAGGGGGTGGGCAGAGCGGGTTGACTGTTGCCGCACGCCTGAAGGCGCTCGGTATCAACGCTCTCGTAGTCGAACGAAATAAACGTATTGGCGACAATTGGAGGAACAGGTACGCAGTTCTTTGTGTGCACGACACTGTGTGTAAGTGAACGGCGATACCTCAACACTTTTGCTACCGCTGAAGTTAACCTAGGGTATGACCATCTCCCTTACATGCCGTAGGTCCCTTTCGCCTGCTATCGCTGAGCAAATCTTGATTTCCTCAGATTCCCTTCTTTGTGGCCTATTTATCCGCCTGCAGCCAAACTCGGGGATTGGCTCGAGACCTACGCTCATTCTCTTGAACTAAACGTGTGGACGTCTGCCGAGGTGGTCTCGGTCGATCCGGGTACGCAGGGAAAGAAGTGGTCTGTCAAGGTAGTCCGCTGCGATGGAAGGGAACGTGTCTTCCATGTAAATCACGTCGTGCTCGCTATGGGCTTTGGAAGTGGCCTGCCCAACATACCCAACATTCCTTGTCAAGTAAGTTGTAGCCAAGGCTAGATGCGACCGCTGCTTACGAATGTCATAAGGACGAGTTTAAGGGGCAGATTTTACACTCGAGTCAACACAAGCGGGCAACGGACCACCTAGGGAAGAAGGTCGTAGTCATTGGTGCATGCACATCAGGTACACCAACCACGTGCAGTTTCGGTGATTGCTAACATGCAACGCACAGCTCATGACATCTGTGCTGACTACGTTGACCATGGTGTCGGTGGGTTTTGTCCAAATCTTCCTTCAACCAATAGTTTGAGCATCTGCTGTCAGACGTCACGATGGTCCAGCGAAGTTCAACCTACGTAATGTCAGCGAAAGAGGGGATTCCAAGATTGACGGGTGGTAAGGCTTAGATCGTGTGCCTAAGACATTTTCTGTCCTTGATTATGTCTCTACGAAGGGCTTTATCTCGAGAATGGCCCTCCTACAGACATCGCCGATCGCATAAACGCGTCATTCCCAAACTTCCTCCTTAAACTCGTGCACCAACGGGTGGTGAAAGGTTTGGCTGAGGCCGACAGGTGCGTTTACACACGACGGAATTGGCATATCATCTTTTGTAAATGTCTATGTAGGGACACCTTGGATGGTCTCCGCAAGGTGGGATTCAAGCTGAACATGGGAGAAGATGATTCCGGACCAGTTCAGTTCATTTGGAAGAGGGGTGGAGGTTACTACTTTGGTACGTCTTGCTCGTGGTTTTCCTTCCAAGAACTCTCGATTGCTAACCAAGCACGAAAAGACGTCGGGGCATCGCAGAAGATCATCGATGGGGAAATCAAACTCAAAAGCAACGGCAGTATTACCAGGTTCACACCGAACGGACTGCTATTTGAGGATGGCTCAACCCTTGATGCGGAAGTAGTTATCTTGGCCACTGGGTGAGTGGACGCCAATACTTCTGACGCCGCCTAACTGAGTATGCCAAATAGCTACGCGGATGGGCGTACTGCATACCTGCGGTTGTTGCCAGGTCACTTGCATGATGCGGTCCAACCTATTTGGGGTCTCGACGATGAAGGAGAATTGTACTCCGTAGCGCGTGAAGTGGGAGGACGGGGGCCTCAGGCCCAGAAAGTCGCTGGGCTATGGGCAATGTTAGGCAATTTGGCCATGTGTCGATTCCACTCCAAGCACGTCGCGCTGCGTGAGTACCGAGTTTTGGCTCAGCTGACGTTTTTTTGTCGAACTGATATGGTTGGTCATAGAAATCAAGGCTTACGAGGAAGGTATATTTGGCGAACGGTACTAAGATGCTGGCCTTCTCCTTGATCATGAGTCACTCCAGAGTAATATTCGTCGGAGGTCTGCATCGTGAATATTGGTCGTATGTTCTATCAAAAGTTTTCCTCCTCGAATCTTCAACTTGATAGAAGATAGTCATTCGTCCGGACATCAGAATTATTAAACAGGATGCGGACCCTAGGTTGAATCCTTTCTTCAACTTTTAGCAGCCATGCTGCTTGCTACTTTTCGCTGAATCGCGTACCTAGCACTGGCCTTGTCACTGCCTGCAGTATACAACGGTGAAAAAGCGACTTCATTAACTCCCAAGTTAAGTTTTCACTTGTTCAACGATCACGTGTTTCCAGCTCGTGAGGAACATCGTAGTGAAGGGTGACTAGGACAACAAAGTACAAGTCACCAGTGGCATCACGGTTATAAAAGTGATGACCATGATTGTCATCACTGTCATAAAGGTGCAATTATCGAGCCAGAAAGCTCCGCACACTCCAATGAGGTAAGAATATATGCTCAAAAGATTCCAGAACGATGGCATTCCCAACAAAATGGAAATAGCTGTGAGCCTGAGTTTGCTTGTACGCATCTCCTATGGTCATTATTTTTTCAAGAGAGCGTGATAGATATCAGCAACAAGTACAGGGGAGAAAGGGTGGCACCCTTACCCTGACAACCTGAGGCTGGACGGTGTTCAAAAACCAAGCGGCCCCAAGGTAACTTGCAAGAGACAGAGCAGATAACAAGCCACCACTCAAGAAGCACTTCCGTTGAAATGCTGTTCCCGGGGTCTGGGGTTCCGGCCAAAACAGGAGAACTATAAGGGACGATCTGCATTTGCGTAGGTGTGAGTACAGGAAGACAGATGGGAAACATCACGGTGCAGGACATACAAAGTGATACCAAGAATACTAGGCCTTACAAGTGACATATGGTGCATCACCTCGCGTTTAAGATTACGCCACTCAGTTTCGTCCACTTGCTCTGCAGCTTGAACAAATCTCTGGAAAGAAGGTATGCCCATTAAGACGATGGACAGGTCTGAATACGAGGTTGGATAAATCGTAAATCATAAAATTGCAGAGAATGAATGCACAACGTACAGCGGCGGACATGCTGAGGGTTGGTAGAATCTTCAGACTCAATGCTCGAATTCAGGAGGGGTATGTCGGAATGTTCCCCTGTACGCTTTTCTTGCATTGCAGTGGATACAGGATTCTGCATGGACACGCTAAGTATTGTGAATGCGAGCCCGACTGTAAATATTGAAAGTACCTGAAACAGATACGCCACACGAAAGTCCGCGTCAAGTCGATAGGGGTAACCTGCCGCATTTCGTACATAAGCCAGAAGCACGTGACCTGGCAGCTAAAGAAAGGTCACTGGTGAACGGTCACGTGTTTAGGCTCGTGTATAAAACCCCGTAGTTTGCGCTTGTTTATACCGTGTTGGTTGCCTTCACAACCATGTCATTAATTAAGTGAGTACGGCAGGCTACCCCTGTCGACGCATACTAACGCGGGCGCTCTCGTGCAGCGCGTCTATCGAGGTAGGTCAGCGATAAATTCATTTGCTCCACAACGCCGAATTCATCTGTTCAGAGGAATTCACTTTATTTCGTGGAGGGAATGGGGCGGGCCACTGTCATGTCCGAGAAGGACATTGAGGCAGCCCCCGACACGCCCTTCGTGAATCCAAGTGAAAGTACCCCTCAGCGTTTTCTGCGTGGTGCGATTCTATCTTCCTGATGATCTACGCTGTAACCAACCGCGTGTCTAGGCTTGTCCTTCGTCATCATCGGCGCACCTTCACTTGGAAGATTTTTTCAGATCTTAGAGGATGAAGATAAAACGGAGTGGAACGCTCTCAAACAGAGGTTGATCACCCGCGCGATGCGCGTTGTTAATTGCACCACTGTCTTGAATGCGTATGTTCGACATCCTGATCTATATCCTTAACTTACACCTACACAAATGCAGAATGCTTATTCTGTCCGGATTCGGAAAACTCGAGTCCCCAAGAGTGGTGCTTGTATTGTTTTGCCTCATGGTTGCTGTTTCATGTGCTCTGTTGTGTGTTATGGGTAGCATTAGCTTCGCTATGGTTCTTGAGTCTGCCCAGCGGTTGCAGCCTCAAATCGTTACAGTAAGCATGCTATATTTACCTTATTATTGTTGCTGATCATGTTGCTGATAACTGATAATTGTAGGAGATCCATACGCGCACTTTCAAGCTTTTGGCTGTCGCCGGGTTCATGGGGTCGCCGATGTTCGTGTGGTTAGTGTCCGTGGTAGAGTCACTCCTTACTGGGGAGAGTGGGTATGCCTCACTTGGTGGCGAAGCCTTCATACGGGTGCTGATGATGATGCACCTATTGATGCTGACTGTGGCCGCATATGCTTATGTGTGGAAGCTCGCCGAGTTAAAGTCAGTCCACTAGTCTCGCTGTACCATAATGATAGACTTGACACGGTGTAGTAATGGCTTGCAAACCGTCAACGACGGTTCGGTACTCAGTGGTGACTCCTGTCGATACCTTATTTAATTCCACTGCAGGGTCCGATCATATGTGTACCCTACAGTACATTGGCTAGAATTCTATAATCGATCACTCAAACTTAACGTATGGACAGTCTACTTCTGGAGGTTATGGGTGCCGAGCTGGGCAAGTTGAGGACAGGAAGTTGTCAGTCAAGGGGGCCCTCGAGGACGGAGGGGTGGGTTGCATCTTTTCGAAGCGAACCATATTGTGTTCGCCCAGTGTTCGCCCTTGCCTCCAACATACCGTCAGGATGCCAAATATTCCCGCTCAGGCGTGTAATTCACGGTTGAGATTGTTCAGCTTATTGGGCTGACAGCATCTTTGGCCGGCACGAACGCAGGACGACTCAGACTAGTTCAAAGGCCAGGTGTTACACGCATTGAAGGTTTCAGCTAGTCACTGGACCGCCATGGCTGAGTGGATGATAGTGTACCTATCATGCGGGCTTATTGCTGTTATCAGAGATTGAGGAAGGGGGACGGTATTTTGTAAAATCCTTGCGTTCCAATCTTCAGTGCGAAGCATATGTATATACCGTTCTATAGTTCAAGCAAGGGGGAGGCTAGCTCCCGTCGATATATACCGATTAGTAAAGTCATGACAAACGATGTGCGCAGCGACAGCATAGGTGATGTATGTATATGTAAACCCAGTAACCGTCAAGATATCCGTTCCTCGTGCCATGGTGCAGCCTCAACCCTATGTATCCCGGTTGTAAACCAACAACTGATCGCCAAATCGTAAAAGGAGGGGAAAAAAGAAAAGAAAATCGTTGCGTAATCTCCCGTTCGTTTACCTGCCTTCTACTTTGGCCATCGCTTCCCCGAGGGTATCATAGAAAGCATCGGCACCCAACATGGCCACAACACCAGCGTTTTCGAACATCTCGCGAATATTAGGGCGGAGATGCGTGACGAACAAGCGGATTCCGCGGCTCTGCAACACTAACGAGTGAGTACTGGACAGAACAATTGGAAGCATGACGGACGCTTGCCTTGTAGTTCTCGAGCAATTCATGGAAGATTTGTACTGCCCTATACATGTGTATATAAATCCGATTAGCGATGATGAGGCGGTTTACATAAATGAACGTGACGCACGAAGCATCGCAAGTCTCGACGTCTGCCATGTGGAAGACAAGGACTCGAGGGGCCTGTCTCCGAGGTTCATCTGAGGGATGAGCTGGTTCCACGCCGTACAACTCGAATCGGCGCAGGCGAACTGTGGGAGTTGGAACGGAACGCACGGTCAAAATTAATATTACTTTTCGATGAAAGACCAAGACTTGCCTTTAAGTTGAGAGGTGTTCGCTTGTGGAAGGGAAGGTGTGAGTAGTGAATTGGACAAGCACAATGTATGAACTCGCGCACCAAAATCAAGGCTTTCTCGGATCCGCACGATGAGTGCTCCAGGAACGTCTTCCGCCTCCGGATTGTCCGTCACCGGTCTCCACTGATCCGTTCCAGGAATCCGGCCCTAAGACCCAAACAGTTCAGGCAAAGCAGATGTGGCGTGCGGGAGAAAGAAAACATACGAGGATGGTCATGCGGGTCTTGGAGGAACGACGGATGACGAGTAACAGGGATATAATCAAGCTGACGACTAGGCCAATCTCGATGTTCCAGATGACCGAAAGGAAGAACGTGATGAACATCATCGCGAGATCTGTCCAGGCTCCGATGCTGGAGAGCGCAATCATACCATATAAGCACTTTTGGAAGGAAGCAGGAGTAGAAGACATGGACAAACTTGTAATAGTAAATTAGGTCGTGTGGCAACTCCGAGAAGAGCGTTACCACGAAGAGACAAATACTACACGAGGAGAGTCAGCACATCTTAACCGCATAGCACCATCGCCAAACATTCATACATCGACGCAAGGACGCATTTCGGAAGGAAATACAACGCAGGCAAGAGGAAGAACGTCGCAAGGAGAACGACTGGCGGCTGCGAATAACGAAGAGAGTTGTGACCTCGCACCGATCTCGCCATTGATCCGAGTCCTGAGACATATGTACAAGTAAACTGATTGTCCGAAGAGTAGAGTCCATACCGAGGACAAACCTGACGATCGAGCCAAAAGCTGGTAAGGTACCAGGGACGAATGAACCGAAGAGATTGGCGGCACCAAGAGCGACCAGCTCCCGGTTAGGACTAATCGGGTATCCGTAGCGGTCGCCGCTCTGTTTAGCAGCCACGATACTATCCAGGTACCCCAAAATGGTAATCAGGCTAGAAAAATATAATAAGCTGCCGAGTATTGCGAAGGTCATCATGAAGATCCCTACATAGCAATGGATGTCGTTCCCCGAATGAAAGGATGTGTGGATTTCCGCAGAGGGAACTTGAAGAAATAAGAGCCAGTCTGAACGGACACGTCGCCGAGGATGGCGACTCCCTCTTCGTCCCACCGCAACTGCTTGGAAAGGACTTATGTATCCACCACGTTAGCCAAAATCATCCTGCAAGATCATTGAAGAAAAAAACGTACCGGTTGCCAAAACGACGGCAATGAGGACTTCAGGAAGACGATAAATCCACCACGTATTTTTGAAGTAATTTTTGAATGCGCGGAAGAATATCAAGGCTGCCAACATGCCGAAGCTGACAATGGTTGTCAGTTTATGGGCATCTGACCATATGTATTCCATCAGGAAGATGATCTTGTCCAGCGTTGACTCTGGCTGAAGTGTGTTTTCCAGGGCTGTTAGCCCAAACATGGGAACCAGTTGCTCGCTGTGCGACGATCAGGACGACGATATATGGTAAACAAGCGAGATGACTTACACGGCAATTACCAAAGCAATTGCAGTGACGAACCCTCGGAGGAGAGCACGGCTGAGAACGACATCGAGAAAGCCGAGACGGAAAAACCCTAGAAAAGAAGCGAACAATCCAACCTAGACACATATTATCAACACGAGATTGTCCTCGTCGAAAGTGGACATGGTATACCTGTAGCCCTATTGCGGTGGCGACCGAGACGCCTATGTGATCCGGATCCTCGTTGGGGTTATTGTGGCGGTATTCCGTAACCGCCTGTCCTACAAGCAAGGACAGAGCGGCTTCGGGTGCCACGTTCAGCTGACGTGATCCGCCAAGTAAGCTGTACATGAGTGGGGGTATGGACGCAGCAAACTGGCACGCGACGGCGGTTCAGAAGGGAATAGGACATGCCGTAGGACAGACGTACCAGCCCAGCAGTGGGGGTAAGTTTTGCGAGGGATGTTCCATAACTGACTGAGAGCGGTATTAACATCGCTGCGATGGACATGCCGGCGAGCAAGTCCCCTCCGAGACTGGAATGAGTGAAATGAGGGGACGGACACAGCGCGCACGAAAGAGACACGCACTAGGACAGCGAATAGTCGGGTATCCAAGCTGTGGACGGGACATAGTATCTTACTCTTCTTGCAAACTTGGAGTTGCGCTTGGACGACGATGGGAGGGTGTCTGGATAGCATGACCATGACGTGACGTAGTAGAGTGTGGAGATGGAGACATACTAGTAGTTTCCGAGAGGTCAGTCGTTTCTCGTGCCGTAGCGCGCAGGACCAGCCTCGATGTCTGACTCCGGGTGGTTGACGAGGGGAGTGGTTTCGTCGTCGCGAAGGGCAACCATGCCCGACAAGGATACAAAGGAGGATGAGGTGGACAGACCAAGGGAACCGCCGACTCGTGTCCTCATGCTCGTCACTCATCTTAACTTTGCATGGACTGTTGCGCCGACTGCGAACCACGAACAGAGCTCTCGATCAGCCAATCGGAATCACACCCCGCGATCACGTGAGACGGTCAATTCCGCCGCCCGAACGCCGCCTCGAATCGAGCGTGGAATGGAGCTCACCGCAGGACTTTAATGTTGCGGTACTTATGTTATCTTGGAACATCACGCGGACGCCCCGTCAGAACATACACTATTGCGTGCGATAAGGCGATAAGTGACTCGGATTCCAGCCAGGAAGAGCCTTCCATATTAAGGGCAGAGCCACCAGGGACAAACAGCGCCAAACAGTTCCCCGGACGGTTCAAATACGGTGACCTGGCTTGGCTTGCGTCTCCCTCCACCCGCCTGCCATGTCCCGCTTTGTTGCTGTCTGGCTATCGCTGGCGGTGCCCCTCGCACCCCTCGCTTTCGCAAGTCCTCTCTCCACATCACCTTATCATGCACCCGCACGGACCCACCTGTCCGTCGCACCCCTCCATGTCGAAGACCACCCCCACGGCACGATCGACAACTCCTATATCGTCGTGCTGAAGGAGGACGTGTCCCCCACGTTGATGGACAACCATCTCAACTTCTTGCAGATGGCTCATGCCTCAGACTCCCTCCTCGGGGACTCGGTGGCTGACGGTCTCCGTCATATCTATGATGGCGGACTCAAGGGATACGCAGGCGAGTTCACAGAGGGCGTTGTGGAACAAATCCGCAGGATGCCCGAGGTTGACTTCGTTGAGAAGGACCAGGTCGTCCGCGCGACATACTTCAACGAGACTATCATCGAACAGAAGGGCTCTCCCTGGGTACGTTTCCCAACTCTAGAATTCGTCCACGCGCTCACTCGGGTGCATTACGATAGGGTCTTGCGCGGATAAGCCATCGACCCAAGTTGACTTTCTCGACTTTCACAAAGTACGTCTACGATGACGTGGCAGGAGAGGGCGTAGACGCCTATATTATCGACACCGGTATCAACGTCGCGCACGAAGAGTTCGGAGACCGCGCAGCCTGGGGATACACCGTGGTTCGCGACGATACGGACTCTGATGAGAACGGCCACGGTACTCACTGCGCTGGCACTATCGCTTCTGACAAGTATGGCGTTGCTAAGAAAGCACGAGTGATCGCAGTCAAGGTTCTCGGCTCAAACGGCAGTGGTTCCATGTCCGACGTCATTGCTGGAGTAGAATGGGCGCGCAAATCAGCTCTCGAGAAGGCCAAAGAAGCGCGTGCCGAACGTGCTGCAACTGGAAAGAGCAAGCACAAGGGTTCCGTCGCAAACATGAGTCTTGGAGGTGGTAAATCGAACGGTTTGGAAATCGCAGTGAACAGGGCTGTCGACCAGGGTATCCACTTTGCTGTCGCTGCCGGTATGCAACTGTTAACTACGCGAGATCGATTCATTAACATCCTAGTAAGGTAATGACGATCGCGACGCTTGCAAATACTCTCCCGCCGGTGCCGAGAAAGCAGTCACCGTCGGCGCCTCCACTCTCGGCGATGAAAGGGCCTACTTCTCAAACTACGGCAAATGTGTGGATGTGTTTGCTCCTGGTCAGTCCATGTTTACCAGCTGCTCCTTGCGCCGGCTAACGTCTGTCAAAGGTCTCAACATCCTGTCCACCTACAAGGGCAGCCGTCATGCGATCGCTACTTTGTCGGGTACCTCTATGGCTTCTCCCCATACTTGCGGCCTCATGGCGTACTTGCTCTCGATATATCCCTCCGCAACATTCAACCCAACGTTCTTAAACGATGCTGAACCCTCAGAATGGAACGACCGGTATGCTTCGATATACTCCATCGCGTACACGGTGCTTCCTCGCTGGATCGTGGCCTTCCTCCCGCCGCCCCAATTCCTTGCGCCTATTCCTTTGGATGACGTTACCATCCTCTCACCCAAGGCCCTCAAGCAGGCACTCCTCGAGCTGTCCTCCAAAGGCCTTATCAATGACGTTGGTGATCAAAGCCCCAACAAGCTCATCTTCAACAACGCCACATCGTATTAGAGCCAGGATATACGTCCGCATCTAATTAGTCTTTCGTGACTGCGCCCAGTTGGCTGTACTCCATATGTTCATGTACTATAGTCTTGACAATGCTATCTATCGATCATATACTTTTGCGACAGTTAGCCCTGTCTTGCACTTCTGTTTCTTGGAGTTCTCTCGTGCCACGCGTGGCTCTGACGAGGATACTTCCCAGCAATTCCCACAGGGAATCTTGGATTTTTCTCCGAGTGCACACTCACGTGACAGCCTAAAAGGTCACTCAGTTGAGCTCCTGTCAATACAACTTCACCGCCGTCATTCTGCCCGGCAGTGTGCATGTACTGAGTGGTGAGCAAGTCCAAGCACTAAATGGTATGGCATGGAGGTATGAAAAAAACCATCCAATTATTAAGGACGACGGACACATGATCGTTGCAGGTTGTCAACTCACGAACAGCCCTTCTGTCCAACTTTGAAGTCCTAACACTCCTATGCGAGCTCGATGCTAAACACGTTGCACGAACGAAAGCCGCGGTCCGTACCAAGAAAGAGGAAGATGCAGGCGGGAAACCGAGCTTGGACTCGCATATCGAAGAAGTGTCCGAGAATTTGAGGACGGTGGAACTTGAGGTGTGTGTACAGTTTTCACAAATGATCTTCCTGGCTTTCGTAGCAGTGGTCACTTCTAATTAACTACTATACTACCCAAGGCTATCCAATACCTATCTGCGGAATACCAGCCTATGCGGCAACAGTGCGAAGCTGGGGTCACTCAGCTCGTCAAGGACCTCGCACCGTTCGGTCTGACGAAGGCGGAGAAACTTCAAGTAGTCAATCTCGCGCCGACGGAAGCGGTGGAACTCTACGTGGTAGGCTAAAACAAAGGATCTTGACTGACGCCGTCGATGTGTGAGCTCAAGCACCGATATATGTAGATCGTCGAGGAACTGGAGGATCGCTTAGGCGATCGGATGGACCAGATCCTTTCGGTCGTTTCGAAATCGCTCCAAGGTAGTCATAATGGCACGAACGGTCCTCCTCCCGCGCACACGCTCGAGACAGCACTATCAGAACCTATTATGGCGGAACATGTCGAGGTATACGCGGAGGAAGAAGAGCGGTGGGAACATGATGACATCGAGTTCGACGATTTTGGAGAGGGTGTGGGTGTTGAAGGGGATCTGGACATGGAGGATAACGGAGAATAGCGGGTGGTACCGTTACGTTGCTCGCGCACATCGAAAGGCCGTACAGATGGCTCTGGCAGCGTTCCTACTAAAGGAAGCGGGAATAGCAAGGGATATGAAGCGGTTGGCTTCCCGCCCACACAACACTATCAAAAGTATGTTTCCTCTGACTAGAGCTCTCGGATGTTCGCACATTATCTCAGCATGTCTTAGTAGTCTGATCCATTAAATCGCATTGCGACATCTACTCTGCTGTAAGTGACATCGTCGGTAGTGTGATGGTACCGGTCCAAAAATGTTACCAGCGCTGCCCAGCAGCACTTGTCATCTACAAGCGTGTAAGGAGTGCAGATCAACGATACACTAGTGTCCCGGACATTAATGTTCGGTCATCTGAAAAGAAGTCCCCGTGAAACTTGAAAAAAAAAAAAAGAAAGTATCATATCAGCCAGGATAAGATGATGCTGTCATGAACGCTTCATGACGCAACGCCACAGCAGCCTCAGCGTCCGAGTCCCGACCAGCCTGCCAGGTACGCAGTTCAAGGGCCCGCGCGATCTCCTGTAGAGCCACGGCGCACCCTTTGTGGCCCGGAGGGAACGCACTGTGGAGGCTCCGATGGATGAGAATCGTGTCCAGATACGCGCCGTCCGTCGTCTGGAAAGCCGTCGATGCAACGGGGTATGGGTAAGGGCACGGAGAGAGCACGGGGGACTCGGGGGCGAGGAAAGCGAGAATGGATTGGAGGAAGTGGCATGCTGGGAGTGGGGAAGCTGGGATCACGGTGGTGGTAGTGGTGGTGGTGATTGCTGTTGTTCGTGAGTGATCGGTTGTAGGGTGTGGGTCGTTGCATGAGCTGCACTTTGAGCTTGACGATTCCGACGCGTCGGACTGAAGGGGAGGCAAGAAAACGCCGGTAAGTATGACGATCCAGACCCAGGAACGAGGGCATTCCATTGATGCTACCACGTACGAGATAAGCCAAGTCCTCCGTGTTTGCATCGAGCGCGTTTACACCTTGCAAGGCACACAGGACAGAGGGTTCCGTTGCCGTTATTGGCTCCTCGAGATCCTTTCTCCAGGGAGTGTGAGCGACATCATCGTCTACCATCCGACAGTGGACAAGTTTGACCCTGGCCAGCAGCTTACCTTGGTCTTCCGTTTGGACAAGGACATCGATTGCAGGAGGTTACACAAATCTACCTCAGATGCATATCCCTGAAAATACCGTTGGTTTGATCGGAATCTCTCAGACTCAGATTGATTAAGAATACTTACAGGGAACTCGAGCCGGCGAGTCTCTTCGTAGCCCGTAGCAATGACGGGCCCAACGGGTGACGTCATTTCGATATCCATCATAGTTCTGGCTGAAGCTGCTTGAATGAGAGAGAAAGAGAGAGAAACCAAGCGTTGACAGTCGTCGAAGGATGGGTATTGCGGTATAGACCGCGTTCTTCAAGCAATTTATAAGGGCTACATAAGTGCCACGGTCCGGTTAAACATGCGGCGCCTGCCAGTCACTTGCCAGTTTGTACCTCGTGTCAGAGGCGTGCTCGCTGCTCCTCCAGTAGTTCACACATCCGGTTAGTTCAGTGATGGCAGCTCTGGGGTGCTGGGCACACACACTGAGCTATAAAAATACGAACTCCTCCTGCGTACATAGTATCGAGCGCATCAGATATGAGTATTGGGATGTGTACTAAGGAACAACGTAATATCATGTCCGGGGGGATACTTATGGGCACCGATGCTAATACTGGCTAGTATGTTACAAGTTGAGATCGTTGACGGAACTCGTTATTGACCCGTTCCGTGACCCTAAGTGACATCAGGCGCCATGATGCAGACCGCACACAATCAGCACTGCTTCCCCTCCAAGGACGAATCAAACGATTTTACACTGGAATATTAGCGTCCCAGAGGACACGAGGTGGAACGCACGCGATTCACTCGTCGCACAGAAGAGAGGCAGGATAGATTCAAAATCGACACGGGTTCAGTTATTATGGGTATAGAGCCTGCAGCCGTACATGCATTGGCGGGTACCCCACCAGACGGTGGTGCATAGACCCAGGTCACAGGATGCCCACGTGGTTACTTGCCAGTGATTAGCGTGCAGAGATATGCGTCCTCCCGAACCCTGACTTCATGACTTCATCAGGGTTGTCATCCGTTCCGGGCGTGAGTTTCATGGCTGGACCAAGTTCACGTTAATTCTGCGGGCGGCCTTGTCAGCTTAACGAATAATCGTGAAAAAAGAGAGAGAGAAAAAGAAAGAAATCAGAGAGAAGATCCGACTCCTGCTGTGGTGCAGGAGCATAATCATCCACGAGCGTCCGAGGACCTCGTGTCGACGTAAAAGTACGATTGATACGACGGTTTGCATCAGGTAAAACGTCACCTCGGAGCTGATGGGCTTACCTGTCAATGTAGTTGAAAACATCCCAAACAGAGAATTTCAGCAAAGAACCCAAGCCGTTGGTGTCCAGCATCGTATCGGAGTCTCCAATGGTCACGTGATGCAGCACAGACCGCGAGCAGGACTGCAAAGTTGTAGCCTCGCGCCATTAACGATGCCGATGGCCTCCTCAGCTAAAACGTGAAGCTCTGGATTGCTTGTGAGTTCAGCTTTGCGAGGGAAGTCGGTGATGCGTATAAAGCCTCCCCGGTAAGTGTGCGGTTGACCGCATTTCAGGTATGCCAGTTATCCGGAGCGCGTCGTCCAACTCACGCCGTGGGTCGTTTTGCCGTGTAAAACCATCAGCAGCTGGTGGAAATCATGAGAGTTTTGAACTTCCCGTATCTGAAACTGCGGGAGGACCCAGTGACATGGAACAGCCGGAACCCGCTTATAATATTCCATGTACGTTTCATCGCTGATGCTCATCTTTGCCGTCAACGCCTCTCTTTCTATAGATGGACGGAACACTGGGGACGCAACTGTACCAACGGCCCAGGGCACCCCGTCGCCTCTGAGGATTGATATCGAGGAAGATGCAAATACCAATTCCGAACTATTATCTGCTTGGATGCTTAGATTACAAACCCTCACTGTTGTCGTGGGTATACATCAAATATACATTCTTTCTCTCCGTTGATGTTTTCCAAGACCACTTTCCTCGTGTCTATGGACTCACAAATGTTCTCTTTGACTGCTGCTGAAAGCAGCCTGTCACGAAATACTAGTCAAACTACTCAGCAAGTTGTACATGCATGTCTTTCTGGGGCTTTAGTGTTTCACTTGTGCGCCGGTGAGCGGCTCCTCGCTTACCTTGGAACTCACAAGCTCATTTGCACGCCTTAGCTATCACCGCATATATTGCCTCGTTTGCGCTTATTCGTTATAGGATCGTCGATGCATCTCCCGAAGACGTTCATCCCGGAATTGACAGTCGCAAAACGAGTCCATTGGGGGCTTGGAATCTGAGTGCCCAACCTTCACCCAAGAAAATCGTACTCGAATCGATCCGTCCACGGGAGGGAGCGTTGGTTGTATTCCGTGCTCTAAGGCCAAACCAAAACATGGGAATCGGCTCGCGCTCCTCTCCTCCACCTCTATCTCTCCTCAAGCATTGTTACTACACGACGCTGTGCCAGACGGCGATGGGTTTCATTCTGGCACTCACTGGTTTCCTATCATATTCCTGGGCAGGATTCTCTGTCCAAGTGGGAGGATTTTCAACTGTGTGCCTTGGCATAGGCCTTGGTACAGGACTCTGGGCAATTACTTCATAGACGGCTGAGTACCTTCCTAACATAAGAATCTTCCTTTTTGTTCCCGGCACATGTGCAGTAGTGTTTTCCGAACGGACATTCATCACTGGCTTGGTGAGTTTTCCCTGTGATGTTGGTACCTGGATTGCACCAAGGGCTGGAGCACACCTTCCTTTGCAACGATCCGTCCTCACGTAAATCACCCTTGCCTATCCGGCTCGACCTTGTTTTGCCTGTTGTATTGGTCCACATGCGGTGCTTTTTAGTTGACCTAGATCACTTTCACCGCAATAGTTTGAAAGGGCACTGCCCAACCTCGAACTCCTCCCGTGTTGCATTATCATGTACCTGAGACCACGACTGTTAGCAATACCTAGAGCTGCTACTGAACACCAGAATACAAGCATGTCGCACCGCGCCGTGGATAACCCAACTTGAAGAGTTTCACCAGTTATGGACTTTCCTGTGAAACCATTGATGGGCATCATGATCCAAGGGTCTGTGACACTTGGCTTGGAAAACGGTCTCCAACGTCGGGGATACTGTGTCCTCTGAAGGGCATTTCGAAGGAGAATATGTAACCCTGCACGAGTACAGGCCAGACCTTCATTAATATATCTACCTCATGACGTCAAAGATGGATTTGGATCAAGACTTGAGTGCGTGCCGCCGACTGGAGCGTTATTCCCATGCAAACTGCAGATTAGATTCAAGCCATTGAAACTACCTAGTACAAACCATTTCATACATTGCACAGGGTATTTTCCATTCCCAGTTGCGAAAGGTTTTGAACCGTCCTCCGTGGAAAACCCCTGTTTCACTTCCGAGATGTGACCTGCCAATTTAGGCAGGTGTTGTTTTTGTCGTCTGTTCTTCCGTCTCCACCTTCACTTTGTTGGGCAGATTTTCGAACACGTTTTCAGTCTGATTACGCTGTCCAACATGTGTGGAATGACCTCCCTACCCATGTCTTGTCAGCCCTAGGGCGATGTACGCCTTCGCGGCAGATGGCTATATGTAAGTGTCCAGTCGCACCTTGAATCGAGTTCACAAGCATCGCCCTTCCAACAGATAAAGAAGACTTTGTTTATTTTGCCTCGTCCTCAGAATTCTGAACTTTCCCCGAGTCCGTTTCCTCACTACCCTCATCGCTACATCTCTGTCTCTTACCAGCCTTACAGTCTATTAAGTTTGACCTTCTACCACCAGCAGTAACTGTTCGCTCAGTTTCGGTGGACTCCGAGAGCATCCATTCGCTTGAGCATGCGTATAGTCGGAGCAGACTGCACGACGTGGCTGGCGGTGTTGTGGTGCAGCCGTTGGGTGCCGACATCGACGTGTCATCCACGCTGTTGGCGCAAGTCAATGCAGCGACCCGAGAGGTGCGGCCTCTACTTGAGAGCAGGGCAGTTCATTTCTGTGTGTCTTGCAGGCTTGATGGTACTACTGATTTCACCGACGCTAATGGACCATTGGTATTTAATTCGACGTAGGACGAGATGACGTCAAACGGCGTGATGGCGCTCTCAATCGTTGACTCGAGCAACACAATTGGCTGAGCCAGTGTGTCAATTGAGGACCTGTAGGACTGTCCGCCCAGACACCATGATAATGTATAAGGTGTCTGGGGTCCCGTGGGTTTTGTTTGGCTGGAAGTTGCACGAGGCTGGGTTGTAGTGTCAAGTACTGAGACCCTCCCTCAGTGATCCTCCTTCACTGTCTTCTTCGCTCAAATCGCCACTCTCAACCACCTGCACTTGAACCCATTTCTCTTCTTGAGATGTCTGCCAACCGCTTGGTCCCTAGCAGTGGCGAACGTAAAGGCACCACCTACGCGCCTACCCCTGAGGTTGTGGACCGGAATGTTAAATCACTCCTCAACAAGCTCACTATGGAGAACTTCGACTCGATCTCTGACCAAGTTGTTGCATGGGCCAATAAGTCAGAGAACGAAAAGGATGGACGGACACTCATACAGGTTATCAGGGTCATTTACGAGAAGGCTATTGACGATAGTAACCGCAGCGAGATATATGCCCGGCTCTGTCGCAAGATGATGGAAACAATCAGTCCCAGGCTTCAAGATGATGACATTAAGAGCACTGACAGGGAACCCATTACAGGTGGACTACTCTTCCGCAAATACCTTCTCAATCAGTGTCAAGAAGACTTTGAGCGTGGTTGCGTTGGCATGAAAGCTACGGCTCGTGCAGCGGCAGCCAAAGCCAGTGATGAAGAAGCTATCAAGGCAGCCGGCGAGGGCGAGCTCTACTCTGATGAGGACTACGTGACTCAGCAAGCGAAACGCCAGAGTCTCGGTCTTATCAAGTTCATCGGCGAGTTATTCAAGCTTCAGATTCTCGCTGAACGTATCATGCACGAATGTGTCAAGAACCTGCTTGGCAATATGGAGAACCCCGAGGAGGAAGAGATCGAAAGCTTGTGTCAGCTGTTGAGAACTGCTGGCCAATTTATGGATGTTCCCAAGGCACATGCACATATGGATGTGTACTTCCAAAGGATGAGCGAGCTCTGCGAGAACCCGAACGTTAGTCCTCGTATGCAGTTCATGCTTCAGGTGGGATTGTCGATGTTTGCTTGCCATCGTTCACCAATTAATATTTGGCTGTTTCATTAGGATGTGATTGAACTTCGTGACCGGAAATGGCAACCTCGTAACGTGGTTAATGCGCCTACTACGCTTGCCGCAGTGCACGAAGCGGTTTGTACCCGTCGTTCATCGTTGCACCTAGATGCTCAAAGATATGATATCTAGGCTGCTCAAGAAACCCAGGCGTTCCAGCGGCAATTTAGCATGTCTCGAGGTGGTTCGAAACGAGGTGCCGAGCGCAACGTTGAGCCCTCTCCTGACGGTTGGGCAGTGGCTGGAGGCTCGCAACCTACACCCCCAACCAAAGCAGGCGACCTTTCGCATTTCGGCAAGATCAGCAAGGCCGCTCCGATGGTCATGGGTCCGAGCAACGTTTTCGCTGGCAAGAAGGATATCAAGCGCGAGTCAATGACACGCACGAACTCGAGCTCTAACATGTTCTTGATGCTCAGTCAGAACCCCGAGCTTGCCATGGAACCCAAACCCAGCCGAGCACCTAGCCGGAAGCCCAGTACGGACTTGGACAAATCGGAACCTACTCCACAGCGTAAGAAACTTCAACTCCTACCCCGCACGATCCCCGCCCCTGGTGAAATTTCGTCGCCCTCATCAGAGGAAGAACCCGAGGCAGCACCTGCAGCCCAGATGTCAGAAAAAGATGCGCAGAAGAAGATCGATGAGGACGCTAAGGAATTCTTTGCTGCCCGCAACCTTGAAGAGGCGGACGCATACTTCACCGCCCTCACCAAAGAGCATCGATTCCGACTGGTTGACAAGCTCGTTTCAACGGCACTGGAAAGCAAGGAAGCTGATGCTCGTTTGGTCGCTGACTTCTTCTCTCGTCCTGCTTCACAACACGAGTGCTTACCAGATGCTTTCGAAGCTGGATTCATGCCCATGGCTGAGCTACTAGATGACATTGCCATTGACGCCCCCAAGGCATTCGAGTACATGGCAATCATGTTGAAAGGGGCTGGAATTGACAAGGACGAACAGAGAATGAAGCGAATTGCTGAGAAGGTGATGGACGGTGGTGATAGGTTACTTCAGCTCGTCTCGTCATGAACACTTCATCGACACACATTTCGTTTACTTCCTTGGGGATTTTACTTACATCCTAAGTTGTGCTCCCATCTTCATATGTATATTACTTTGTTTCCATCTATCGCTCGCATCGTTTTTCTGATGCATCTTAGTCTCTGTTCGCGAGTGACCTGGTTTCTGTAACACATGATGATCTGTCTTATACATCGCGTAGCTTTTCCTCCCTATCCATTCATTGACCTAGTTTTTTTACAGCATAGGCTACAGCTTAACAGTATATCAAACACGGCTACCCAACTCTCGCCTAAGAGCACCATACTCGAATCTATCCATCCACAGGAAAGCATTGGTTTTTATTCTGTGATCAAAAGCTAAATCAAAACATGAGAATCAGCTCGTATCCCTCTCTTCAAGCGTTGTTACTTAACGTACAACGCCGTGTCAGACAGCGGGGGTTTCATTATGGCATTCACTGGTTTCCTACTTACCGTATTCCTGGGCGAGAGGCTCTATCCATGTTGGAGGATTTTCAACTATACCTCCGCCTTGGCATAGGCATCAGTACATCGTGCTCCATTCGAACCTAACATAAGAATCCTCCATTCTGGTTCTGGTACATGGTTGATGCAAGCGACGTGTTTTCCGACCAGACGTGGTTGGTGGGGACATTGATATTTACCTTACCATGGATTGCACCAGAGGCTGCTTACCCATCTAGCCGAACGGTGTTTTCCCTGCTGTATCTGTTTACATTCATTACGGTTGACCCAAATCACTCAGCTCGCTAGGCCACTGCCCATTCCCTCCAGTTATTGCATTACCATTTACCCGCGGCCAGATTGTTACTGAAACCTAGAGGTGCTACCTGTTCTTCATTGGGATAGGTCTTTGCCCCACCCGTGTGGACAAACGAAAGGAAGTTTATCAGTGCAGGAACACAGGGATCCCTTGTGATCGCAAGAAGACAAGAATGTCGCACCGCGACGTGGATAATCCAACTTGAAGAGTTCCACCATTTATGGCACCGACCTTCAGGTGAAACCACTGAAGGGCATTAGGGGCCTATGTAGGACTCCTGACCTGGAAAACGATCTCCGACGTCGTAAACACTGCGACCTCTAAAAGGCGTTTTGAAGGGGAATATGTAACCTTGCGTGAGTACCCAAACCTTCATTAATATGTCTACCTTGTGACGTCAAAGATGGATTTGGATCAGGACTTGAGTGTCCGCCGCCAACTGAAACGTTATTCCCAGGCAAGCTGCAAATCAGGTTCAAGCCTTTGAAACTAACTAGTGATATATCGCACAGGGTGTTTCAGAGTGTACGTTGGCGGGTCCCAGTTGCGAAGCTTTGAACCGTCCTCCGCGGAGAACACTTGTGTTACTTCCGCGATGAGGTCACTTGCCAATTTAGGCAGGTATTGTTTTCGTCTTCCGCTCTTCCGTTTGCTTTTCACTTCTCCTTTGTTGGGCAGATTTTCGAGCACGCTTTCAGTCCGATTACGCTGTCGAACATGTGCGGTGAGGCTACCCATGTCTTGTCAGCCCTAGGGGGCCTTCGCGGCAAATGGCTATATGTAAGTGTCCAGTCACAACCTTGAGGGTAGTAACTCCCTTTCAACAGATAAGAAGACTTTATTCTTTTCCCTAGTCCTTAGAATTCGGATCTCTTCCTCGAGCCTGCTTCTTTCACCGCCATTGCCGCTACATCGGGGTCTCTCACGAGGTTACACCCTATGAAGTTAACCTTCTACCACAGTACATCCGACCTGGTAGCTATTCGTTGAGTCTCTGTCGACTCCAGGATCATCCATTCATCTGAGCATCTGTGTCGGAGTCGCAGACTGCACGACGTGGCTGGCAGCGTCGTAGTGCAGCCATTAGGTGCCGACGTCGACATGTTACTTACGTCGTTGACACAGGTCGATGCGGCGATCCGAGAGGTGCGACCTTTATTTGAGAGCAGGGGAATTCATTTCCGTGTGTCTTGCAGGCTTCATGGTACTGCTGACATCACCGACGTTGATGGATCACTGGTACTTGATTCGACCTAGGACGAGATGACGTCAGACGGCGTGAGGGCGCTCTCAATCGCTGTTTTGAGCAACACAACTGGCTGAGCGAGTATGTCAATTGAGGACATGTGTATGCGAGGTGTCTGGGGTCCGGAGGGTTTTGTTCGGCTGGAAGTTGCACAAAGCTGGGTCGTAGCGTCACTAAGACTCTCACTCGGTGGACTTCCTCCACTGTCTTCTTCGCTCAATCGCCCCTCGCGGCGACCTGCGCTCGAGCCCGTTGCTCCTCTTGAGATGTCTGCCAACCGCTGGGTCCCCAGCAGTGCCCAACGTGAAGGCGCTATCGACGTGGATACACCTGAGGTTGTGGCCTGGAAAGCTAAATCACTCCTCAACAAGCTCACTACGGAGAATTTCCACACGATTTCTGACCAAATTATTGCATGGGCCAACAAGTCGGAGAACGAAAAGGATGGACGGACCCTCATTCAGGTCATCAGGCTCGTTTACGAGAAGGCTATTGACGATGCCGACCGCAGCGAAATGTATGCTCGACTCTGCTCCAAGATGATGGAAACGATCAGTCCCAAAGTTCAAAGTGATGGCATTAAGAGCACCGACGGGACACCTATTACAGGTGGTCAGCTCTTCCGGAAGTACCTTCTTAGTCGGTGTCAAGATGACTTTGAGCGTGGTTGGGTTGTCAAGGGAGCCACAGCTCGTACAGCAACCAAAGCCAGTGATGACGAAGCAATCAAGGCAGCCAACGAGGGCGAGTTTTACAACGAGGACTACGTAGCTCAGAAAGCGAAACGTCAAGGTCTCGGTCTTATCAAGTTCATCGGCGAGTTGTTCAAGCTTCAGATGCTCTCCGAACGTATCATGCACAAATGTATCAAGGAGCTACTTGGTAATATGGAGAACCCTGAGGAAGAAAACATCGAGAACTTGTGTCAGTTGTTGAGAACTGCTGGCCAATTTTTGGATGTTCCCATGACACGTGTACATATGACCTTGTACTTCCAGAAGATGAGGGAGCTCTGCAAGAGCCCCAACGTTCGTCCTCGTATGCGATTCATGCTTCAGGTAGGATCTTGCTCGCTTGCTTGTCATCGTCCGGTCTGCAACTAATGCTTTCCCGTTTTGATAGGATGTAATCGAACTCCGTGACAGGAAATGGCAACCTCGTGGTGCTGTTAATGCAACTACTACGTTTGCCTCAGTGCACGAAGTGGTCTGTATCCGTCGTTTACTGCCAAGCCGAGCCCCTAGCCAGAAGCCTAGTACGAACGTGGACAAACCGGAGGCTACCCCACAGCGTAAGAAGCTTCAACTCCTACCCCGCACGATCCCCGCACGAGGTGAAGCTCCGTCGCCTTCGTCGGCGGAAAAACCTGAGGCAGCACCTGCAGCCCAGATGTCCGAAAAAGATGCACAGAAGAAGATTGATGAGGACGTTAAGGAATTCTTTGCTGTCCGTAGCCTTGAAGAGGCGGATGCATACTTTACAGCTCTCACGGAAGAGCATCGATTCCTCCTGGTTGCCAAGCTCGTTTCATCAGCACTGGAAAGCAGGGAAGCTGATGCTCGCTTGGTCGCTGACTTCTTCTCCCGTCCTGCATCACGGCACGAGTGCTCGCCAGATGCTTTTGAAGCTGGATTCATGCTCACGGCGAAGCTACTAGAGGACATTGTTATTGACACCCCCAGGGCATTCGACTACATGGCGATCATGTTGGAGGGGGCCGGAATAGACAAGGACGAGGAGAGAATGAAGCGCATTGCTGAGGTGATGAAAGGCGTCAGCCTCCCGCGGAATAATGTGTGTTCCGTCAGACAGGGTGCGTGATCACCATCGTCCTTTTCGTCCAACAACCACCTAGACCTAGTCTGCATTACAGGATCGTCCTCAAACTTTGGCTCAATAGATGATGCCTCTGTTCCTGTTTCGTCTTCGCATACCGCGACCCCAGTGGTTGGACACGGAAGTTTCAAGACTTTTGGCTCTCTGGCTGTAACGACAACTACGACATCAAATATCATAAATGGAAAAACTCCCGTTTCAGGTCTGTCCGCCAGCCCGTTTAAGCCTTCATCGCGACCCGCAGCTACAGCTCTATCAATATCATCACCGACATCAGCACTAGCCAGCCTGACAGCGGTACCGTCCGCAACGACATCGCCGATGGCTCCAGCGTCTGGTTCTGACTCTACCTTGTCCACATCATTAGCCGCTACGACGTCTTCGTCTACCAATTCCGCCAGTACAAAGTCCGCTTTTGATGTTGCCGAACTGTTCGCTGGTCTGCAGTCACGGTCGATGTCAGGCCCCGGTGGCCCCCCGATGCCATCCACATCCACTGCTCCTGGCGGTCATAGCCCCAATACTGCATTCTTTCCGGCGGCCCCTCGATCCCCCAAGATTGCCATTAAAGGTGAAGACGGGATGGGGATTAAACTTGAGTCATCCAAGAAGCCCAGCCCTCAGCCACCTGCTGTTCCGATACCCCCGCCTTCTCCAATAACAAACCTTCGATCAACACCTGTGCGCACCGAGAGCGAATGGGCTAAGTGGAAACGCGAGAAGGAGGCCAAACGGCAACGACAAAAGGAGACCGAGGTAGAGACTCGGAAGCAATGCGACATCGTTGAGTGTCCGACACAAGAAACATTGGAAGTTGAGGAGGATGAGGCGATGGAGAACGGAGAGATATTGGAGTCCCATGTAAACGGTGCTAGTATTAATGCCAGATGCCAGGAAGAGTCTCTGCGGATCGACACTTTCGAATTTGCCAGACGTCGGCCGCGTCCTCTCGATATGAAAGCCAGCACGGTCGGGTTGGCACAGCAAAGTCCAGGATTTGGGCCGCTAGCACCTGCGTTTGAGCCTGTCGCTCCTGAGATATCCGCCACCCGCTGGAGACCCAGCGGTGCCCAATGTAAAGGTGCTACTGGTGTGGATACTCCCGAGGTTGTGGACCGGAAAGTTAAATCACTCCTCAACAAGCTCACTGTGACGAACTTAGACTCGATATCTAACCAGATCGTTGCATGGGCTAACAAGTCGGAGAACGAAAAGGATGGACGGACCCTCATTCAGGTCATCAGGCTCGTTGTCGAGAAGGCCATTGACGATGCCGACCGCAGCGAGATTTATGCCCGACTCTGCTGCAAGATGATGGAAACGATCAGTCCCAAAGTCCAAAGTGATGGCGTTAGGAGCACCGACGGGACACCTATTACAGGCGGTCAGCTCTTCCGCAAATATCTGCTTAATCGGTGTCAAGAAGACTTTGAGCGTAATTGGGTTTCCAAGGAAGCCACGGCTCGTGCGGCGGCAGCCAAAGCCAGTAACGACGAACCAGTGAAAGCAGCCGGCAAGAAGAAGGGCGACGAGAGCGAGCTCCACTCCGACGAGTATTTCACGGCTCAGAAAGCGAAACGGCAGAGTCTCGGTCTCATCAAGTTCATCGGCAAGTTGTTCAAGCTGGAGATGCTCACTGAACGTATCATACATGAATCTGTCAAGAAGCTGCTTAATACAGGTCACCCCGAGGAAGAAGAGATCGAGAGCTTGTGTCAGCTGTTGAAGGCTGTTGGCCAACTTCTGGGTGTTCCCAAGGCACGTGCACATATGGACGTGTATTTCCAGAGGATGCGGGAGCTTTTCAAGAGCCCCAACATTAGTCCTCGTATGCAGCTGATCCTTCAGGTAGGACCGTCATTGCTTGTTTTTCATCGCTTACCAACTAATACTTGACTGCTTCAATAGGATGTCATCGAACTTCGTGACCGGAAGTGGCAACCTCACAGTGCGGTCGTTGTGCCCACTACGCTTGCCGATACCACCGATAGCAAGCTCCTCTGCGAACAACCTTCCCCGATGTCTGAAGGCCCACGCCCAGCGTCTGTTGGCGATGACCCTGCTCCTTTGCTCAGCCGTCCGACATTCACACGAAATCCTAGCCAAGGTGGGTCCAGTGGACACCCGATGGGCGACTGCCGTTTGTGCAGCACGTGTGGCGCGAAGCGCGAGGTCGGGGCAACGGACGTTGTTACAAGCCCAATGCCCGTTACTGTCAACCTCAATGTCGATGACCCTGTTCATGTGCGTCAGGGCCGTTCTGTCCCAGAAGTACCCACGGTGCAACCACCTCCTATGCCAGCACCTACGAACACAGATATACCAGTGGAACCAATGCTATTATCTGCGGTTCAACAGGCAAACCTTGGACCACGCCTCTCCCTCTTCGAATTCTGTGCGAAGTATGAATTATCAGATGAGTTACAAATAAAGCTTCGATCAAACGGTTTCATATCCAGTCATACCCTTCGGTTTACTTCACTCGAGGATGTTAATGCTATTGGGCTCCTTCGTGGTGAGATCGCACAGTTGCGTGATGCTGTATCACGCTGGTGTGGTGTATAGACTTCGAACCATTGCCCTGAATTCATTGTACTAGTAATGTGACACACAATTGTATGTTTTGAAACAGGATCAAACTGGGTAGCCAGAACTTGTATGGGTACGGGTTAGGGACTGGGACCCTGTAGCATGGGTACGCTAGTCTCGTAACCGGACGGTCTTCCTTTTGGTCACCGGAAGATCCCGAAGTTGACCGCGGTGAAGAGTGGTCTCGAGACATTCAGGGAAGACAGTTGGACGTATCCCTTGGTATCGCTGTCCATCCTTGGCTGTTACGACTTATCAATGGGAAAATTTGAAGAAGCACATCATAGGTTAAGAGTGATAGTGTATCCAACTTTTGATCTTGCAGAAGGCTCCTTTGATCGGGTTGAGGTCTAGCAAGTGGAGTCCATGGGGACACGGAGTCTGGCTACCCCAAACCATCATACTCGAATTGATCCATCCACGAGATTTATTCTGTGATCTGAAATCAAAACATGGGAACTGTTCCTCTCCACCTCTATCTCCCCTCAGGCATCGTTGTTACTATACGACGCTGGGCCAGACGGTTTCATTCTGGTACTTACTGGTTTCCTATTTATCAGATGCCTGTAGGTGCTGTCCACGTCGGTGGATTTTCAACTGTAAGCCTTGGCATAGGTATTGGATAGGACTGTGGGGAATTATTTCACAGACGATTGAGTACCTGCAAGCCTGAAAAAAGAATCCTCCATGCGTTTCCAGGTACATGATCAATGCAAGATACGCGTTTTCGGAATGGATGTAGTTGGTGAATTTTCCCCATGACGTTCGTTTTTACTTTGATGGATCGCCCCAACGGTTGGAACATCCTTTCCCTTGCAGCGATCCATCCTGACGTAAACAACCTTGCCCATCTGGCTTGATGGTGCTTCGCCTGCGACTATAACTGTTATTAAAACCTAGAGGTGCTGGCTGTTCTTCGTCGGGGCAGACTTTTGTCGCGCCTGTTTGAACAACCCAAAGGATAGTTATCGATGTCGGAATACAGGGATTCTCTGTGATCGCAAGAATACAAGCGCGTTGCACCGGGACGTGGATGACCTGACACGGCACTGACCTTCATGTGAAACCACTGATGGGCATCATGATTCAAGGGCCTGGAACCCCTACCTTGGAAAACGATTTCCGACGTCGTAAATATTGTGGCCTCTGGAAGGCATTTCGAAGGAGAATATGTAACCTTGCGCGAGTACCTAGACCTTCATCGATATATCTACTTCGTGAAGTCAAGGATGGATTTGGATCAGGACTTGAGTGTGGGCCACCAAATGAAACATTATTCCCACGCAAACTGGAGATCAAATTCAAGCCAAATATTGAACCTAACTAATACAAACCATTTATATATTGCACAGGATGCTTCAGAGTGTACGTTGGTGGGTCCCAGTTGCGAACGTTTCGACCGTTCTTTGCGGAAAACCATTGTTTTATTCCCGAGATGTGACTTGCCAATTTAGGCAGGTGTTGTTTTTGTTCCGTTTGCTTCTCGCTTTCCGTTTGGTTCGGCAGACTTTTGAGGATGTTTTCAGTCCGACTACGCTGTCGAACATGTACAATGAGACTACCATGCTCATGTCTTTCCAGCCGTAGGGCGATGTGCGCCTTCGTGGCAGATGGCTATATGTAAGTGCGCAATCAAACCTTGGATGGAGTTCACAAGCATCGCTCTTTCACCAGATAAACTGACTTTGTTCTTTTTCCCTATTCTTTAGAATTCAGAACTCTTCCTCGGGCACGTTGCTTTCATTGCCCTCGCTGCTACATCTCTGTCTCTCACCGGGCTTACAGTCTAAGGGTAACCTTCTACCACCCGCAGGCATCCGACCCAGCAACTATTCGCTGAGTTTCGGTCGACTCCGAGAGGTGGCTGGCAGCGTTGTAGTGCAGCCGGGTACTGACAACATATCACCTATGTCGTTGGCGCAGGTCAATGCGACGACCTGAGAGGTGCAGCCGCTACTTAAGAGCGAGGCAGTTCATTTCCGTGTGTACTGCATGCTTGATGGTACTCCTGATATCGCCAATGCTGATAGGCCGCTGGTATTCGCCATGCGTACCTGCCAGCAGTTCAGTTCGAGGCGGATAGCTCCTTGTTGGCGCATGGGAGGTATCTGGGGTCCTGTGGGTTTGGTTGGCTGGGAGTTCCAGGGCGCTGGGTTAGTCTGGTGACCAGCCGGAACTAATGAGTTACATAGCTGGCTCGTAGATGTGTCTGGTCACCAGACAGCTACGGTTGTACCCCGTCCTTTCCCTGTCGCCTCAGCCTCGTACTTTGAGAAACACACCATTAGCGTCACTCAGACCTCCCGTCAGTGGTCCTCCTCCTCCACCGTCTTTTCGCCCAGGTCGCCACTTCCTGCGACGGGCTGTGGTTTCCGCCGACAGGAAAACAGAACAAAAAGCTACTTAGTAGTACGAGCTCGTTTACCGCTTGCTGGCAAGGTCTACTTCACAACCACCACACGCGACAGCTCGATTCATCCGCACCTAAAATATCTGTCCATCGAAGTTCGTGCGTTCTTTGCTTCTGTCCTTTAAGACCCATTCTCACATGTTGGCTGTCAGAATGAGCAAAGGTTCGACTGCATCTGCAAAGCCTCCGACGCCGCTCTCATCGCAGTCAGCTTGGGCAAGGGGCCCGCCGCAGAATGCCAATTCTTCAGCTCCCTCAACGCGTTCTCAGCCTCCCGCTCCCTCCCATGTACAGTCTATAACGGCTTCTCATTCCCGTCGTCCAAGTGCGTTAGGCCAGGGCATACCCGTAAAAGAAGGTGTCAGCGTCCCGCGGAATAACGTGGGCTCCGTCAGAGAGGGTACGTCATCACCATCCTCCTTTTCATCCAAAAGACATCTTGATCCAATCTGCATTACAGGATCTTCCTTAAATTTTGGCTCAATAGATGATGCCTCTGCTCCTGTTTCGTCTTCACCTACCGCTACCCCAGTGGTTAGACATGAAAGCGTCAAGACATTTGGCTCTCTGCCTGTAACGACAGCTACGACATCAAATATCATAAACGGAAGAACTCCCGCTTCTGGTCCGCCCGCTGGCTCGTCGAAGCCATCATCACGGGTCTCGGCGATAGCTCCGTCGATATCATCTTCGACATCAGCAACGGCCAGCCCGTCATCGACAATGTCCGCAACGACTCCGGCATCTGCTCCTAACTCTACCCCGTCGACATCGTTAGCGGCCACGCCGTCTTCGTCCATGCCATCCACCAGTACAAAGTCCAGCTTTAATGTTGCCAAACTTTTCCAGGTTAATCTCCCAGCCTCCCAGCCTTCCTCAGACGCCACCTCTACTTCAACACGACCGTATAATCTATCTCATCAGTCGTCATCCGCCACACAACATGCACCACAACAGCCGGTACAGGCTCCCCCGATGAGCACGCATCCCTATCCGTCATATGGACAACGAATGCGACCTCCCCGCGGCGCGAGTGGGCCTGGTTCACCGGCGTTTTCTCGTGCTGTACCCAATGGATGTGGCCCGCAGTCACGGCCGACGCCAGGCCCCGGTGGTCCCGATGGCCCTTCACTCCCTGCTAGTCCGAAACTCGCTCCTCCTACTCATTCGCATCCCCCTTCATCTGAAGGCGTCCTTCCTCAACAGCTCCCCATGCAACCCGTGCATTGGTCTCCGTACTACGTACGTCATTGTGTCTTGATGTGACTACTATTCAGTTGACTTGTTTTAGTACCTGGAATACCAATCGCCGCAATGGTTTTATCCCATGAAACCTCCTCATGGCATGGTCCACGCACCCCATGCACCTGGACCCACTCCTCAAGGCCCTCCTCACCCCGGCATTCCCTTATCGCCCCGAGCCCGATCTCCGTCACTTCCTCCCGGCACTCCGAGTATGGCTCATGCTGTTCCACTCTCTCCGCACACCCCTCAACCTCCACCGCCAGACTCACATGAACCTTCAGCTAGCATGAGCATATCGCCTCCTCCGCCGACGCCATCCACATCCAAAGCTCCAGGCAGTCGTAGCCTCAATACGAACGCCACCACATTCGTTCCCACGACGCCTCGATCACACAAGATTACCGTTAGAAGTCCAAACGGGACGGAGATTAAAATGGAGTCGTTCAGGAAGCCCAGCCCTCAACCATCTACCACCCCGATACCCCCGCCTTCTCCGATAGCAACAAGTCGTCGATCAGCATCGGTACGCATCGAGAGCGAATGGGCTAAGTGGAAACGCAAGAGGGAAGCCAAATGGCAACAACAAGAGGAGACCAAGGCAGACGCTCGGAAGGAACACGACATCGTTGAATCCCCGGCGCAACGATCATTGGAAGTTGCGCAGAATGAGATGATCGAGAACGAGGAGATCTTCGAGTCCCATGTGCACGACGCTAGCAATATTGCGAGAAGCCAGAAAGAGGGCCAGCGGATCGACACCCGGGAATTCGATACACATCGGCCCGGTCCCCTCGACAGCAATGCTACCAAGAAGGGCAACTCTGCCTTTCCTTTCTCCGCCCTGCTAGCCGCTCGCAATATCGATAGATTGGATGAGATCGAGTATCCCGAGGGTATAAGGAGGCCCAAGACGGAGCTTAATCAGAACGCGAAAGGCGGGAAATTCAGGTGTGTTTGGATTTCAACATCTCAGACCGAGAGCCCACTTTTTTCATCTTTCCATATACTTTGCCTAGGTATGATCGGGATTTCCTCTTGCAATTCATGACAGTCTGTAAGGAGAAGCCGCTAAATCTTCCTCCATTGGATGTCCTTGGCATCGAGCCTGTCGCTGAAACCTCGCTCGGCACGACAGGTGGTGGTTCCGGTCGACGTCGTCGTCGGTCTTCGGGTCCCAAGTCCGCAGCAGGTGCTCACTCAGCTTCGATCGGCCTTGGTATTGGTCCCTTCAAACCTGGGGCTCCCCCTGATCCATTTGCGATGGATCAGTTTGGTACCCTTGGCAACAAGCTTACGAGCGAGGAACGTTTTATGATGTCTCAAGGCGCACGCTCGGCGTCTGTTGGCGGTGGCCCTGCTCCATTGCTCAACCGTTCGGCATTAACACAAAACCCAAGCCAAGGTGGACCCGGTGGACACCCAATGGGTGGCCATCGCACGCGCAGCAAGCGTCGCGAGAAACGCACCGATTCCAGCAAGGTCGATTCGGTACAGCAAGGCCCAGGATTTGACCCGGGTGCTGTCCCTTCAATACCTGCACTTGAACCCGTTGTTCCTCCTGAGATGTCCGCTAACTGCTGGATCAGCGTGCAACCCGAATGCGCTATCGACGCGGATACTCCTGAGGTTGTGGACCAGAAAGTTAGATCACTCCTCAACAAGTTCACTATGGAGAACTTCGACTCAATTTCTGACCAAATCACTGCATTGGCCAACAAGTCGGAGAACGAAAAGGATGGACGAACCCTCGTCCAGGTTGTCAGGGTCGTTATCGAGAAAGTTACCGACGAGGCCGAATGCAGCGAGATGTATGCCCGACTCTGCCGCAAGATGATGGAAACGATCAGTCCCAAGATTCAAGATGATGGCGTTAAGAGCGCCGACGGGAAACCTATTGCAGGTGGTCAGCTCTTCCGCAAATACCTTCTCAATCGGTGTCAAGAAGACTTTGAGCGTGGTTGGGTTGCCAAGGAAGTCACGGCTCGTGCGGCGGCAACCAGACCCAGTGACGACGAAGCAATCAAGGCAGACGACGAGAGCGAGCTCTACTCCGACGAGGACTACGTGGCCCAGAAAGCAAAGCGTCAGGGTCTTGGCCTTATCAAGTTCATCGGCGAGTTGTTCAAGCTGAAGATGCTCACGGAACGTATCATGCACAACCATGTCAAGAAGCTGCTTTGTAATGCGGAGAACCCCGAGGAAGAAGAGATCGAGAGTCTGTGTCAGCTGTTGAGAACTGTTGGCCAACTTTTGGATGTTCCCAAGGCGCGTGCACATATGGACGTGTACTTCCAGAGGATGAGGGAGCTCTGCAAGAGCTTGAACGTTAGTCCTCGCATGCAGTTCATGCTTCAGGTGGAATCGTCGTTTACTTGTCATCGTTCACCGACTAATATTTGGCTGTTTCATTAGGATGTGATTGAACTCCGTGACCGGAAATGGCAACCTCGTAACGCGGTAAATGCGCCTGCCACGCTTGCCGCAGTGCATGAAGCGGTTTGTACCCGTCGTTCATCGTTGCACGTAGATGCTCAAAGATATGATATCTAGGCTGCTAAGGAAAAGGCTGCTCAAGAAACCCAGGCGTTCCGGCGGCAATTTAGCATGTCTCGAGGTGGTTCGAAACGGGGTGCCGAGTGCAACGCTGAGCCCTCTCCTGACGGTTGGGCAGTGGCTGGAGGCTCGCAACCTAGACCCCCAACCAAAGCAAGCAACCTTTCGCAACTCGGCAAGATCAGCGAGGCCTCTCTGATAGTCATAGATCCGAGCAGTGTTTTCGCTGGCAAGAAGGATATCAAGCGCGAGTCAATGACACGCAAGAACTCGAGCTCTGACATGTTCTTGATGCTCAGTCAGCACCCCGAGCTTGTCATAGAACCCAAACCGAGCGAAGCACCTGTAGCCCACATGTCAGAAAAAGAGGCGCGGAAGAAGATCGATGAGGACGCTAAGGAATTCTTTACTGTCCGCAACCTTGAAAAGGCGGATGCATACTTTACGTCCCTCCCAGAAGAGCATCGATTCCGACTGGTTGACAAGCTTGTTTCATCAGCACTGGGAAGCAAGGAAGCTGATGCTCGCTTGGTCGCTGATTTCTTCTCTCGTCCTGTTTCACAATACGAGTGCTCACCAGAAGCTTTCGAAGCTGGATTCATGCCCATGGTTGAGCTACTAGAGGACATTGCTATCGACGCCCCTAAGGCATTCGAGTTCATGGCCATCATGCTGAAAGGGGCTGGAATGGACAAGGACGAGGAGAGAATGAAGCGGATCGCTGAGAGAGTGATAGACAGCAGTGATAGGTTGCTTCAGCTCGTCTCGTTATGAACACTTTCGTCGACATATTTCGTTTCCTCCCTTGGGGATTTTACTTACGCCTTCAGCTGCGTTCCCATCTGCACATGTTTTCCATCCATCGCTCGCATCGTTTTTCTGATGAATTTTAGTCTGTTCGTGCGTGACCATGGTTTCTGGAACATATAATAATCTGTCTTGTACATCGCATTGCTATTCTTCCATATCATTTGTTGTCCTAGTTTTTACAGCATAGGCTACGGCTTAGCGGTATATCAGACACGGCCACCTAATCCTTGCCCAAGAGCATCATACTCGAATCGATCCATCGACGAGGAAGCGTTAGTTTTATTGTGTGATCCAAAGCTGAATCAAAACCCATGCAAACTGCAAGTCAGATTCAAGTCATTGAAACAAACTAGTACAAATCATTGATAGATTGCACAGAGTACTTCGGATTGTGCATCCACAGGTTCCAGTTTGAACCCGCGGAAAACCCCTGTCTTACTTCCGATGTGAAGTTACTTGCCAATTTAGGCAGGTGTTGTCTTCGTCCTCTGTTTTTCCGTCTCCCTTTTACTTTTCTTTTGTTGGGCAGATTTTCTGGAACGCTTTTCAGTTTTATTACGCTGTCGAGCATGTGCGGCAAGGCTTCCCTACCTATGTCCTGTCATCTCTAGGGCGATGTACGCCTTCGAGGCAAATGACTATATGTAAGTGCCCACTTACACACCTTGAAGGGAGTTGACAAGCAACGCCATTCAATAGATGAGAAGGCTTTGTTTGTTTTTTCTAGTCCTCCGAAATCGGCATTCTTCCTGGAGTTTGCTGCTTTCACTACCCCCATCGCTATATCTCTGTCCTTCACCAGGCTTGCACCTTAAGAAGTTAATCTTGAACCACGAGTACACCCGACCTGGTAGCTATTCGCTGAGTCTCGATCGACTCCGGAAGCATTCATTCACTTGAGTATCTGTGTCGGGATCACAGACTGCTCGATGTGGTTGGCAGCGTTGTAGTTCGGCCATTGGGTGCCGACGTCGGCATGTCACCTACGTTGTTGGCGCAGGTCAATACAACAACCCGAGAGGTGAGGCTTCGACTTGAGAGGGAAGCAGTTCAGTTCTGTGTGTCTTGCGGGCTTGATGGGTACTGTTGACATCACCGATGCTGGGCGCTGATATGGGCCGCTGGTATTTGACACGAAATGGTGTAGGACGAGATGGTGTCCGACAGCGCGAGGGCATTCTCAACAGTCGTTTCTGAGCAACACTATAGGCTGACGGAGTATGTCGATCGAGGACATGTTCGGACTGTCCGCCCCGAACTGAATTGGTACTGCATAATGTGACTCCACCATATGAGGTGTCCAGGGTCCCGTGGCTTTTTACAGCCTCAGGTTCGCACTTAGGACACAGCATGCGTAGTGGTGCTGAGGCCTCGTCTGTCTTCTTCCTTAAGGTGAGGTCGCTCCTCGCAGCGACGGGGTTTGCTTTCCATAGACAGGAAAACAGAAAAAGAAAAATCCCTCAGTGGTACGAGTGCGTTTATCGCCTGCTGCCAAGTCTACTTCACGATCACCACACACGATAATTCGATCCATCTGCGCCTAAAATATCTGTCCATCGAAAATCGTGCGTTCTTTGCTTCTGTCCTTTGAGACCTGGCATTCTCACATGTTGTCTGTCAGAATGAGCAAAGGTTCGACTGCATCTGCAAAGACTCCGACACCGCTCCCATCGCAGTCAGCTTGTGCAAGGGGCCCGCCGCAGAATAGCAATTCTTCAGCTCCCTCAACGCGTTCTCAGTCTCCCGCTCCTTCCCATGTACAGTCTATAACTGCTTCTCATTCCCGCCGGCCAAGTGCGTTAGGCCAGGGCGTACCCGTAAAAGGAGGCGTCAGCGTCCCGCGGAATAACGTGGGCTCCGTCAGTCAGGGTACGTCATCACCATCCTCCTTTTCATCCAACAGACATCTTGATCCAATCTGCATTGCAGGATCTTCCTTAAATTTTGGCTCAATAGATGATGCCTCTACTCCTGTTTCGTCTTCACCTACCGCCACCCCAGTGGTTGGACATGAAAGCGTCAAGACATTTGGCTCTCTGCCTGTGACGACAGCCACGACATCAACTATCATAAATGGAAAAACTCCCGCTTCAGGTCCGTCCGCTGGCTCGTCGAAGCCTTCATCATGGCCCTCGGCGATGGCTCCACCGATATCATCATCGACATCAGCAACAGCCAGTCCGTCATCGACATCGTTAGCGGCCACGCCGTCTTCGTCTATGCCATCCACCAGTACAAAGTCCAGCTTTAATGTTGCCAAACTTTTCCAGGTTAATCTCCCAGCCTCCCAGCTTTCCTCAGACGCCACCTCTGCTTCAACACGACCGTATAATCTATCTCATCAGTCGTCATCCGCCACACAACATGCACCACAACAGCCGGTACAGGCTCCCCCGATGAGCACGCATCCCTATCCGTCATATGGGCAAGGAATGCGACCTCCCCGCGGCGCAAGTGGGCCTGGTTCACCGGCGTTTTCTCGTGCTGTACCCAATGGATGTGGACCGCAGTCACGGCCGACGCCAGGTCCCGGTGGTCCCGGTGGCCCTTCACTCCCTGCTAGTCCGAAACTTGCTCCTCCTACTCATTCGCATCCCCCTTCATCTGAAGGCGTCCTTCCTCAACAGCCCCCCATGCAACCCGTGCATTGGTCTCCGTATTACGTACGTCATTGTGTCTTGATGTGACCACTATTCAGTTGACTTGTTTTAGTACCTGGAATACCAATCGCCGCAATGGTTTTATCCAATGAAACCTCCTCATGGCATGGGCCACGCACCCCATGCACCTGGACCCACTCCTCAAAGCCCTCCTCACCCCGGCATTCCCTTATCGCCCCGAGCCCGATCTCCGTCACTTCCTCCCGGCACTCCGAGTATGGCTCATGCTGTTCCACACTCTCCGCGCACTCCTCAACCTCCACCGCCACAGACGCATCAACTTTCAGCTAGCACGAGTATATCACTACCTCCGCCGACGTCATCCACATCCATTGCTCCAGGCGGCCGTAGCCTTGATACCGATGCCAGTACAATCGTTCCCGCGGCCCCTCGATCAGACAACATTACCATTATATGCGAAGACGGGATCGAAGTTAAACTGGAGTCGTTCAAGAAGCCCAGCCCTCAGCCGTCTACCCCCCTGATACCCCCACCTCCTCCAATAACAACAAGTCGTCTGTCAGCGTCGGGGCGCGTTGAGAACCAATGGGCCAAGTGGATACGCAAGAGGGAAGCCAAACGGCAACGACAAGAAGAGACCGAGGCAGACACTCAGAAGGAACACGACATCGTTGAATCTCCGACACGAGAATCATTGGAAGTTGCACAAGATGAGATGATCGAGAACGGAAAGGTTTTCGAGTCCTATGCAAATGGTGCTAGCAAGATTTCTAGAAGCCAGAACGAGTCTCTGCGGATTGACACCTCGGAATTTGCCAGACGTCGGCCGGACACCCTCGATACCAATCCCAACAAGGTCGGGCTGGTGGAACACGGTCCGGGTGCCGCTTCTCCAGTACCTGCGCTGAAACTCGTTCCTACCCTTGAGATGTCCACCAACCGCTGGGTTTCTGGCAGTGCCCAACGTAGAGGTGTCACCGACGTGGGTACTTCTAAGGCTGTGGACCGGAAAGTTAAATCACTCCTCAACAAGCTCACTATGGAGAAGTTCGATTCGATATCCGACCGAATCATTGCATGGGCCAACAAGTCGGAGAATGAAAAGGATGGACGGACCCTCATTCAGGTCATCAGGCTCGTTTTCGAGAAGGCTACTGACGAGGCCGACCGCAGCGAGGTTTATGCCCGACTCTGCCGCAAGATAATGGAAACGATCAGTCCCAAGGTTCAAGATGATGGCATTAAGAGCACCGACGGGAAACCTATTGCAGGTGGTCAGCTCTTCCGCAAATACCTGCTCAATCAATGTCAAGACTTTGAGCGTGGTTGGGTTGCCAAGGAAGCCACAGCTCATGCGACGGCAGCCAAAGCCAATGGTGACGAAGCAGTCGAGGCAGCCAACGAGAATAAGGGCCACGAGAACGAGTTCTACTCAGACGAATACTACGCGGCTCAGAAAGCGAGACGTCAGGGTCTCGGTCTTATCAAGTTCATCGGCCAGCTGTTCAAACTGCAGATGCTCACTGAACGCGTCATTCATGAATGTGTCAAGAAGCTACTTGGTAATGTGGAGAACCCCGAGGAGGAAGAGATCGAGGGTTTGTGTCAGCTGTTAAGAAATGTTGGCCAACTTTTGGATGTTCCCAAGGCGCGTGCACATATGGACGTGTACTTCCAGAGGATGACGGAACTCCGCAAGAACCCCAACATTAGTCCTCGTATACAGCTCATGCTTCAGGTAGGGTCGTCATCATTTGTTTGTCGTCGTTCACCAACTAATACTTGACTGTTTCAACAGGATGTGATCGAACTCCGTGACCGGAAGTGGCAATCTCACAATGTGGTCGATGTGCCTACTACGCTTGCCGATACCACCGACACCAAGCTCCCCTGCGAGCAACCTTTCCCGATGTCTGAAGGCACACACTCAGCGTCTATTGGCGGTGATCCTGCTTCTTTACTCAGCCGTCCGAGATTCGCAAGAAATCCTGGCCAAGGTGGATCCAGTGGACACCCGATGAGCGGCTGTCGTCTGTGCAACACGTGTGGCGAGAAGAGCAAGGTCGGGGAAACGGACGTTGTTACAAGCCCAATGCCAGTTACGGTCAACCTTAATGTCGATGACCCTGTTCATGTGTTTCATGGCCGTTCTGTCCCAGAAGTACCCAGGATGCAACCACCTCCTAAGTCAGCGCCTACGACCACAGACATCCCAGCAGAATCAATGCTATTATCTGCGGTTCAACAGGTAAACCTTGGACCACGCCTCTCTCTCTCCGAGTTCTGTGCTATGTATGAATTATCAGATGAGTTACAAACCAAGCTTCGATCAAATGGTTTCATATCTAGTCATACCCTTCGGTTTACTTCACTCGAGGATGTTAATGCTGTTGGGCTCCTTCGCGGTGAGATTGCACAGCTGCGTGATGCTATATCACGTTGGTGTGGTGTATAGACTCCCAATGGTTGCCCTGTACTCATTGTACTAGTGATATGATACACAAATGTATGTTTAGAAGTAGGATCAGCCCGGGTAACCAGATATCCTTGCTCGTACAGGTATGGGTTAGGGGCTGGGACCCAGTAGTACGCGGACGCTAGTCTCGTAACCAGTTCGAGACGCACGCACTCAACGTTTTGATCACCACAAAATTCCGAAGCTAACCGCCGTGAAGACAGGCTGTAGTCTGGGACGTTCTTAGGAAGGCGGTTGAACATGCCCTTCGGTGTCCTCGTGCACCCCTGGCTGTGACAAACTATCAATGGGCAGGCTTGAAGAAGCACATCATAGGTTAGAGTGACAGCGTAGCCGATTCTTGATCCTGCAGAAGGATTCTTCAATTGGATGAGGTCTGGCAAGTGGAGTCCATGGGACACGGAGTCTGGCTACCCAAAAACATCATACTCGAATTTGATCCATTCCTGAGAGATTTATTTGTGATCCGAAGCTAAATCAAAACATGGGAACTATTCCTCTCCCCTACCCCTATCTCTCCTCAGGCGCCGTTGTTACTCTACGACGCTGCGCCAGACGGTTTCATTCTAGCACTCACTGGTTTCCTACTTATGAGATGCCTCAGCGCTGTACGTGTTGGCGGATTTTCAATTGTATGTTTTGGCATAGGACTCTGGGCAATTGTTTCATAGACAATTGAGTGCCTTCAAGCCTAACGTAGGAATCCATCCTGCTGTTTCTTGTTTCTAGTATACAGTCAATGCAAGATACGTGTTTTCCGAAGGGATGTGGTTGGTGAGTTTTCCCCGTGACGTTTCCTATTTACCTTGCAATGGATCGCCCCAACGGATGGAGCATCCTTTCCCTTACCCAACGTAGACACCCTTGCCCATCCGGCTTGACGGTGTTTCCCCTGCTGTATCTGTCCACATGCACTACATTTCAATTGACCCAAATCACTCATTTTGCAAAGCCACACCGCGCACTCCCGAACTCCCTCCCGAATTGCATTATCATTTACCTGCAGCCCTCATCGTTACTAAAACCTAGAGCTGCTACCTGTTCTTCTTTTAGGATAGACCTTTGCCCCGCCCGTTTGAACGAACGAAAGGACGTTTATCAGTGCAGGCATACAGGAATTTTCTGTGATCGCAAGAATACAAGCATGTTGCACCGCGACGTCGATAACCCGACCTGAAGAGTTTCACCAGTTATGGGACTGACCTTCATGTGAAACCACTGATGGGCATCAGGATCCAGGGGCCTGGAACTCCTGACTTGGAAAACGATCTCCGACGTCGTAAATACTGCGACCTCTAAAAGGCATTTCGAAGGGGAATATGTATGTAACCTTGCACGAGTACCTAGCCCTTCATTAATATGCCTGCCTCGTGACGTCAAAGGTGGATTTGGATCAGGACTTGAGTGCGCGCCGCCCACTGATACGTTATTCTCATACAAACTAAAAATCAGATTCAAGTCGTTGAAAACAAATAGTACAGACCATTGATAGATCGCACAGAGTACTTCAGAGTGTGCATTCACGGGTTCTAGTTTGAACCGTCTCCGCGGAGAACCCTTGTTTTAATTCCGAGATGAAGTTACTTGCCAATTTAGGCAGGTGTTGTTTGCGTCTTCTGTTCTTCCGTCTCCCTTTCACCTTCCCTTTGTTGATAGGCAGATTTTCGAGCACGCTTTCGGTCTGATTGCGCTGTCGAACGTGTGCGGCGGGACTACCATACCCATGTCCTGTCAGCCCCAGGGCGATGTACGCCTTCGCGGCAGACGTCATGGCTATATGCAAGTGCCCGCTCACACACCGTGAAAGGGCATGCCAAACGTGGCCGTCGGGCCTTGTTCTAGCATGCAAGGGCGATTTCATTTATGAGTGTAGCAACACAAAGCGTTTGTTCACAAGCATAGCCCTTTCAACGGATAAAAAGACTTCGCTGCTTTGTCCTGGTCCTCAGAATTCAGAATTCTTCCTCGAGTTTGTTGCTTTCACCAGCCTCATCGCTACATCCCTGTCTCTCCCCGGGCTTACGCTCTATTAAGTTATCCTTCTGCGACCAGCGCATCCGACCCAGTAGCCATTCGCTCAGTCTCGGTCGACTCCGAGAGCATCCATTCTCTTGAGCATCTGTGTCCGAGAGGTTCGACCGCATACTCCGCAGGCCAAGATGCTCCTCCGGGTCAACCTCGTTGTATTCTACTTCTTCATTGCTTCCTGTGGGGCTCCGGATTTGATACTCTCTGAATTATTTACTGACAAAACTTTCAGTGAATCTGTTCGCTGCGGCGAACCCCTTGCCGGCCATCGTTCCGTACACCGAAGGCGTACAGTTGTTCAAGGATGTGATTGCTGTAAGTTTCTTGGTGCCTTGATGTGCGAACCCCCACTCAAGTCTTTGTTAGCGTGGGGAGGATATTGTCGTTACTGAGGGTGTTGCAGATGTCGACAACGATCCAGTAAAACGCGGGCCGGAAGCTGCGCCAGATCCTCTTCCTGGTGAAGATACAGACGTCGATGAGCGGTTCTGCCGCTTTGGTTGTCTCTAAGCTTCTGGGAAGCACAGTTAGATGTCTTCATTGTTAACCCTGCATCCGAGATAAACATGCTCGCTTAATGCGCCCGTGCACTTGTTTAAGTCAAAGGACTTGTATTGTGCTCCCTATCCCGTCTTGGTTGGTCTACAAAGATTCGTTCTCCCTCCCTCCTGCTCATAATTCTCTTTGGTTCCTGTGCTGGCTAGTGTATCTATGACCTTGCTTTTGCTCTGGACTCTTCTGGCGGATGTTTTGTTTCTGATTGACGGCTACTAGATCATTGTAAAGTCGGTCCCTACTCACTCTTTTGTCGCTACTGTATCAGTAAATTATATGTGCCTTCTGGGGTGCATTTTCAGTGAGCTTGGGATCAAACATTCTCATGTGGCAAGTCCCGAGTGTGCGACCAAGTACCTACGGACCCAGGAACCCAGTTTTGATTCCTGCAGTTGAAGATACTTTTACTGCAAATTATGTAACCGTCGCTGAAGTGTTCCTACTCGGAGACCACGCAGCTAGCCAGATTAGGCATATATTCACACTAATAGCATGTGGTGATCGGACCTGCGACGCCACGAGTACAACTTTCGTTGTATTTACTCTGCCCGCTTCAACTCCCATCGTGAATCTCCACACAACGTTAGCACAGCCAGACGGAAGTGTACGCGCCAGAGTACCAAGGTTCTGGTGTAGTGCCGTTGTCGCCACCTCACGGCAGGGGACAACTGCGCAAACCGCAGTGACTGGTTACAGCTGAGTCGTCATGCCAGTAACAACACGATGTTAGTGGCGCAGAAAGTTCCAAACAGACCGAATCATGGTTTGCAGACAGTGGTCTAACGGTAGGTGCAATTGAGACGTCGATGTCTCCCCATGTACCTTTGCCGGACAAATCCAACACGTCGCTTGTAAGTTATTGTTGGTGAGCCCTCTGGTAACGTTCAACTCGGAATGGACCTCCGTCACTACTAATCTATTAGTATAGGGACATTTGTATGTCCCCAGTTGCTACAACAGCCCCAAATACATGTATCGATCGGACTTGCGGGATCCGACGGCTTGCCTCCCGGGCCAATCTGGAGGTGACGGTTGTTCGCGTGGCACACATGGGAAATCTCTTCGGATTATACTGCCTCGAAAGAGGTGGTTGGAATCATATGTCTCCATCGTTGTTTATTGCATAATCAATGACTTCGAGGAGAGACATACCATGTGTCTCTAGATCTCTGGTGGACTCGTTCCGCTCTTTAAAGGTTTCTCAAAACGGCGTCCCCATACTCATGACAGATCTCAGCCATTTGTTGTCTGACGACCTTTGCAGTGATCTCGAAAAAAAAAGCCACAACTGTTTCTTGCCGTTAATATGAGGCAGGCAATGTCAAGGCCTGTCTTCCTGACTGTGGGGAACAACTGATATATCGCCCTCTCCGTAGCTTGGTGTGCTCCAGGCAACGGCTAAAGCGATTCTCGTTACACGCCATCGTTGCTTCCTAGAAGGTATCCCTTCTCGTTGTCTCTGTCTCGACAACACCCTCGACGACACTCGACTGATTGGCGGGTCGGACCTCGCCAGCGGTCTGGCATCCTTAACCGGCTGAAGGCTACCTTCCGATCCTCCCCAACCAATCCCACCAGAGTAAGTTGGGCTATGTCAAGACTATGGCGCACATGATTAAACAGGTACGCATGAGTAAATGTGCCGAGTTCTCAGGGTTCCCAAGGTACGTACCTAAGTGCGCGACCATTGTATCCTAAGAGTACTACCCAGTGGGCGCTCCGACTCACCCAAGTGATGTAGGCTGCCTATCATCTTGATTTACCTTGATCGGAAAGCACAACACTCTTACAGTTTTCTGTATAGCAAGTCCGATACTCTGTGCGAGCCTCCTTAACTTAAATGAAACAGAGTCCTGTTACTGTCATCTTGGCCCACCACGCCACACCACATGGGGTGATGGGAATCATGAAAGGCTATCCCATGGCACGCAAGGGGAAGGTATTCACTTCAGTCAACAGAGCGTCTTGTTCTTTTGGCATGACAGTGGCGCAAGGGAACTTTCTTGCGGTTGACAACATAGGATAGACGCGTTTGGTGCAATGATGTGCCCAAGAAAGGCTTGCTTACTCTCTGTTCTGTCAACAGGTCTGTGATTCGTTCCCTCCACAACAATGCGAATGATTTCTATATGGTCATGCTTAGATGTCTCCAGAAGGTTCATGGCTCTCTGGTGTATTCTACATGATCAGCTCGCACCGTATATTGTCAGCGCCATTCAAACATGATAGAACGCCTGCGTTCGTTGTCAAGAAGCCGACCAATGTTTATCGCTTACTTCCAGTAACAATGTTCTCTTCCTCGGAGCACGGCGTGCCGCGATGACGTCTTTAGGCGACCTTACTTCAGGGCACCCACGTCAAGAGCACGCGCTCGGAGTCGACACACGGGATGTGTTTGAAAGCTATGAATAATCGGACGTCCGTGCGTCTTTACTCAGGCACCTTGAAATTTCCAGATTCAGGTGACCTAGCATCGAATATGGTTGTATGAAAGTCTGCGGCTGGTCAGCGATGTACTCTGCTAACCTTGCCATCCCTTGCGGTGGTAACCGGTACCGATGTACACCTCTTGACGACCTTTGATCCGGAAAAGGAAGGTGCAGTCGTTCGCAGTGGTTCGGTTCCTCCCACTCACTTGGCGGAAAATCAATCGTGCTGGAGAATAAAGGGACGACCAGAAATGGAAAATCCGCCGGGAAGATGAAGTCCAAACCGGGATGCGAAGTGAGCTGAAGTGAGGATTGCCGGGCGAAGGGACAAGCCAACAACCAAATATGGATGAAGGGGTATACCACATTTGAGTCTTAGCTTACGGGCGTCCATGAATGGTAGGTTCAAACGAGAAGAGCAGACAAACTGGCAAGATGAAGATTGTAGATGGAATATAAAGACGCTGGTTGGGTTGCTGGGTGAGTCAACCGAGCAACTCGTACAATCCGCTCTTATTGTTCTCTCGAGCTCAGCTTCCTTTCTTCGTTTTCCCCGCGAGACCAAACGAGCTCCTCAAAGCCCCTTCAGAACAATAACAGTTATCCTGAAACGTCATGTACGCTGCTAAGCTCGTCGTCTTCTCCATCATCGCAGCCACCGCCGCTTTGGGTAAGTTAAACCATTTGCGAGTGGAGGGTGGTCGCTAATCAATGTTTGTCATACCTTAATAGTTTCTGCATCGCCAGTGCCCTGTGGCCGCTCCTGAGGCTGCATTGGATCCCATTTTGGCGAAGACGGAGCTGCTTGCTGTGAGTAACTTTTTAGCTTTTGTGCGTTCGTCCGACCCTTACGGGAAGTGTTTTATTCCACGAAGCGCGAACCTCTCCCACTAGCAGAGGCCGTAGCTGAGCGCACACCTGTAGCAGAGGAGGAGGATGTGGAAGAACGTGTGTGCCGCTTTGGCTGCCTCTAAAGGGCACCGACGTTATACCCCCCGTGCCTCAAAAACCACCTGATTTCCGCGCCACCACAATAACTCCACACACCCTGGCTTGGTGATTGGCACCCTGTGGTTTTCGATGCTGCAGTCGTGTTCCTCTTGTATCTATTATTCATCTTCACCGATGTTCATTCCGGATACCACGGCTATTCCTACTCACTACATTTGTTCGTCTTCGCGCGCATCTATTTTGTTCTCGTTCTGGTTCTGTATTATCTCACCTGGGAGTTCCGTGACTGTATCTCTGACTGATAGAAGTGTATCACTAGTATTTCGCACGACATCCTGTTAAGACTCGATACTTAGAATAAACGTTTATGATTCTAGTACCCAGAGGACTGATGCGGATTAGTGTAAACGTGAAGATGGTGAGGTAGCACAGGTAAGCAGTACCTAGATAGTGATTTGGCATAGAGGTAAGTAATCTGAGCGCCTTTCCTGGTTTCGCTAACGCATCCGACAGGCCATATCGAGCAGCAATGCCTTCAGGATGTCCATGTACAGCGACCTGCTAAGATAACCAAGTCGATAACGGCAGGCAGGGAACGTCAAGTGTTTGAAACGGTTCTCTGGGCTCCTATTGTCGGACGGACCAAGGCTGCCAATTAATACCGCTCATGGGTTGAGGGCTTCTATTAAGGGTCCGTACGACACACCGTTGGCCACCATGCATTGCTCTGCTGGAAAGTGCTTTAGAGTATTTGTTATCATATTAAATGATCTTGTTTCAGGTGCGGCCAGCTTGAACCTGCTCGGCACCACTGCACGATCGTTCAGGGCCTGACGTGGGATGTTAACGCGGTCATAGAACGGTGTCAGCGCCTTGTGATAATCGGGTGTAATCGACTGGACCGTGTAACCAGGTACTTCCTCGACAGTGCAGCGCAACGGGGGTTACAAGTGATTTGTAAATTCTGCGGGAGTAGAGCCCCAAAGGCCCTAGCGCTGGGGAGGATAGGGGTGCACCAGTTTCGATAAGGGGCTATATTTAGGTCTGAGCGAGATAGGATCGTCAGCGTCATCGATACTCGCAGGCCCGGCTGTTCATTTTGACAGAAATGAAGGAGATGCAGCCTCACCTGTCTTTTGTAGTGTACAGTACATGGAGTGTTAGGAACGACACTGGCTTGGCATGAGTGGTCACAAAATGTGGCGCTGGCAGCGTTGTTATTCGGCCACTGGGCGCCGACGTCACCATGTCACCTCGGTCGCTGGCGTGTAGTAGGTCGATGGGGCGACACGAGAAGTGCCGCAGGCCTCGACTTGAGAACGAGGCAGTTCATTTCCGCGCATCTTGCAGGCTTGATGGTACCGCTGACATCGCCAACGCCACTGCCGCTGCCGCTGGTGTTAGTGACTCAACATGGGACGGGATGACGTCAAACGGCCCGGGGGCGCTTTCAGTCGTCGTTTCGAGCGACTACAATTGGCTGAGCGAGTATGTCACACAAGGACATGTGGGACTGTCGGCCGCGAACTGCATTACCAGTACTACATAATGTCGTGCAGCCACGAGGATGGGTTGGCGAGTAGAGAGGGTCGGGGGTATGAGGGGTGTCTGGGGTCCTGTGGGTTTTGTTTGGCTGGGAGGTGGACGGGGCTGGGTTGTACCCCGTCCTTTCCCTACAGCCTCAGCTTAGAAGGACACACCAGTAGTGTCACTGAGCCCCCCCCTCAGTGGTCCTCCTCCTCCACTGTCTTCTTCCTTCGCCCACCTCGCCACTTGCTGCGACGGGCTTTGGTTTCCATCGACAGGAAAACAGAAAAAAAAAAGTTACTTAGTAGTACGAGCTCGTTTATCGCCTGCTGGCAGGTCTACTTCACGACCACCACACGCGACAACTCGATTCATCCGCACCTAAAATATTTGTCCATCGAAATTCGTGCGTTCTTTGCTTCTGTCCTTTGAGACCTGCCATTCTCACATGTTGTCTGTCAGAATGAGCAAAGGTTCGACTGCATCTGCAAAGACTCCGACGCCGCTCCCATCGCAGTCAGCTTGGGCAAGGGGCCCGCCGCAGAATAGCAATTCTTCAGCTCCCTCAACGCGTTCTCAGTCTCCCGCTCCTTCCCATGTACAGTCTATAACTGCTTCTCATTCCCGTCGTCCAAGTGCGTTAGGCCAGGGCGTACCCGTAAAAGAAGGCGTCAGCGTCCCGCGGAATAACGTGGGCTCCGTCAGACAGGGTACGTCATCACCTTCGTCCTTTCCATCCAGCAAACATCTTGATCCAATCTGCATTGCAGGATCTTCCTTAAATTTTGGCTCAATAGATGATGCCTCTGCTCCTGTTTCGTCTTCACCTACCGCTACCCCAGTGGTTAGACATGAAAGCGTCAAGACATTTGGCTCTCTGCCTGTAACGACAGCTACGACATCAACTATCATAAATGGAAAAACTCCCGCTTCAGGTCCGTCCGCTGGCTCGTCGAAGCCTTCATCACGGCCCTCGGCGATGGCTCCATCGATATCATCATCACCATCAGCAACGGCCAGCCCGTCATCGACAACGTCCGCAACGACGTCGTCGACGGCTCCGGCATCTACTCCTAACTCTACCCCGTCGACATCGTTAGCGGCCACGCCGTCTTCGTCTATGCCATCCACCAGTACAAAGTCCAGCTTTAATGTTGCCAAACTTTTCCAGGGTAACCCCTCGGCCTCCCAACCGTCCTCAGACGCCACCTCTCCTTCAACACGACCGTCTAATCTACCTCATCAGCCGCCATCTGCTGGCCAACATGCACCGCAACAACCGGTACAGGCTCCCCCGATGAGCGCGCATCCCTATCCGTCGTATGGACAAGGAATGCGACCTCCTCGCGGTGCGAGTGGGCCTGGTTCACCGGCATTTTCTCGTGCTGTACCCAATGGAAGTGGACCGCAGTCACGGCCGATGCCAGGTCCCGGTGGTCCCGGTGGCCCTCCACTCCCTTCTAGTCCTAGACTCGCTCCACCTACTCACTCGCATCCCCCTTCATCTGCAGGTGTTCCTCCTCAACAGCTCCCCATGCAACCCGTGCATTGGTCTCCGTACTACGTATGTCATTGTGCTCGCATATGACCACTATTCAATTGACTTGTTTTAGTACCTGGAATACCAATCGCCGCAATGGTTTTATCCAATGCAAGCTCCTCATGGTATGGGCCATGCACCCCATGCTCCCGCACCCACTCCTCAAGGCCCTCCTCACCCCAGCATTCCTTTATCACCTCGAACCCAACCTCCGTCACTTCCTCCCGGCACTCCGACTATGGCTCATGGTGTTCCACACTCTCCGCACACCCCTCAACCTCCACCGCCACACACGCATCAACCTTCAGCTAGCATGAGTATATCTCCTCCTCCGCCGACGCCATCCACATCCAATGCTCCGGGCGGTCGTAGCCTCAATACCAATGCCACTACATTCGTTCCTACGGCGCCTCGATCACACAAGATTACCATTAAAAGTGAAGACGGGACGGAGGTTAAATTGGAGTCGTTCAAGAAGCCCAGCCCCCAACCATCTACCACCCCGATACCCCCGCCTTCTCCGATAGCAACAAGTCGTCGGACAGCATCGGTGCGCATTGAAAGCGAAGAGTCGAAGCGGAAACGGGAAGAGCAGGCACGATTAGAGCAGGAAAAGAAGGAGGCAGATGAGAGAGCAAAGAAAGAGGAGGAAGAACGGAAACAAAAAGAAGCAGAAGATGCTAAGCGGAGAGAGGAAGAGGAGGAGGAAAGGAAACGGAAGGAGAAGGAAGAGGAAGAGGAGCGAGTGCGAAAGGCAGAGGAAGAGAAGGTGCGACAAGAAGAGGAGCGAAAACGCAGGGAAGAGCAGGAACGGTTAGAAGAAGTGCGACGCACTGAGGAGCGCTTGAAGGCAGAAAAGGAGCAGGCGGAGCGGGAGCAAAGAGAGAGGGAACAGAAGGAGCAGGAGGAGCGGGAGCGAGCTGAGAGGGAAGCCGAACAGCAACGCCAGGAGGAGGCCGAAGCAGAGGCTCAGAAGCAAAGCGACATCGTTGAATCTCCGACACAAGAGTCGTTGGAGGTTGAAGATGGTGAAGTGCTCGAGAACGGAGAAGAGGTTTCCGAGCCTCAAGTAAACGGTGCTGGCAAAAGCCAGAAAGAGTCTCTGCGGATCGACACCTCAGAATTCGCCAGACGTCGGCCGGGTCCCCTCGATATCAATGCTGCCAAGAAGGATAGCTCTGCGCCTCCTCTCTCCGCCCTGTTGACCGCTCGCAATATCGGTAGACTGGACGAGATCGAATATCCTGATGGTATAAAGAGTCCCAAGACGGAGCTTAATGAGAACGCGAAAGACGGCAAGTTTAGGTATGTATGGATTTCAATATCCGAGACCAAAAGCTCACTCTGTTATTATCACCTAGGTATGACCGAGATTTCCTCATGCAGTTCATGGCAGTCTGTAAGGAGAAGCCGCCGAATCTTCCTCCGTTGGATATCCTTGGCATCGAGCCTGTCGACCAAACGTCATTCGCCATGACGCGTGGCGGTTCCGCTCGACATCGTCAGTCTTCAGGTCCCATGTCCGCAGCAGGTGCTCGCTCAGCTTCGATCGGCCTTGGTATTGGTCCTTTCAAACCTGGGGCTCCCCCTGCTCCTTTTGCGATGGGCCAGTTTGGTACTCCTGGCAACAAGCTCACGAGCGAGGAACGTTTTATGATGTCTCAAGGCGCACGCTCGGCGTCTGTTGGCGGTGGCCCCGCTGCGTTGCTCAACCGTCCTCCATTAACACGAACTCCAAGTCAAGGTGGACCCGGTGGACACCCGATGGGTGGCCATCGCACGCGCAGCAAGCGTGGCGAGAAACGCACCGATCTCAGCAAGGTCGGTTCGGTACAGCAAGGTCCAGGATTTGGCCCAGGTGCTGCCTCTTCGATACCTGCACTTGAACCCGTTGCTCCTCTTGAGATGTCCGCCAACCGCTGGGTGCCTAGCAGTGCGCAGCGTAAAGGTGCTATCGACGCGGACACTCCTGAGGTTGTGGATCGGAAAGTTAAATCACTCCTCAACAAGCTCACTATGGAGAAGTTCGACTCGATATCTGACCAAATCATTGCATGGGCCAACAAGTCGGAGAATGAAAAGGATGGACGGACCCTCATTCAGGTCATCAGGCTCGTTTTCGAGAAGGCTACTGACGAGGCTAACTGGAGCGAGATGTATGCTCGACTCTGCCGCAAGATGATGGAAACGCTCAGTCCCAAGGTCCAAGATGATGGCATTAAGAGTACCGACGGGAAACCCATCACAGGTGGTCAGCTCTTCCGCAAATACTTGCTCAATCGGTGTCAAGAAGACTTTGAGCGTGGTTGGTTTGCCAAGGAAGCCACAGCTCGTGCGGCGGCAGCCAAAGCCAGCGACGACGAAGCAATCAAGGCAGCCAACGAGAAGAAGGGCGAGGAGAGCGAGCTCTACTCCGACGAATACTACGCGGCTCAGAAAGCGAAGCGTCAGGGTCTCGGTCTCATCAAGTTCATTGGCGAGTTGTTCAAGCTTCAGATGCTCACTGAACGCATCATGCACGAATGTGTGAAGAAGCTGCTTGGTAATGTGGAGAATCCCGAGGAGGAAGAGATCGAGAGTCTGTGTCAGCTGTTGAGAACTGTTGGCCAACTTTTGGATGTTCCCAAGGCGCGTGCACATATGGACGTGTACTTCCAGAGGATGAGAGAGCTCTGCAAGAGCCTGAACGTTAGTCCTCGTATGCAGTTCATGCTTCAGGTGGGATCGTCATTGTTTGCATATCATCGTTCACCAACTAATACTTGACTGTTTCATTAGGATGTGATTGAACTCCGTGACCGGAAATGGCAACCTCGTAACGCGGTAAATGCGCCTACTACGCTTGCCGCAGTACACGAAGCGGTTTGTATCCCGTTGTTCATCGTTGCACGTAGATGCTCATAGATATGATATCCAGGCTGCCAAGGAAAAGGCTGCTCAAGAAACCCAAGCATTCCAGCGGCAATTCAGCATGTCTCGAGGTGGTTCGAAACGAGGTGCCGAGCGCAACGCTGAGCCTTCTCCTGACGGTTGGGCAGTAGCTGGAGGCTCGCAACCTAGACCCCCAACCAAAGCAGGCGACCTTTCGCATTTCGGCAAGATCAGTAAGGCTGCTCCGATGGTTATGGGTCCGAGCAGTGTTTTCGCTGGCAAGAAGGATATCAAGCGCGAGTCGATGACACGCACGAACTCGAGCTCTAACATGTTCTTGATGCTCAGTCAGAACCCCGAGCTTACCATGGAACCCAAACCGAGTCGAGCACCTAGCCGGAAGCCCAGTACGGACTTGGACAAACCGGAACCTGCTCCACAGCGTAAGAAACTTCAACTCCTACCCCGCACGATCCCCGCCCCTGGTGAAACTTCGTCGCCCTCGTCAGAGGAAGAATCCGAGGCAGCACCTGCAGCCCAGATGTCAGAAAAAGATGCGCAGAAGATCGATGAGGACGCTAAGGAATTCTTTGCTGTCCGCAACCTTGAAGAGGCGGACGCATACTTCACCACCCTCACAGAAGAGCATCGATTCCGACTGGTTGACAAGCTCGTTTCATCGGCACTGGAAAGCAAGGAAGCTGATGCTCGTTTGGTCGCTGACTTCTTCTCTCGTCCTGCTTCACAACACGAGTGCTCGCCAGATGCTTTCGAAGCTGGATTCATGCCCATGGCTGAGCTACTAGAGGACATTGCTATTGACGCCCCGAAGGCATTCGAGTACATGGCCATCATGCTGAAAGGGGCTGGAATGGACAAGGACGAGGAGAGAATGAAGCGGATCGCTGAGAAGGTGACGGACAGTGGTGATAGGTTGCTTCAGCTCGTTTCGTCATGAACATTTTCGTCGACATATTTCATTTCCTTGGGGATTTTACTTACACCCTCAGCTGCGCTCCCATCTGGCATATATTACTTTTTCTTTTTCCCCATCCATTGCTTGCATCGTTTTTCTGATGAATCTTAGTCTCTGTTCGTGCGTGACCCTGGTTGCTGCAACACATAATAATCTGTCTTGTACATCGCATGGCTTTTCTCCCCTATTATTTGTTGTCCTAGTTTTACAGCATAGGCTACAGCTTAGCAGTACATCAGATAGTCAACGCGAACAATTCACTCAGACGACGAACCTATCGTATACGATGATGCCCGATGGATTGACTGTCTCATCGACCAAATATAGACAAACTCACATCACTGCAATCAATCACCAAATCACTCCTTGTTGAAAGTACTCAGGAGCCGTAGCCCTCAACCGCCTTCCGCACCAAATTCCACCACCGGGCGGTATGGCTCACGGCGGGCGTCGGTTTACAGCCAATCTTTGGCGGGGCATGCGAAAGAATCTCAACTTTTTTCGCGTGCACCTGCTCTTCTTGTTTGTATTTCGCTCTGTTCGAGAATATTGTCATTTATCTCGGCCAACAGCACTTTCATACCGCTGCTTGCATCCGCCGTGCTGTATGCCTCCAACGGCAAATATCCGATCAGTTATGTCGATGCCCTCTTCAACTCCGTCAGTGCCATGACTGTATGCGGCCTTTCGACGGTGAACTTGAGCTCTTTGACACCGTGGCAGCAAGTCATATTGTTCCTACAGATGTGTGTTGGCAGTCCTGTGGGTATCCGCACTCCGTTACTGGTGGGGCAAAGAATCCTAACCACACAACCACACGCTGTCTCGCCAGGTCGTGGTATCATGGTGTATGGTCTATATCCGAAGGCATGTGATCCTGAAGGTAACTGGCAAACCAAAGTGACGTCTCTCTTAGGTACTTCTTTGCGAAGAAATTCGATCATATCATCGCAGCCGAGGCTGCCCGTCGATTGGAGGCTCAGTTGACCAGAGACACCTCCGCATCGAGAGGAAGGGATTTTGGTTGGCCACGCCGTGTTTCAACGTTGTTCCAGCGGCGACCCGGTCTAAGCCCACTTCCGGAAAACGGATTGAGTGCGGCCGAAGATGTTTCCGTATCAGAGGAGAAGGAGGGCGACAAGAAGTTCGGGGTGCGTATGATCCGTAGGATGGATGCTCCACCCAGACTTGTCAACCCGAGTGGACGAATTACCGAGGCGGGAGATACCCCTGATAGGGCGCTTTTGGCATGCCCAAATGGGGGGAATCACATGTCTTCGCCGCCGCGTGCGTTCACTCCAGACAGCAGGGCTAACGACTTAAGCGGTCAGTATCCTACTGAAGGTGTTTACGCGGAAGTTCCAGAGAGCGCCCAGGAAAAAGAGGCGCCCGAGAACCCGAGTGCTTCAGGTGATGGACCTTCGTGAGTCGATAATGCCTCTTATCGGCCGGGTCGCTAACAGGCTTTAGGGTCCGTTGTTTGTCAGATCCTGGAGTTGAAGACAAGATTGATACAGCGTTGTGTAAACCCGCACTTGCCCCTTTATGCGGGATTGATGTTCTAACCAAACATGCAGCGAGTCACCCCTTCCTCAAGTCCAACACCTTTCATGAGGGTCCAGAAGCAAATGAACGAGCGCGCAGGATGTCTAAGGCAGCTAATGTGGAGTTCTCGCCGACGGTCGGCCGCCAGGATACGGCTTATTCCACTGGGCCGGACACCACGTGGGGTGATGGTACTCGTCAACGCCGTCCAACTGTAGTTTCGATTGGCGATCATGTTCCGCTGGGTCGAAATCCCACAATACACACACATCGCACGGTGCATACGGTGCCTCGCTCCGATGGGTATCCAGAATTGCAGCACCCTCAATCCGTATACACGGATTTCGGTGGCTTCCCCATGCCTCACAAGCTTCTGGGCAAGCTCCTGGGACGGCTATTTCCGAAGGCTCAGGTTCGCCTCCACAGAACGATGACGATACCCGCTACGACCTCCTTCACGGGCGGCTCGATACTCTCTCATGGCAGAAGAGGGTCGCTTGCTGCACCCGATGGTGCCATCAACACTGCGGACGGGACGAAACCAGCTACATACATTTCGTTTCACGCAACCGTGGGGCGCAATTCTGCTTTCCGTTCACTCACCAATGGACAGTTGGAAGAGCTGGGTGGAGTTGAGTACCGTGCATTAAATGCACTGTTATGGCTCGTTGCCTCGGTTTGTGACACGTTGCGCACAACATTTATGACTGACATGCCTTGGTGCCTGTGACAGTATCACTTCGGTATTCAGATCATCTCTTACGTTGTAATTGCCCCGTATATGTCAATGTCAAAATGGTCCAGCGACTTCACACCCCCTGCCCTCCAGCGGCCCGTAGCTCCTGCGTGGTAAGCTTCTTACAGGAAACCGACGGCAGTAAAATAACGGGTAATCCCAGGTTCTCCTTGTTTCAGGTTGTATCCGCCTATACCAACACTGGAATGTCTCTTGTGGATCAGTCGATGGTTCCTTTTCAAACGGCGTACCCGATGATATTCTTCATGATAATCTGTATACTTGCCGGAAACACAGCTTTCGTAAGTTCGTGTCTCTCAGCAATCTCGAAGGCTAAACGGTTGGTTTATTCTCCGTCCAGCCTGTCTTGTAAGTAGCCTTTTAGCTATCTGTGCTTAGCGTTCACGCTCCATACTTTCAGTCTTCGTTTTACCATGTATGTCGCTCTTTGGGTGTCCTAATGACTGCTTACAGCAGTTGAAGTTGGGTCGTCACCAAGATCATACCAAGAGACTCGCGTCTAAACGAAACATTACATTTTCTGCTCGACCATCCTCGCCGGTGTTTCATCTATCTGTTCCCATCCCATCAGACATGGTTTCTCCTCACAATGTTATTCGTACTCAAGTATTTCGAATATCCTAATACTCGTCTCTCTCGCTGACGCCTTATCGTTCAGCATCACAGATTGGTTAAGTTTTCTTATCTTCGACATCGGGAATTCAGCCATCAGTTCAATCCCTGTCGGAACAAGAATTGTAGCAGGTTTCTATCAGGCCATCGCCGTCCGGAACGCCGGCTTCGGCATCGTTCCACTCGCTCTTCTTGCCCCTGCCACCAAGTACGTGCGAGCTGATCTCCAAGTTTCATACGCTGAACCAACTCATTCAGGGTCATGTATGTTATCATGATGTACATCAGCGTATGTGAGTATACTGCTCCTTGCCTCCTATTTAGAACCAACGATACAGCCATCTAGATCCAATTGCGTTGAGGTAGGTTTTTGTCGCAGTCAAGATCGTGATTAACATAGGCGGCTGTAGTGTTCGTTCCACCAACGTGTACGAAGAACGGTCTCTGGGTATCTTTCCTCCCGACGAGGAGGATGTTGGGACTTTCCGGCCTACTGGCTCGCGCGTGGCAATTTGGGGTCATTATTTGGGGATGCACGCTCGTCGCCAACTGTCCTTTGGTAAGTGATCGGGAGTCTTGATTGTGGATATGAGGTCTCACTCGAAGGAAAGACATGTGGTGGTTGTCGCTGGCATTATTTGTAGTGTGCATTATAGAGGTGAGCCCAGGCATTGGCTGTGTGGCTATGCTCTATTCTTAGGTGGCTACCAGAGAGATAATCTCAACAACCCTAATATTCAAGGCTGGTTCAACATTTTCACGATAAGTGAGCTCACTGCACTTCATATCTTTTCTCTTCATTATATACTATTTCCCAGTTTTTGAACTCGTGTCAGCCTATGGCTCAGTTGGCCTTAGTTTGGGAGTGCCTGACGTACGTCTGCTTCGTGATGTGCTGTTTTCACCATCTCACATTCTTGGACAGCAAAACTACTCGTTCTCCGGGGCACTACGGCCACTCTCGAAGCTAGTGGTTACCCTTGTCATGCTTCGCGGTCGACATCGTGGGCTTCCGGTGGCCATCGATCGCGCAGTCATGCTTCCATCCGAATTCCGCAAGCCCGAAGAGGACCCCGATCTCCAACATACCACAGATGAAAGGACTCGGGCTTCTAGATTGTACAACCGACCAGGCGGAAGTATTGCAGATATTCCCGGAAATTGGGAGGGGGTGGGATCCGAGAACGACGAACTGAGGCCACGAGCTGAAAGTAGAAGAAACAGCACCACGTCTTCCTCCCGGATTCTGCATACGTAGAGTGGGAAGGCTTACAGCACCAGCACTTCCGATTCCTTGGACAGACATAGAAGAGCACTTCAAACTTCTTAAGCACTTTTACCGAGAAAATGTTTGTATGAAAGAGCACAATGTATGACACACACGACCCGTACTGTAGCAATTGTACTGTAGTGGCCTGAAATGCATGTCTCAGGGGTCTCAGTGGTGTGTCACCGTGGTGCAAGCTCGACTGCCACTTTCACCAATGACTGTATATCGTTTACGCCATGTTGCCACCGTCCCCACCACCCATCTCTAGGCGTGAACGTACGCAAGATGCTGATGCTGCCGTTCGCCAAACCGACTCTGATGCCGCGTTGGCTCGATTGTCCGCAGTCAGGAAGGGTTACCTCACAGACTCTTTCATCGGGCACCTGGTTCCACGATCGCAATTACAACCACCAAGATCCCCTCTAATAAATGTCGGCACATACGTCCGTTCATACTCGATCGATCACCTCGTGGAAGAGTGGATAAATATCTCTAAGCAAGAACACAAGCCATGCCAGATCGTAAGCTTGGGAGCGGGGAGTGATACACGCTTCTGGCGAATTGCTGTGAGGGTTCTTGCATTACTGGCCGCGCGAGCATCTCACAAAAAAAGTAGACTGGGCCGTACAAAGATCATTTGCGGGTTTACGCTGAGCTGGATTTTCCTGAGGTTACAGTGAAGAAAGCGATGTCCATTCGCAAAAGCAGTCAGCTTGGCGCAGTGCTTGGATCGCCCGAAACAGTATCGTTGGGTGAGCATGATGATCCATTGTTGCGATAGGAATCAGCTCATTAGCTAACAGCTCAAGGCGGGATGGCACTACATTCCCCTAAATATCACCTGCTGCCCTGTGATCTACGGAAGCCGCCATCCGAGGTTCTTCCATCTCTCCTCGGAGAAATTCTTTCTCCCAGTTCACCGACACTTCTACTTTTTGAGTGTGTGCTCGTATACATGTCACTGGAAGCCTCTTCGAACTTGACTCAGTGGTTTGTGGACTACTTCGATTCCAATTCTGTTTCTTCAAACCCCGGGGTTCTCGGTGCGATCGTTTATGAGATGTTTGGTCTTCAGGACAGTTTTGGTCAGGTTATGATGAACAATTTGCGGGTAAGGAGTTTTTCTGCTTGAGTATCAGCGATATTGAAGCGCACTAGTCCAGAAATGTCTCATTAATAGGGGCGTTGCCTTACCCCACAATAGAAACGCTCCCTGAGCGTTTCATGCGGCACAGTTTTACAGTGTCTAAAGCCCTTACTCTTCGGGAAATTCGCGAAAAGTTCATACCCAAGTCCGAGCTTATGCGGTGAGCCTACTATCCGAGCCTTTTTGATCACAGAAATTTAATTGCAGATTCCAGAATATCCACCTTAGAGATGCTGGACGAAGTCGAAGAACTTAATCTCGTCCTGGATCATTATGCTATCACGTGGGGCGTCAAGTTAGACCCCGTATCAAACTCGTCGAGCGCCGCGTGGACACAGTGGGGAATAAGGATGGTTCCAGATCTGCCAGACGAGCGCGAAGCACGATGGGAGTAGTACTTGCGTCCGCTCCTTGGATGGGTTCTACAGTACTTTCTAGTTCCTTGCTATGGATCATTGTTGACTACTTGCATCAATCTGTGAAGAGTTCAAGCAACATGATGTACATGTTTGTGTTCGTCACTTACCCTTAACACTGTCAACTTCCCCGCGCGGATTGATGAGTTGGAAACCTGAAGGGAGGGGTGGAACTCAGTGAAGACTGCGGTAAGTCACAAATACCCAATTTCAGCCGTAAGGAAACTTATTGTCGCTTAGGCATGACCATCGAAATGACGCAAAGCATACGCAGTGCCTAACCAGCTCACTTGAAATACGTGGCGAAGTAGAGGGGTATGTCTCACTTCACTTTTTCACTACCTCCCATCACTGGCAGAGTCAGTACGAGTGTAAAAAAGATGGCATGTTGTTGACGATGTTACTTCGGATTCCGTCAAAAACTTCTGCGCAAACCTTCGTGATTCCGGGCCTCTGGCCTTTGCTAGCGCCAGCGTGGACGTTTGCGTAGTGCAATTGAAAAAGGCTCGTGAACTGATGTGGAATATACAGATCTGAATGCAAAATTAAGCAGTGGTCCATAACAGGATCATAGTACCAGAGGGGCCTACGATGCTGGTCTGGTGATCAGACTAACTAGTTGCACTCTCAGTCCTGATCGAAATGCATTGTGAGCACAGTACTGAATATCGAGTGTAAATGCAGTGTCCATGTGCTCGTCTCTATTCTTGCTCATTGGACACAATTCAGGTTATCTTCAGTTACATCGGCAAGACGGCTGGCGCACTTTCCCAGTGAGGCATCCTTGAACTCGATCATGTGGGTTCTGTTGAGAAACACTCGTTGTGACCATCCCGTCAGTTGCCAAATTTTCGACAACCAGATATTTCTTCCGTAATGGGTACCAATCTAATTGTGAGTGTCAGCATATACAAAAGCTGTAGCCTACTTTAAAGGCAGTTTCCCGGTTGGTCCCTACGGCAGATACGTTTCTCTACATCCTCCCACCTGCCTTAGGCGTGAGCCCTGCTACAGCTTCTGCTACTGGAAGGGGTCCGTGCTTCATGGAAATGCTTTCAGTCAGAGTCAAAAAGGGCACAAAGGCTGCTACCTACAGCCTGCAGTTCCCCGTCCGCCAGAACGTGTGTCCATACGGGAATGAACGGCGCTGGCGCAGCAGAGGCTAAGAAATGACATGCATGAGGGGCTATACGACGAAGAGTAGAGACTCACACACTTGAAATGGTGAACTTACCCAAAGCAGTGATCGCTGCAATGATGGAGAAGACAGCGAACTTAGCAGCGTACATGTTTTTAGACAGCTGTCATTGTTCCGGGCTTTGAAACTAAAGGAGCCAGTGGGACCCGCTGAGAAGACTGAACTCGAGAGAAGAATAAGGGTGTGATGTGCGAGCTGCTTGCTTGGCTCGCCCAGAAACCTAACCAATACCTTTATATCCCTTGTGGAATTCTCTTTTTACCAAGGAGTAGACTATTTTTGCGTGTTAGCTCACAGGCATCCTTGAACAGTAGATTCAATCGAGAAAAGCAGGCAAACTAACCCGTAATTGGTTGGTAGCTTGTCCTTCACTTGTAACGACCCGATTGCCACGGTCGATTTTCCGCCGGAAAGCAGGAGACAAAGCAATGCGAACAACACTACCTTCCTTTTTTTCAGGTTGCAACCGGTGGGGTACCGCCCCCCGCGGGAGATAGTGGGGATGGCGGAGTACCAATCACTGACCGGCTGCAGGACTTCTATGCGGTCGTGTTTGATAGGTGAGAGCCCTTGGCTGTCCATATAGCACCTAGACCGTTCGTCAGGCCTGCGAACATTTGCTGACCGGTGGGCGAAGTAGGTCCGCCTAATGGTCTCATTGCAGCACTATCGTGCACGGTAGGGAACGTAAGCCGTAAACCTTGGGTGACCTCGACCAACACAGGTGTTCTGTGATGCTCTGTCATACGTAGCATGCGCTAGAAGGCCATGTCAATAGAAATGTAACAACTCCAGTTCAGCACAGTTCAATAAACAGCAACGCCTGAAAGGAGCGAACCACCCATGTAGAGAAGGTTAGACGTCGAGCCGGGTGACTAAGCAAAGAGGCAATGGGGTTGTTTCGACCGCTTGTGGTCACAGAGAAATCAGTATTTCATGGCAGGTCTGGAGGTTGGAGTCGGCGTTAAGAGTGCAACGGAAATCCCCTTTAGTCGCTTGCTGCCTGAAACACACTTCAGTTGGGTTAGGCTAAAGAGATAGTGGAGCCAGCAGATTAGCTGGTCTCCATAGTAGGGTGGGAGGTCTCGACTCTACTCGCTGTCTCAGATTAACGGCAAGAGCTCTGAAGACAAACCCGCTCCGTTCTTTCTCCGAGAACGCTGCAAGGGTCGCCAAACAACAAATACCCAGCTAAGGTCTATCATGATTATGATGGCGCCGCTCGGAGGAGTCTTTGGAGAGTGATATGTGTCCACCTCTCCTCAGGACCATCGGTAATGCGGTCAGGAACGATGAAGGTATACGATGACATTGTCAATCGACTCTTTCCGAAGCAGTAAGCCAAGTGTGGCATGCGAAGCGCCAACACCGCATAAAAATTTGCGAGCTGCCTTCGTTAAGATATTGACGTCAGCCACACGGCGCAGGAGCGTGGTCGAGTCTCGTACCACACGACTGAGACTACTCAGACGTTGGTGGGCTGAATATCAATGATGGGTGTCGAGGACTGAGATTGCTAAGACTTTATTAGTGTTCTTACATATATTACGCAATCGAGTCATCAGACCAGGGAAACCTCAGCTGGAACAGCCTTTGTATAGTGCTTACCATGAATACATTGTCCCCGTTGAAGATATGATCCCGTGCTTGTGGTTAGTAGTATGCGGTTACCAACTTTTGTGCCGAAATAGTCGCTAAGCTGTGACTGGAATGAGTCCGCGGAAGCAGTAGCATACAGAACACCTTGGTTCAGTGAATGATGCGAGTCGGTTGAGTTCAGTTCATACGACACTACTCCCTCAAAGTCTGGCAGAGACTCATTCCTACGCCGCTCCGAACAACACAACCTTGTTAACTACTCAGGTTAAACAAGTTTACACGGGACCAGTGCGACTTCCGAGCTACAGTAGTACCGTTTAGGCTGCCGGCGGCCGAGGTACAGCCTTGCTACATCGTGCTAGCTGCAAGTTCTATTGTGGGCTGGGTTGCAGCTTGCAGCGCGGTTTTGGCTATTCCATGCTTTCTCGTGGTTCTCGAGTGCCTGATATGCATAAGCTGGCGACGACGGCGGTACACGCTGATATCTATGGCCCGGCGTGAGTATTATCATTATCTATCATTAGATTCTCATCTGGTGTCTTAGTGCTAGCGCAAGTGTGTGGGCAGTTACGATAGGATCTGAAAAATCTCCCTAGCATAGGCACAATGGGGAAGGTTGTTGAGGACGATGCCAGACCCACCGGACGAGTGTGAATTCACATTAGGAGTGGTACTTGCATCCGCTTCTCAGATAGGTATGCACTGTCTAGACCGTCCTGTCGTGGATTATTGCTTGACGACCTCCGCCAACTACCCTTGATAGGTTTGAACAACGACGATATAACATTGATATTTTTTTCGGACCCTTTAGTTACTCTCACTTGAAGACTTGCATGACTCGTTGCCGTTCCGTGACACGCTGCTAGCCTTGTCAATCAATATGTCTATGTCATATGAGAAAGAGGACTGTTCCACTCGCACGATGATATGCCTTGTAAGCTTCTTTCTTGTCTAGAAACAGCTATTCAGGCCAACTTGCTTGCTTTGTTCTCGACGCAGTCCTTTGTGAGTCGTCCGCATTCAAAATCCCTACAGGGGAGTCCCACCTACAACCGTCATCTCTCACCTCACACCTCCTCGAGCTTGGCCTGAACCGACACGGGGTAGCGTCCCTTAGTGGCTTTGGCTTCGTCTTCATGCCACCCTTCATTCCAGCCAGTTATGCGCAAGACCTTCTCTCCGGGTGGCATACCCGTGGAGTTATGGCTCATGGTCATGAAACTTTTGCCCAAGAAAAGCGTCCGTTCATGTCTTCATGTCTGTCGTATCTGGCATGACATTGCTCTCACGTTACTGTTCTCAACCGTTAAACTCCATTTTATGGGTCCTGATTTGGCTTTTTACGGTGATTTCTCTAGACAAAAACAAATAAACGCAATGCCGCTCACCGACCGCACTTGGGAAATCCTTGATCACATCCCGAGCAACTCTACTTTCGCTCGAACGATTAAATATATCATCGTGTATGCCTCTGACTACAACCTTTGCTTTGAAAAACGTAGGTAACCCAGCCACTCCCTCGTTAGTGGACGCTCAGCTGACTGTTCGGAAGTATCTTTGATCAAGGCTCTACGTTGCATGCCGTACCTTGTGGGGTTTGAGTGGATTGCAAATTCATCTTCTCACATCCAAGACATTCAAGAGACTTTATTAGTCTCGTGCCCTCGTTTGCAGCGCCTGCGCTACCCTCTGTAGGTTTACTTCGTAGTCGCTTGCTATCCCTCCTGATTTCGCACTTGTATGAAGCTAGTGATATCACACCACCGCCTCTCAAGCCTTTCCCGCAAAAAATAACCTCTTTGAACCTTACACCAGCAGATATGTGGGAAAAAGATGACAATGCGGTTTGGTATATCATCGATGTGTTCCCTTCCGCCATGGATACAACTCACTACTCTCGTGCTTGCCTGTGTGTCCATGAGGGATATTCCAACGGAGGCGTACGGTATATTCGCCCATCTCAAGGAATTGACTTTCTGGGAGCCCTATGAGATCGACGCACTGCTTCTTCCCCTTCGTCACGAGCGCGCACTCGAGTTTTTGGCGCTCAAAAGTGTAGATGGTGGCGAAAATCTGTGCACCTTTCTTCAAGGAGCTACTACGCTTCTTCCGCGGTTGTCGACGTTCCTGCTGGCGTCGGACGAATATATTGGAATCAATGATCTCAGTGCTGTTCGCAATTTCTTGATAGGGCATCCAGGGCTAGAGAGACTGCACCTCCGTATCTACTGCCCTTCCCAGTTTATACCGACTCTCTACCCTGCTTTGGCGAGGTTGCATTCATTACAAGCCCTTTGGCTAGACACAGGTCCTGCGGAAATGATTGATATAAGGCCATTGATTTCAGTACTACCCAGATCGTTGCGGGTGCTAGTTCTATACGTACGCCATGATTGTTTTGGGGAGCTAGTAAGTCCATCCTACATTCATGCTAGCGGTGCCAGTTGATCTCATGTTGTTCCTAGCTTCGGTGTTTATCCGGCTTTCCTCATCTTATAGCCTTATGTTTGCCTTACGAGCACCCTCTATCGCCGCATATTCTTACCGTGGAACTCAAAAGACTCACATTTGTAGCGGCAGGGAAGTCTGTTGTGCGTGTGGAACGCGATTCCTCTGGAAGCAAGGTGGAACTCCGCCGAGTTCCCTTTCTGGAGTTAGCAACGTGGCACCGGTCTGACTTCGATGATCCTAACATGAGTTGGATGGCGGAAGACTTAAAATCTTGGCTCACCAGTGCCAAGTGGAAGGTCTTGCACTAGTGAGCCGTGCACCCGCCCATTGCAACTGGTCACGAGTACGCCTGTACGATTTCTGTGAACGAGTTTTGTGTAGGATTGTTCCGTGTATCCATGTTACAACAAAGTTCAATTGTTCTTGATGCTACTTCACATTGTATCGTGACTACAAATCGTAGGCCCGTAGCAACTTGAGTAGGGTCATCTCCATCTGTGTGACGTGGCTGTGCCAACTTGCCGCGTGAAACGTCTGAATTATAGAAAGGTACTTGACGACGCCTTGACAGATAAGCAAGATGTACCCCTTGGCGCTAAGTAGGTCACTCGCTCTGATCCTCCCCATCAGCCGGTCAGTTGCAACTGAGTGACTGATTCCCCATGCTCAGATCCCTACCCGCACCGCCGAAGAAACGGGAAATAATCCTATTCGCTGTCGTGTTATTCTCCCTTTTGGCGTTGTTTGATGTCTTCAGTGTCCGAGGATCACTCTCCGGTAGTTTCTCTGGATTGTTTTTCAACCAGGCTGAGGACTTGGCCGGCGACCGAGAGAATTGGAGAATCCACGCGGATTGGCCGGCTGAACAAGATGCGATGTCTCAGACAAACATCGTGATCCACGCTCCAGGTATGGGTGATAAATTATTGGCATTGTTTCGCCTACTCAGATGACCACACTCAGGATGGACGATATTTGATAACCTCTACGTCATGAATGGGACTGTTTTCGTGGTGACAGACAAGCCTGAGACCGTCCCGCCACGCAAAATGTTGACTTCTACCGGCGTCGAGATAAAGAACGACCCGGCATCCATAGCTGCACGACTTCCAACCGACCGAGAAATGCGTATTATCTCGACAGCAGAAGCCAGGGAACTGTTTAGCACTGATGCGACGCTGATAGACGGTTTCACAGTAAGTAAACCTCCTCTCGATTCGCGTTGCCAAGCCTCGAGGGCCATATTCTCACCGCGTGCGTGCTCCATTAGTGGATGGTCAACGACCCACCGCAATTGTACGTCCAGATTCTATGAGTTTGCAATCTATTCAAACTTCATTTGACCGATAACACGACCATATAGCATCCCGCACTACTACCACTGGACTGCGGAGCTCTTCCTTGGCTTTTGGCGGACCTACTCTTCTCTAGATCCTTCCATCTCCGAGTCGGGGGATACTGTTCTCCCCTCCCCTCGACGCATTTGGTTCGTACACTTGGACGCTAGTCGGTGGCGCGATCCTGCACGCCTGAACCAGTGGATGCTCAGAAGTACCTTTCCCTCGGTGACCATTGAAGACTCCAATGACTGGGATGATCGCGCTCAGCTGGGCAGGGCATTTCTTCTCGACCGTGTCTTCCTTTCAGATCGAGCAGCTGCCAAAGAAGGGCAGCACTCTAAAAAGGTGGGACGACCTCTGGCTGAGGCGTGCTCACTTCCTGGTACCCCTCATTGGTGGGCCCCTATTGCAAGGAACGTCATGAAGTTTGCAGGGCTTTCCGAGTTGCCTAATATGGAACGTCCTGTAATCACGTATATATCGAGACAGTCAAGTGGGCGAAGGCTCATAGCCGAGGACCATGAGCTGCTGGTCGAGGCTCTGTATGCACTGGAAGACGAATATGGGTATGAAGTGAACATCGTGAGTATGGAGAAGCTATCGCGAGAAGAACAGATGAAACTGGCAGTGCGGACAACAGTGCGTGGATTCGTTTGCGTCTGATTAGAGTGAATTCGTCACTCAATCTGTTTTGTACTTAGATTATGTTGGGCGTACACGGAAACGGACTGACCTCAGTCGTCTGGATGCGCCCATCGAAACATAGGACGTTGATGGAGTTTTACTACCCAGGCGGGTTTACGCCCGATTACCAATATACTGCGTACACAGTGGGGGTAAACTACTATGGTTGGTGGGACAATGTGTACGTCTCCCCATGAAATCTGACATGGATGTGTTCCCACTGACCTTTATCTTGACGTAGGTCGTTTACGAATGAAAATTTACCCCGTAAAGCGTATCCCAAAGGGTTCCACGGGAGCCAAATACCCATTGATGGTGTTGCCGTAGCGAAGGCCTGTCTGGAGATACTTCAGACATAATGTTACTGGTACTTGTCAGACAGTTCCCATCATCCGCTCGCAGGTTTTATAAGGGAGACTGTATGTACGTTGGAATGGGTTCACGTGTGAATCGCTATTAGATGCTGTTATTGGCATTCGGTACTACGCGGTCCGAATAGACGAATCCATGTGAAGTTTATTGCTGCAACTGTTCCTCTTGGAGAATTCTACTGCGTGCCGTGCTTGGTGGTGTTGAACATCTCGACGAACGGTACGTCATGGTCACCTGTCTTCAAGCAATTGTTTCTGCCAGTATTTCTGGATCTACCCGTTTGGTTACATGTACACGTGCCCCTGAACTACCGCAACGCTGGTGTATCAAGCTATTTTTCGACCGCCAAGGATTCATTGAGTTGCAAGTAGCTCGGTGGGGCAGCCTATCTGACTTCCGCAGTTTGCGGGACAAAACACGGAATGAACGAGGTTGCTGGGCGCCTTGGCACTATCTGCCTGTAAGACGGGTTGGTCCAAGGATTCACGCTGATTCACCGGGCGTTCGAGCTACTATCTCATCCCGCAATTTAATATGGAAGTATGAATACCATTCCGATTTGCGTAGAGGGAACGAAAAACAGGGCTGTGCAAGCGTAAGATACACACTTTCAAGTATCTATCATGAACCGCCAAGACGGTTTAAAGTTTCGCCCTGAACGGAGCAAGCGCAAGGGGTTGGTCTGATCCAAGATGGTCAGTGGTGAACGCGGAAGAGTAGACCAAGAGTAACGCACATGTCGAATTGTAGAGGTTATCTGTTGGGGTAATGCCGACGTGTGCGTGGAGCCCGCTGGCATCAACCAAGTCAGAGGTTAACTCATCGATCGAGCGCACCCCAATGAGACGCATGTTCATTTCGAGTTCGTCCTAGTTCACCTTGTCAGCAAAATGTGAGCAACGCAGTCCAGACAAACATACCCTAAAGATCTGGAACGCCTTCTCGACACCCTCCTGCCCGTACGCACAGAACGAGTACATGAAGGCACGTCCTACGCCTACAGCAGAGGCACCCAACGCGATCGCCTTCAAGACGTCGCTAGCGCGTCTTACACCTCCATCCACGAAGATCGCGAATCGCGGGTTCGGCCATGGGCCGCGAGTCTTGAGGGCCGCAACAATGTCAATGAGGTTTTCGACACCGGAACGAGCAGTGTCGAGCTGTCTTCCACCGTGATTAGAAAGAACGATGCCAGCTAGACCGTAGTCATAGGCCATCAAGGCATCTTCGGGGGTCGCGACGCCCTTGAGGACAATGTGCACTGTCAAGGAAGTCACATAAGACACATTTTGCGTAGGCTGGCGAATACTTGCTGTTAGTGATACTCTTAAACCACGGAATATCTTTCCATGAAAGCGAAGGATCAATGAAGGACTACCTCGAGCGTATCATTAGATGAACCAGCCAGGATGAAGCAATGAGCGCTAACCGAGATCGCACGCGCAACTCCTTCGTCCTTCTTCACATTCTGGTCGCCGTCCTGAACTTTGGCGACACCACTTTCGTCGACAAACTTCATGCGCATGTCTTTCTCACGTCGACCCAATTGTGGGGCATCAACGGTAATGAAGAGGGCCTTTACACCACGCTTTTCGGCATGTTGAACATAGCGCTTTGTGATTTCCCTGTCGCGATTGACGTAAAGTTGCAAAAAGAGGGTTTGACCTGGTACAGCGGCGTCGACGATCTCGTCAAACGAGCAGGATGCAAGCGTCGGGATCTATGTGTCGTGGTGTGGATGGGAACGTGCAGCCGCGTGTCAAAGGAAGAGACAAAAAGGGGTCAATACAAGCAACCTGCCTAATGGGGCGAAAATGCCCCTAGCTTACCATTTGGATAACGCCATGTTTACCAGCAGCCCGGGTCAAGTTGAGTTCTCCATCAGGGTGCCCGAGCTTACCAAGTGCGGTGGCAGACTGGAAGGGTGGCAATAAAAGCAAAGTGAGAAATGCAGTGGTCCCCGCAAGGGTTAGTCGAAAGTTTGTGAGACATGAACCACGAGGCGCGTGGGGGAATAGGTACGTACGATATATACCGGAAGTGACGACTTGTAACCCAAGATAGTCGTAGACCAGTTAACCACCGAAACATCGCGAAGAATCCGCGGGCGGAACCAAATTCTGTGGGTATGCTTATTGTGACGGTAAATCGTGCGCAGGAATCAACTTGCCTCTGATAGGCAGCGCGATTCTCCCGAATGGTGATCTCATCATCTGAAGCAGAAGAGTAATAAGCCCATGCTTTAGGGGGAAGGATGGCTTTTGCGACCGCCTAGGCATCAACCAAGTCAGGGGTCTTTCATCTCGTTAATGTCACGTCTGACCTCAAAGTCGTGCAGATTAACAATTTCATCGATTGGAGGGCGAGAAGCTACTAATTCTTGGCGCTTCTTTTCTTCTTCGCTGAGAACTCTCTCGATTTTGACCACCGTTTGAGGGTCTACTGGGCCAAGACTGTGAACAGTGAGTAGTGCGCCAAAGCGTTGCACAGAAATAGAAGCGTACTGCTTATGTTTGGGGAGGTGTGTGGTGATTGCATCGGGAGGGTGAATTGGATCATATGCCTCACTGCACAAGACAATGAGTGAGGGACAAATCGCCAAGGAGAAATGAACGTACGTAGCGTCCTTTCCGGCATATTTGAGGATGATCTTGCTGCCACCGGGATGCTCTTATCAACGGAATGAGAAGAGGCACATGTGAAGTGGCGCAACAACGCCATACCTGGCAGAAATTCTGTTACATCGTATACACGTCCGTGTACGATGATCCAGCAACTTTCTGGGCTCGCATGTTCTGCGACTGTCTGGGTAGATATGGGTGACATTTTTCAGGGAGGCGGCTTTCTTGGGACGGAAAGAAAGTACACACCAGAAGGCCAGGTTATCTAGAAGGACGGAACGGAATAGCAGACACCGTACAGTGCCCACCCGGTGAGATCAAGATGACAGAGTCGGTGTTAGACCGGTTTGCAGTCTGGTGGAGGTCGGCGAAGACGACCTGGGCTGCGAGCGGTGGTCTCTCGTTTTTTCGTTCTAACGCCGACTGTGCTTTGTTTTCCAAAAGACCAACACTGGGTACTAATCGCTTGCTCGTGGAATACCGCTCGGAACTTTGTTACTGCGCTGAATCTGAGATTCCCAAATATTAGATATTCTGACAGTGTTCTTCCCTTTCGGTGGTGGTCCAAGTCGGTATTTCCAAATCAGGAAATCAATGGCGACTCGAGGCGGCGTGGCTGCCAAACTCCGCTCAACGTCCGGGAGCACGTGGGATTGCAGCAACGACGTACTACACTTTGGTTAATGGTCGCCGATGACGTGCAGGGATACAAACAAACCGATGTCAAAGCCCTGAAACAACGGCTAAGCTATCTTTACTCCGGTGAGCTGGCCTGTCAAAGGGAGCACCTTTTGGATCTTTTCAAGTCAAGTGATTGCTATCAACCGTAAACCCGACCTAGGGAGAGGAATTAATGGCAGCAGATTGGAATTAAATTCCGCAACGTGGAATCGCTCTCCCTTTTGCGGTGTCTGTCATCATGAACCTTTCCGCTTTTCCGCTTGGCAGGCAAACAGGTTCTGTACGTAACACCGCTTTAACCCTTTCCAGTGTGCGTGTCCGCCTGCGTCGGTTGGCGAATATCCTGTAAGTAAGCATGAAAAAAAGGAAAACAAGCTCTCGTCCGAACCTTACAAATACCCGCCCCCTTCCTGTTCAATCTTCAACAGCGCCCTCCCCCACAAACCATTTCTCTAATCTTCCCCCCTGTGTATATTCCACCACGCCGTTCCTACCTACCGTACTCTTTAGTCTCCTTAGAAGAATGGCCCCCGGTCTCGATTATTATAGGAGCCCAGAACCTACACAAGCACCTGTAGTTCAGGTTGTCGCTGTAGATCGCTCCTCGACCGATACTTCTTCTACTGATTCCGAACCTTCTGACCGTCGTCTCACTCCTTCCCCCGAACGCCCGCTCAAACCAGGTGTATATTATAATCCGCGTTTGGATCCCAAGAACTTCATCGACGGTCCCCTCTCATATGATCCTGCAACTCGTCTCCGACAAATGCTGGCTCGTCCCGGAATTGTTGTAGGTATCGGTTTATATATTGCACGATAAAAGCTTAAGACTGTGTTCATAGGTTGCTCCGGGCATCTGCGATGGCATTAGTGCTCGTTGTGCACTAGAAGCTGGCTTCGACTGCCTTTACCAGTCCGGTGCTGCAACCACTGCTTCTCGTCTCGGCATGCCAGATCTTGCCATCGCAACTCTTAACGATTTCGTTCAATCCGCACAAATGGTGTGCGGTCTCAGCCCCACGACACCTGTTATCGCCGATGCCGATACTGGGTATGCCTTTACGTCTTTACGCCGTTACTGTTTCTTACACGCATGAAAGTTTCGGTGGTACGGCCATGGTGGCTCGCACGGTGTATCAGTACGCGCGTGCAGGTGTTGCTGCTATGCACATTGAAGACCAGGTACAGACGAAGCGCTGTGGTCATCTAATGGGGAAGCAAGTCGTTTCGCGGGAAGAGTTTGTTACCCGCATCCGTGCAGCTGTCATTGCTCGGGACTCCATCCCAGGCGGCTCTAACTTTGTGGGTCCCACCCGTGGATCAGTAATTTCGATCCTCATCATTAATGCGGTTTCCTTTGTAGGTAATCATTGGCCGCACTGATTCCGCACAAGTACTTGGCATGGATGAGGCAATCACTCGACTGAAGCTTGCAGCGGATGCCGGCGCAGATGTTTGCTTTATTGAGGGTGTCAAGACTTCTCAACTCCTCACCAAGACAATCGAGGCCCTCAAGCCGAAGCCGGTACTCGTGAACGTCATTTCGGGCGGTCTTACGCCATCGTTTACGTGCAAAGAAGCAGAAGTACTTGGTGCAAAGATTATCAGTAGGTTTACTAACTGGTGAAGTAGCCGTGGACTCATTTTGCGTAGTTTTCTCTCTAGTTTCGTGCGTTGCCGCCGTCCACGGGATTCGGGCGGCCATGCAGTCCCTCAAGAAGACGGGCACGGACTTTACCTCTGCGCAGGGAATGGATCCAAAAGCGTTCTTTGAAGTCATGGGTGCGCATGATTTTTTCCTGTGCTGAATTTTCATTTTAATGGCTATGAAAGGTCTGAGCGATGTTGTCGAACTCGATGCTCGGGCGGGCGGAACGGCTTTTGAAGTCGTATAGAGTGTTCCCTCGTTGAACCTCCTTGTTTTATATCTCCTTGCTCTCTCCAGGCATGCTTGCACTCGTTTTCATTTTTTCTTTCATTTTTTCCATCTCGGCTTTAAGGGCGAGGTTGTATAAAAAGAACATGGCGTCTCGCACATCGGTAGCACTGGTATCTGAAGTAGAATGTTCCCTCTCTAATCGTCCTGCAATGCACAATATTTCTGATGCATCTTGGGCACCCCCCATATTTTGGAGAAGTCGCTACTGTAAACTTCATGTACGCCTCCGTCATCGGTCGTTGCGAGCTGTATGTAAACCCGCACAACGAAAGCTGTATGTATATCACGTAGATCTGCCTCCACTGAGTAGGGTCACTGACACCACTGTCTCGCTGACAACTTACAAGGCAGTTGGGCTCCCTCTGGCTATCTGTGTCGATGCGGAGTCCCCGCGGCCTCAAGTGCCGCATACATTAAACTTACCTTCATTTACGTGTATGAAGCACTTCGGCTGCGCTATACCCCAATTGGAAGTTTACGTTACGGGGACTCGATCCCTAATACGAGCCAATCGACAAGACGGGATCGCCAATCACGTTGACTTTTATTCGGGTGGCCAAATCGGCAACGAGTCCCGTCAGGGTCTCGAAATGGCGTCTTTGGTTTTGTTTGGCGCAGGCACGTGCAGAACCCTGGCTATGGTATCGGCAGCACGAGGTCCCTGAGGCCTGAACTTGGTCTGGACAAATCTCATTATTACCGATGTATTAGGAGGTCAAGGGACCGCTTTGTTAATCACCGTCATGATTTTTTTGGGTGCTTACATCCTCCGAATTATTTTTTCAGTGTGCAGTTGGCCTCTCCGTAGATTACGTCACGCATTGGAGGTGAAGGAGGGGTTGAGCTGGCGGCCCGTCGGCACCGTTCTCGGCCGCGTTTCTCGTCTTTGTGGAACTTGCAGTTGAACTGAAAGTCAGGACTCCCACTGTCAGCGCCCGTGTGGTGCTCATACTCTGCCTTATCTTTTGCGGTCCTTCTTCTCGACTCACGTTCTGCCAAGTGCGAAGTTCATTGTCCCCGCTCTAACGTCGCAACTCTCCTCCTTTGCACTCGGTATCTCACCGGAAGAGAAAGTGAAGTGACAAACGGACCATGGACTCAGGGTCGAATGGTCAAGTGAACGTTAGTGGAGTGGGATCACAGGCCAAGAGACTACTTACAGCACAAGAAGTGGCAGCACATAGCTCCCGCGAGAGTTGTTGGATTATCGTTCATGGTGTGTTGATGCGTGTCAACCCTCTCCCCAGGTTTCTCGAGTCGTTAGAGAGAATATGTATTGACTTGGTTGTAAATATGATACAGGGAACGTGTACGACGTGACAGACTTCCTCGATGGTATGCCTCTCACTTCCTCCAAATCAACCCACCTCAGTCATGCGGGACATGTGCAGATCACCCTGGTAATCCTGCCTTTGCTTCTTTGGAAAAGACAGCGTTCAAATTCATAATTGGTCGAAATAGGCGGGAGCAAGATTATCCTCAAATACGCAGGCAAAGATGCAACGTATGTCCCGCCTTGGGTATTGAAGCTGTTTACCAAGCCCCGAGTCGCTAAATCGAGAGCGTCACAAACAGGAAAGAATATGACCCTATACACCCTCCTGATGCGATCACGACCAATCTCAAACCGGATAAACAGTATGTGGCTTTACTTCTTGCTCCCCACTGTCTCCATCGACTGCGCTCTGGGCTTTCGATAACTCCGGTAATGACTGGGGCGACACTATAGCCTTGGACCTGTCGACCGCAGTACAATTAACCAAATTGCCTTGGATGATCCGATGAGCGAGGAAGAGCAGGCGAGACAGGCGCGGATCAATTCACGCCCGAGGCTTTCGGAGATCCTGAACTTGCATGATTTCGAGGTGCACTGGTCCTTCACATTCTCTTCTCTGTGATGAGTGTTCATTCATAATTGCGTGAAGGCGGTTGCGAGACAAGTGATGCCCGAGAAGGCGTGGGCATACTATTCGTCCGCGGCGGATGACGAGATTACGCACAGGGAAAACCACGCTGCGTTTCATAGGTATGTGTCATGCATCTTGCAAATTCCGCGTTGCCGCGCGCGGACGCGCTGGATCGTTTACAGTCGTCATATTTTAGAATATGGTTCCGTCCGCGCATCCTCAGAGACGTGACGAAGGTCGACTGGTCGACGAGGATATTAGGACATAAGTCAAGTATGCCAGTTTACATCGTAAGTTTTGGTTGCGCCAACGTGATACGGGCAGAAACCTTTGATAATGCAATAGACAGCTACGGCGTTGGGAAAGCTTGGCCATCCTGATGGCGAGCTCAACCTCACACGTGCCGCAGCCAAACACGGGCTTATTCAAATGGTATGTAAGGTATCCCTGCAGTTCGCCCGTACAGCTGGCAAATCGACCAATTCATAGATTCCGACATTGGCATCCTGTTCGTTTGACGAGATCGTCAATGCCGCCGATGCAGGTCAAGTCCTTATTTTTCCAGTTGTACGTAAACAGGGACCGTTCGATCACGAAGCGAATAGTGCAACACGCCGAGGGCCGTGGAATCAAAGCACTCTTTATCACGGTCGATGCGCCGCAACTTGGCCGACGCGAGAAAGATATGAGGCAGAAATTCGATGCAGAGGACCCTTCCGAGGTGAGTAAGGCGGGCCAAGGAAACGTGGACAGGTCGCAAGGTGCAGCGAGGGCCATCAGTGTGAGTCTTGTTTCGATATGGGTTACATGGATACGACCGCGTTAAGCATGACGAACTCATCGTGTTTTGCATACGGCGTAGTCATTCATCGACCCAGCATTGCAATGGGCAGACTTAGATTGGTTCAGGAGTATTACGAAGAGTAATAGGACAAGTTATCTTGGCTTCAACTGTCAGACTCACCTTCCATCTCTGTAGTGCCCCTGATTCTGAAAGGCGTGCAAAGTTGGGAGGCAGGCGTAGCTCAGGTCTTGCACGTTGTTCCGAAACTGACTGATCCCACCAGGATGCTCTCGAAGCTTACGATCGCGGTCTCGCTGGGGTTGTCCTCTCCAACCATGGCGGACGCCAGCTGGATTTTGCCCGCTCAGGTGTAGAGGTTCTTGTCGAAGTCGTTTCAAAGCTAAAGGAGAAACGCGGGCTCAACTTCCCGAATGAGAAGTTCCAGCTGTTTGTGGATGGTGGCGTGCGACGCGCTACCGATGTGATCAAAGCGGTCGCGCTCGGGGCTACTGCTGGTGAGCTACAACAGAGACGGAGCGGACATCTATGCATTCTCACGTGATTCGTTAGTTGGAATTGGCAGACCCTTCCTGTATGCTTATTCCTCATACGGACCAGACGGCATCGATAAGGCTTTGCAGATACTACATGTGGGTGTTGCGCTATACCTAACGAGTACTGTGGAATGCAATGACTCACTTTCTTTGTACAATGTATGTCATATACAGGAAGAATTCGAGATGAACATGCGTCTCCTCGGAGCGCGCACAATTGCAGAGATCGTACCGGAGATGGTGGACGCATCCAACATCCACACACATGTGGTCCCCGTTCCAATGGATAACCTATATGAGGGCAACTGTATGTCTAGCTATCCGTTCAGGTCCCGCTGGTTCCATTCTACACTCCCATGTGGCGCACACTCATGTGGCCCTCCTTATCCCAATCCTTCACATTGCATTCTTCTTGATGAAAATAGCGGACTAATCCTAACTCACGCATCCTAGATGAAAGACTTCCTTGGAGCCCGTCTCAAAGAGGTTAAGCCCAAGCTGTAGTGTGCCCTTACCTTGTCGCCGTCATGGCAAAAAGCTTGACGTAGTTGTATGTTACCCTCCAATATGCGCTGACTAGTCACGGAACCCAATTGGAGCACGTGTCATGCTGTGCAATCTCAACGATATATCTATATACGTGCTGTTCTTTCAGATTCCTGCAACATATATCATCCTTTCCAGACTCGCTTGTTGGATTGGATTCATGTGGCGTGCAAGAAGGAATGATGCGTGTAGTCGGACGCTGGACGGCAACCCTAGTTCATGTCTATCAGGAGGAGCACCATTCACAAGTGATCCGCGGCGATTTGAGGAGCTACTTGTTGGAGAGGACCTCCGTCTTATCAGCCGGATCAGCATTAGGGTCACCACCGAGAAGTTGGGGGTGAATGCTTATGGACGTACATTACTGCTTGTGATTGCACAAGGCAATCAATAACAATGAGCTCGTGGGATGTGGTAGGTATAGTTTTCTTTTGATAAACTAGAGCAAAGCTGCAGCATCCGACCCGATCAGTGGTTTCAAGTGGGCATGAGAACATCCAACTAGTGAAGTGTAAACGCAGCATGTCGTCGAGACAAAGGAAATCCTAAATGGGATTTACTCGTAGATAAGACGACTATTACGATCCATAAAGTAAAGTGCATATTGCTCCATCAACTACTCGCCCAATCTATGCTTGCGGTTAGAGACGACGTTACGGAAGTACCTCCCTGCACATTCCACACCTGAAATACGACGGACCCAAACGGGATCCATCCATGTATCATGACGGGTGATGATCACCACCATCACTTAATACTTTTCCCTACATACATGGATTCATTTCTTGATCGGAACCGGTGGTACTTGCTCGTCCATCAGTAGCGTTGTGCACGACCAGAATGTCATCTTTTTTCTGATCGCCGCCAGGTGAGCAGAGGAGGTTTGGCAACGACCAGACAGGAGGACATGTAGATAACAACTGTTTCGTGCTAGAAAAAGAAAGGTATAGAAACTTGGGCGTACCTTACTCACAATTGGCTTGCTTCTGGAAGGTCTGCCCGCCACAGTGGCTCGCGGCATATCGTGTCATCTTTCGGCCCATCAGAAACGGTACATGTGATGCCTTGCAGTGCTAGCCGATGCTTGCAACTTGTCCGGCTCACATGCTAAAGCTGAAAGAGCCCTCATATTACAAGGTTTATTCGGCGGGGAACATACCAACTAGTAATGTGCATCCAGGACCAAGTACTTACGAACGAATCTCGAAGGGGTACCACGCCATAGTTCGCGCCGGAAACCCGAGCATGTCCCGGTCGTCGCGAGATTTGAATTGTTTAGAAATCATGACCTGGAAGGGGCGCCTTGCAGCAACGAGTTTGGGCTGTCTGCCTAAGTATGCCCTACTGATAACACGACAACCGCTGACCTTGTTGCTGCGTCTTAGCCACTGGCGGTCGTTCCAGCACATGGGGGTACGATCACTCGTGCACTCGTCGTGCGAAGGATATGGAACAAGGTTTGGCCTCGACACAAGCGGTTGCTCGATGGTCTTTCCCAGGAACCACTGATGCCCGAGAGAGTGTCAGACATCATTGGATCTCCAACCGATCTCCTTCGCTAGCGAGTAATGTGCTTGATACGAGATCAAATGCACTCGGTCGTTGAGGTATGAACCACGAGGCTCTTGCACGTGCATGATGGATCGATGGCCGAGAAGTCATGGTGGAAGGCTGTAGGGGCATAATGCGCTAATTTACTTCAAGTTGCCAGTGCGCCAGCTCCGCCGACGCGATATCTACCGACCAGGAGCAGCAGCCTCCTCTGTGCCGTTAGGTGGTTCAGTGTGGAAACTGACTTAGCTAGCCGATGTTTAGTGGCGGCGGATTGCTTACTTAAGCCTTCGGCTCCTGAGGTCGCTATTCTCTGATAAGTCATTGACGTTTTCCTTGATTCGTAAAACATGATATCTCCAATAAGGAGAGTGTCAATATCTTCGCGGGTCAAGGTCCAATTCATGGTTTTCGGTAAAAGGATTAGCTTCTGTACGTCATGGTTCACGATCTGGCCCCATCTCAGGGTAAACAGCCAACGTTGTGTGAGAGGGAATGTCCACTACATATCGACTGATGACTTCAAGTGCTCCTCATTGAGACGCAACATAACACAAAAACGGAGGACATACGAATAGACACTGAAGATACTGGCCCCGTCCCAAAGATTTCTCTCACACGGACTCCGCATAAAATGGGCATCATAGAAGTTCTTGGTGCACGTTGAAATATCTGCAAAGCCGTTCAAGACTTGAAAAGACAAGATGTAGGATATCTTACCGGACGACTTTACCAACCGCTTCACAAGATCCTGCTCCGCCTTCCCCCCACCGGACGACCCACCGACCTATCACATCATTATTTGCGTTGAGGGTTTCTGCCACTGTTTCCACCTCCCCTGGTGCACCCGCTTTAGCTGCTGTCGCGGGTTCCTCGCTAGGGGACGGCAATTGCACCTGGTGTGCGAGCTCCCATTTCGCAAATGGTCGTTTCGTGTCAACTAGGAAGTCGGCGTCGTACACACGGGTGGTGAGCTTCCTCAATGTCAACGTGAGCGTAGTCATTTCGATGCCTTCGATACCACCGTTTTCGGCAGGAGTTAGCCTGCGGAGGTCGACGACGTATGGTGCACCCGACCAGCCCACTAAAGCGGTTGAGGCGCCACTCGTAGTTAGAGCGGTGGCGGCTAGGACGATGCGTGCTGACATGGGAAGTGAGGACTCGACGATGAATATGAAGGGTGCCATAACGCATGACAGTGCCAGAGAAGATAGTGAGAAGATCTTGAGACGACGAAATGTCTGGGTCAAGGGCCCATGATAAGATACTGGCTTGTTACTTCGAGAGTCCAAAAAGCCGCTTTCTGGGGTAGATTCCTGGTGATGTGCAGGTGAGGAAGTGGATAACCTTCGGAATAACGACGGTTGCAGTGTCGTGCGTGGTATTCGTTCTGTGAGGGGTTGTTGTGGTATCCTGCCTGAAAACTGCCTGACGCCAATGCAACGGGGGGTTGACACGACCCTTCGCAACAGTGACTGGCGACATGCATCTCGATTTGAGGCCAGTGTGGTCAGTATCGGGGACGTGACCATGGTGGGCGTAACGGTGCTGCCTTGTCGTGGCTTCTAGCCGCCACAGTCGGTTTCCTTGACGCGAGATATCTCACCCGCCGCCACTATGGACACGCCAATTTACTATTCCAAAACAGAATTCATCGAGACGGTAAGGAGTCGTTCATACACATGGATGTTACAGGATGCATATATACACAAAGGATACAGGCAACAAAGTCTCTCGCCGAGCTACCATAGCAGGTCCGCAGAACATCATTCTCGGAGGCAAGACCATCATTTCGAGCGGTGCAATCATTCGAGGAGACCTCAGAAGGACAGGCCCAGGACATGCGGTGGTTATATCGTTGGGAAGGTACTGTCTGGTTGGGGAAGGGTGCGTCATGAGGTGTGCTTGTCTATCAATTCTTCGAGGCTGCCGACTTACTGAAGATACTTCGAGACCACCGTATAAGACGTATCGCGGCAATTTCAACTATTATCCTATGAAGATCGGGGACCACGTTCATATTGGAGCGAATACCGTTGTTGAGGCCGCCACCATAGGCAATCATGTTGTCATTGGAAAGAATTGTATTATTGTTAGTGAAGCCTGCTTTCTCCGTCACCGTCGCAGAATTCACTAGCCACCAGGGGAAATTCACCATAATCAAAGATTGCGCTCAAGTTGCAGACAACACTGTTATACCACCAAATACCGTTGTTCCCGCTCTCGCCCTCTTTTCTGGGTCCCCAGGTTTGTGACTATGATTTGCTCTCTTGCTCTCTGCTTAGAATTTGACAGGGCGTTTCGTTGAAGATCTCCCAGAGTCAACACAAGAGTTAGTTGAGTCACAGACTAAGCACTATTACACTCGCTTCCAACCGTTGGATCGATGAGAAGTTGTGGATTTATTGTTGTGAGGTCTCTAGTCTTCGAAATGAAATAAAACACATGATCCTTTGGAAACTTGCTAGAAGCTTCTGGTTATGTACAAGGTCACAATAACTACTGGTACTTGGTTCTCAAAACTCCCTGTCCACTGATGTTCTCCAATGTGCCTCCCACTCCTGGTGATTATGTAGCAGGTGAGTTTTACTTATAAATTCTGTTTGCAACAAAACAATCTCTATTCTCCCAGTAACTACAGCCTCCACCAACACTACTTGCACACCTGATGGGTGTGAACAAGAATCAATGGGTGAGCCTTAGAGTATGTTGCTTGGACTATTTGTGTTCCACTCACCAATTTGCATTAAAAAAAGAAAAAAGGAACAAGCACCTGACCTTAAAGTACTTGAATATCCAGAAGGGAGTCTCACATCAAAGCAAGGCAGATTTAGTATGCCCCAAAGAAAAACTTTGTAGGCTAAGTATGATGTAGAACTTGGATGGCATTTTAACCCCTCATTTCAGGCACTGCAAAAAATAACATAAATATGAAGAAGGTTGGAGGATTGATGTCCTGGTGAGGTTCCTGTTTGCACATTGCCATGCACTTGTGAATATAAAGGTGGGTGTAGCTTTTGTGCGAAGGTTGTTATTGATGCTGATTCACCTGGGATAGTAACAAAGTCCAAGTCCTCTATCACTTAGGGATACTGGAGGGCCAACACAAGGTATATTTCTAACAGTACTCACACATGTGCCAGTGCCCTTTGCTATGATGTTAATCAGTTCAAGCCACTGAGGCCACTGCTGCTCCACAAGTGTTAATGCTTCATCAGCTGTTGGGATCAATCAATGCCTTCCATCTGTTATTCTGCATGGTGCAACCAGGGTTATTGGATGATGACAAATTCATGAACTTCCTTGCTCTACCACCCATTTTGAAGAAAAAAATTGTTGAGGTAGCTTTGCAAGGCACAGCTTCTGATGATGAGATTCAGGCAGTCTTGGTTGCAGTTCAAAGGCAATAATGTGGTGCACTGTATTCTGGGCTAAGGAAATACGAATATTTTATCTGTCTGATTCATCTGACCTGTAGCATTCCCGTCACCTATCCGAGCCCCAAACCTTGTATCAATCACCTGCACTGGTACACCTTCATCAACCGAAACGCTCAACCCATCGTCATTAGCTGACAGTGCCGTTTGATAGTCCATCACCCGCACACGTGGTACCCTTACCATCCCACACTCAACTGGAATTAGATTCCAAGTTACCTTTTCCTCTGCACCAGGCAATATGGTTGGCAGGCGCCCACCATGCAGCCCAGCAACAACAAATGATTCCACCGTACTTTGGTCCAGTGCAACTGTTACAATGGCAGATCTAGTAGTGTTGTGGTTTCGAATGACGAGGTGCATTTGGATTGGAACATGGAGTTTTGCCGTTGACGGGATAGTCATGAACCCAACAAGACCGTCTTTTGGTGGAAGTAGCAAGGGGAGGGACTGACGTGTGGTCGAGGAAGGACCACGTTCACCTGGCGAAATAATCCTGGATAGAAGGAACTTGCTCAGGTTGTCATCGCAGATGGATCCAGGAAACCAACCTCCGCCAGGTCACAATATATTTGCCAGGACCGGGGACTGCATCCCCTTCGACGAAGTCATATTCTCTGGAGGCGAAGGGACACACAGCATATGTTACAGAACTGGTCTCCAGTTAGGTATTCTGGGTATCTTCTAAGCCTACGAGACTAGGATGAATGTGATTGTCCTCACCGGTAGGAAACTTGTCACCATCAATCTCATTAGAACTCTGAGTAACTTTCGCTCGGTTGCTCTCCTACACCAACACAGTCAGTGACTTATTGCAAAGAAGATGGAGTTGTGACCTGTCGTTTCAATTCCAAGCCCTCTATCTCCAGCGAGCACGGTGCCACACATTCGAACTTGGTCATAATAATGACCTCTCCACCATTCCACGACTCTCCAACGAGTGTCGAGAGCTCAGAAAGTGGTCGTGGGGGGCGCAGGGATATCTGATATTCTACGTCGTGTGTAACTGAGAATGGGGCAGTCGCGGGAATGACAAGTGTCTGAAGAAATTCATTCGTATCGCTCGCCGCGAGACTTGAAATACTACTCGACATAGACAAGTCAGTTGGTCTGTGTACCGTGGGGAGAGTGGATCCTGCTGCGTTCGATTGGACCGATACGTCAATCGTTCGGTTTGCTGCAGCTCCGCTCGCAACCAGGATAAACGTCTTTCCAACGGAAGCACCAGGGGCGATGACTGCCATATTCGGCGCCTTTGATCAGCCCCGACGACCTTTGACCGTTGTGTACAATGAATTGAACTACAAAAGGTATCAGTGTAGGTCGCACATCAACGCGCGTAAGTAGATATCAAACCTGCTTCATCAACTTCCGCGGGTTGCAGAAGTATATCCACGACAACATCTAGATGACGATCATCCCTATTCACAATCTCGACAGTAATTGGGAACTCTTCGTCGAGCAAGGCTTGCTGTTGATGGGAAAATGAGACGCTGAGCCGATGCGGACGATGTCGGAAACTGTTCGAGAACCAATGAGATGGGACATTCCCCGCGCTGCGAATAGGACATACACAACATTACTCCGATCGTCTCTTCTGACAGGAATGAATTGCACTGGATTTAGTGAGCTCAACCAATAAGGCGGAATGATAGTCCCCTCTCTCGTGGTGCAGACGTCATGGTTGATTTTGATAGTCCATCCACTTTCCTTCAATGTGACGACAAGGCTGGAAACCTAGGACAGTTCAGTAGACTCTTCACTTCATGTGTTCGGTTGCACGCACACTAAGGGTTATAGGAGTTGCAGAGAGTATGGTTCCAGATACAATCACCCTATCTGACGCTCGCCACCTGAGATTAGCAGCAACCTCAAGTGGCTGTCCATCTGCGTTCGCCAGATGCACTTGGCTCACGCATATCATGCGTACTGGTTCCAAGGGTTCCGAAGCAGAGTGACGAAGAGTAATAGGCTTGTAGTCGTCTGAAAACATTATCGTGATGGAATCCACTGGTAAGTTAGAAATATCATTGTTTGCCGGTGCACCTGAGAGTAAACTGGAATGACGCTTCTTCGCCAACGCAAACCTCGGGTTTCCAGAAGATTAGTAACGTGTCCCCTTAATCAGAACCGACATGAGCAGGATGAGGTGTAGTTGGAGAGCGTGATAAAAGGGGTGCCTTACAGATAGGCTCGCATTCAATGAGGTCGACTGTAAGTACGTCATCAGCAGACGACGGGACCGAGCTCTAAGAAAGACGCTGAGTCGAGTGCACGATGAAGAAAACGATAACTAACCCTTAGAATCGTCAATAAATCTTCCTGCAAACTTCCCGGTTCGTCGACATCACCTGTCCGAGGTTATCAGTAGTGAGAATACCTGGCCAAAAGGTGGCACTTGCCACAAGCGATCATTTCTACTAGAAGCTTCACACTGAGTTCCACATCCCCCAACTTCTGCGTACATGCATACCATGTGGTATAAAGAGGACGTAACAGGGTGTTCCACTTCTCCCGACGATATGTCTTTGTTATGCGCTCAAAAAACCTTTGCAAAGATCGTCAGTATCGGATAACAAATATTCCAACCGGGCGTACCGAACAGCCATCCCGAACTTGCCCGATTCATAGTAAGTGAGGGCGATCCGATAGGCAATCCAAAGTGTCAGACGGCCTTGACTAGCCGTGGAACTGTGTTGTTTGAATAGTTCATACGCTTTTGTGTAGAGCTAGGTGGCAAGGTAGGTGACTGCCAAGTGTTAGTGACACGACGCGTAAATACCTCGAGTGCCAATGCCAAGTGGTCGACTTTCTTCTCGTTCGCATATCCAGGTGCAGTGGTCAGTCCCTGAAACACACCAGACGGGATTTTGACATCACTGAGCTTTCAGAGCCAGCGATATGGACACACCTCATTAGCTAAAAACCTTTCTCTCCGAGCTTCCGTGCACCGTGCAGCCATGTAATAATAATGCCCAGGATGCTGCAGTGCATGATTTGGATTCAACCCCATCATCCGGCCAGCATCCAATTCGAGTGGTGCCCCTCCGGGACCTAAAGCGCCTGGTGCACTACCAGGGGTTCTAGTACCCAGGATATGAATTGGGAAAGTAAGAGTAGAACGGGCGCCTTGTTCCAGAAGCTCAGCTAACACTCGGTACCTAATTAGCGGGGGTGAGTAACAATAAGCAAGCTTGTAAAGAGGAAGGATCTTACTGCCGTGCCATCCAACTCCAGTATTCAAAGGTTTCTTCGCCGATGCCCCATCCGCGAGAGAAATCAGCGAAACGCCGCATATGGGAGTTACAATGTGACAATGCAAGTGCGTACTCGTGGTTGTACAGGTAAAACTTCGTGATCTAAAACCACATTGAGGACGGGAGAAGCATTCATCAAAGGATCATAGTACCTTGACGTTGATGGTATCGGCAAGTACCTTTGCTTCAGCCCACCGCTTTGTTCGAGGCGGTAATATAGCTGTTGAGCCAAACATAATCATGAGGGTCGTATACGCATCTTGGTAATGTCTGAAGACGTCATCGAAAAACCCGCCAAATAAGAAGGAACGTACTTTAATGCCACTTCGTCCTCTCCCCTAAACTCAGCGAAGGCCGCCATCTTATACTCATAACGCACCGTCCACCCTTCTGGGCGAAGCGGGCGAGGAGCAATTGCCCCTACAGACGTAGCAGGCGGCGGATTATACGAAGATACGGTTTGCGAGTGCCTGTTGCGCTTCCTGCGGACACGTTTGGAATGGGAGGTATAGTACTCTATTGCCGACTCGTATAGAGCATCTTGCAAACTGCACCATTCAGGCAGAAGCTAAGAACCATACCGCTGGAAACATTACCTGGACACGAAATCGTTCAATTCGGATGGACTAACGGGACTGAGGACGAAAAGAGCAGCGCGAGAATCTAGACTGCTCTGCCTTCTAATAAATGACAAGCGGCCATCTAATGATGGATCGTCTGTAAGGTCATGTATCAAGAAGACAGTTCAAGGACTTCTTTCGGTTCATTACCTAGCATCCTTCGGCTGGCGATTAGGACAACAGTTAGTTTGATCCCTCTCTCACCGGTGCTCTTCTTCCGTTGCGCAATTTCTGCGCTGAGGTCTATATCTCGCCTCCGTTCTTCCTCTGCTCTTTCACGCTCGAGATCTGAATCAGGTTGACCGAGGGGTGAGCGTGCTGTGGTATGCGGTACTTCATACATCCTCAGGAATAGAACAAACACGCTGGGCAAATACGTCATGTGCTTCTTTATCCATATTGGAGCGATCAGGCCGTCGGGAAATACCGGCGAAGAGGGAGTTAGTGGAGACAAGGGAGAGTGTGCATTAGCGTATGATGGATCGTCAGGAGGGACAGATTTTCGAGGAGGAAACCCCACGAATTTGTCAACTAGAACGACTTGGAAAATTTTGGTTCTTTCGGGAGACCAGACGGTAGACTTGGACTGAGAGAGAAGTACCTCACGAAGACGGGAAATAAGTGATGTAAACGGATCTTGTACCTTTGGGGGTGGAGTCGGGGGTGAGGAAGGATCCTTATCTGCTGGGGACGGCGCGACAAGGACAGCGGCAGAGGTAGGTGGTAAGTCGAGACCAGAAACAAACATAACGGGGGCCAGCTGCATCAGCATCTCCGCAGGATATGAATTCATGTTGCACAATAACGGACGCGCCGTGAGAACAACCCGCGGTTATCAGTGTTGGGTGCCAAAAAGCACTATATGAGGTAGCGTGTAACTGTTGTATCGAAACGTTAGCATCGTTACTCACAGGCCAGATAATGGACACTTGTAGCGAAAAGCCGTCGAAAGTCGTTCGCGTAGTTGTGCTAATACTAGGGTCTGTGTTGCGCTTCAGTGTTTGTACATGTTTGCTGCTAGCCTCGAAAATCGAGTTACTGCTAATCCGACTTGTTTCGTGTATAGTGGACGACACCTCAGACGGCCTCAACTTGATGAGAGCCAGATGTCCGATACCAATCTTAGGAGTAAACTGTACCGTGTGAGAAACTCTGAATCTTTGTCCTCACGACCGTTAAAGTCTCGATCCTGGTTTATTTTAACCTACTATCCCCTCCGTAAGTTTCTTGTGGCTGTCCTATAACTTACCTGGACAGACATGGCAGTTGCTTGCCTTCTACCGACTTTCCAAAGACTTGGAAGCACCATCAACCCAAACGTGGACTCGAAACCGATGTCCAACCCATGGTTCTCCAGTTTCTGGAACGCTATGCACGCACGCCAAGCCGTAACTGGTATTCTAGATTTATTCAATGACGATGCTTTCTGGAACGACCCGCTCGTTCTTTATCCGGGGTTTCCACACGAACGAACGAAGGGATGCTTCAGAATTTTCTTGCTGATTAATTGCTAAAACTCGATGCCTGGCTTCGTGACGACCTCTCCAAAGTGTCATACCATTGGATTCACGCACTCGATATAACCGCTGGATACACCTCAGTAATATTTCCCGTATAGAATGTAACGTGGCGTTACGCGGAAGGCCAATGTGGTGTACATGAATTCAGGGGACCGCAGGGGCTTCAATAGACCACCTGAGAGATTATTCTACCATACCATGGAAGGTGAGACAAAATAGAAGAAGGGGTTTAGGCGTGTTTCTCGACGACGATCCATGTAAATCCCAGAATTTCATTCATTTAACTTTTCCCCGTCGTGGAGTGCGGCGAGGCTTGCGGACACTATGGGACGGCGTTGCCATCAGGGGGAACAGGCATGCTCATCATTTGATGGGGGATGGGGTAGTGATGTCACCAGCTTTATGCACATTGCAGGAGATCGCGTCAAATGAATGAGGCATGTGTTTGTTCCTGTGAACACCCGCTGACCTTGCTTTACAAGCAAGATGATAGACAAGCCAGCATATTTACAAAGCCCACAAACATTCCCGTACTCCATCCTGAAAGTCCAAGCCGGTCCGCAAGGACGGTGTTGCTGCGTTCCTGCCACTATTTTTGGGACCTCACATCTCTGTAGACAGTGTTAAATAATGTTTGTACATATACTGTTTCATGGACTAGTAGTGATGTGGCGTCCACTGGCACCGGAGGGCTTTTGGTATGAAGCAATGCTCCCGTTGTTGACGATTGCTGTCAATACGAACAAGGTGGGGTACATACCGAGTGGTTGACGTCAGATCACACATGGTTGATGAGTAGTTGGGTTTGCCGGGATCGGCAATAGTCACCGGGCGCAGATCCAGAACGCGGTTCCAGCGACTCGTCGCCCACGGGCGTACCCCGCCAGCCACCTTCGTCGACACTGACGTCATGCACTCCAAAACGCCGTCCGTATATATTCACGGTCAAGAAAAGGTTTGGCCTTCAGCAGACAGCTACCATCTCCACCACCACACTCACAGACTGGTTGCGAAGATCAATATGGCTGGAGATTGTACTTGTCAAGCAAACTGCGGGTAGGTCCATAACCACTTACTGGAACCAACTTTTGAGGATCTGATCATCACTATCCGTTGTTCAAGTGCATGTGGGCCGACGGGAACTGGATGCGCTTGTCCCAAGAATAAGTGTGACTGTTCGAACTGCGTTAACAAGGCACACACACAAAAGGTACGCTTAACGGGTTGGTTGTCTCGCTCAGCTGACCGCTGTTCGTTCACGTAGTGTGAGTGCGGAGGGTCCGCTACTTACTGCGTATGCACGCGGGAGGGAAAAGTATGTGAATGTAAGTGAGGTGGGAAAGGTGATGATGCTGCATTGCTAAGCACCGGGGTAAAACATGGAGTACCCCTGTACCACGTTCCAAATCTCCAGGTGTTAGAGTACATGTCCTGCACCTAACAAATCATTGTACATACTCGACAGTTCAATACTCTTACACTTTCCCCCGGGCTTATAACCCTTAGACTGTGCCGACATCTTTAAGGAATAGGCCGACCAGCTTTGACGGCTTTAGCGGCTTCGCTATGCGCATCTCCACGAAGATACCGGTCATATATCACTTTAGCCTTGTCCCGCTCCTAAACAACGCCGTGAGTTCTGTATATGAACATTTCGATCCATGGCGACTTACACTCATAGTTCTGCACACGGAATCGCGCGTTTCAATAGCCTTCGCATACTTCACCCAACCTTCTCCTACGTCTTCCCTCTTGAAGCCCCTATGCTCTGCCGAAACGTAGTCCCGCAAGATCCATGGCGCAATAACGACGTCCACAAGGGTGAATTGATCTCCAGCAAAGTAGAGTCCCTTGATCTCGTTCTGCAGCTTTCTGAGTGCCTCATAAAGCTCATTTCGAGCTGTTTCCAACTTCTCCTGTTCGTTTGGCTGTGTCATCGTCAGCCGCATCAACGCAGGAACGACTGCCTTGGCAATATGATCTATCCATATGCGCTGGTGTGCGCGATCAGATGGGTCTGAGGGAAGTAGGTTTGGTTTGTAAGATGGGTAGGCGTCTTCGAGAAATTCGAGTAAGACGAGTGATTCGTAGATGGCTTTACCCCTGTACTCGACAGCGGGGACAAGTCCTCTTGGGTTTATCTGAAGGAAGTATTCTTCCTTTTTGTACGGATTCACCTCCTTGTACTGGTAGGGAATTCCCTTCTCCTCGAGGGCGATCCATAAGCGATGGTTGAACGGACAGAACTGATAAGGGTCGTACAAACGGTGATCAGTTCGTGGCCACTGCAGATCTTGAGGGGGTGCGCCTTACCCATGCTGAATAAAAGGTCAAGTCTTGAGGGTTTTGATGCTGAGCGACTGTCTCTGCAGCTCTGCCAGTAGCAACTGTGTGAAGGGTCGCATCCGGGGGTGCCATGGTAATGAGAAAGGACGAAGTAGTTCTGGGGGGACTTGGGGAGGACCCCCCCAGTTTTATACAACGTGGGTACGATGATGTAAGGGGCACGTCGAGTTTGTCATCCTTTGTCAGCGCCTGACAGTCCACCACCGAAGCTGATAAATCCGGCCTTAGATTGAAACCCAGTAGATTCGTCGGATTCACAAGTTGTGATGAATGCCCCCCTTTGAACAATGCGTTGCAATTAGCTATCTTTAAAATGTCTTCTCTAGCTGTCCATGTATGTGTACCAAATCTACATTTATGATATAATGAGTTAGAGTGCAGTGAGGAGGGCGCCAATAATGAGAACAGCGCCAAGCAAGTGCACGGGCTTCGCAGCCGACCCATGTCGTACCATTGCCGCATTTGCTTCCTATACGGATGGGTCAACGATGGTGCCCGAACTCTGAGAATTAGACGCACGAGTTGCTGAGCACTGGACGCTGCTGGGCATCCATTTGTACATGCAAGGTTAAGGTTGCTGGAAAGGACAGATGCAGTGCCAGGATCTATGGGTTCAGGAGCAGGTATGGGAGAGGAAGCGGCTGCAAGTATCGCGACCAATCTCCTTTAGGTGCATTACACCTAAAAGCTGAGCATTTACTCACCTAGTACGGAGAACACCAGAAGGGTCGCCCATAAGGATATAATAGCACGCGAAACTGTGTGAGTCTGCATTTTGGAGTTACACGAATACGAAAACACGCGCAGAGGCGGAGGCTTGACAGTCGACGAGAGAATGAGCGAACGGTGGCGCAACTTGATCAACAAGCTATGAAATGCCTTTGGGAGAACGTCGAGAGCGGATAATTCTCCATCCCAATACACAACTGCATCGTCTTATAGGCGTCGGTTTGGCGTCGAAGAAGATTCGAGTCAGTACCTTGTTCATCCTGGATTAGATGTCGCTTTCATCCTAAAAAGGAAAACCTTATACTTGATAGGTCTCCCTTTTGGGGATTAGTCTGGTTAGAGACTAATATGTACGTTTTCAAGAGTCTCAGCAAGAGTCTGCAAAACTCCTTCCCATCGCCATGGCACCCACAAATGCCATTCACCCGGTTGCCACTGGCAGAGCTGCAGAGACAGTCGCTCAGCATCAGGACCCTCAAGACTTGACCTTTTACTCGGGATGGGTAAGGCACTCCGCCACAGTCTGGCGTGGTTGTGAACTGATCATCTTTTTTTGCGGTCCCACCTTAGTTCTCCCCCTTCAACCAGCGCGTATGGATTGCCCTCGAGGAGAAGGGGATTCCATACCAGTACAAGGAAGTGGACCCATACAAGAAGGAAGAACACTTCCTTCGGATAAACCCTAAAGGACTTGTCCCTGCAGTCGAGTACAGGGGTAAAGCCATCTATGAATCAGTCGTCTTGCTCGAATTTCTTGAAGACGCCTACCCATCCTACAAACCAAATATTCTTCCCTCCGACCCTTACGAACGTGCACGACAGCGCATATGGATAGATCATATCTCTAAGGCAGTCATTCCCGCGTCGATCCGCCTGACGATGACACAGCCAAACGAACAGGAGAAGCTGAACACAGCGCGAAATGAGTTTTACGAGGCACTCAGAAAGCTCCAGAACGAGATCAAGGGACCTTACTTTGCCGGAGAGCAATTCACCCTTGTGGACGTCGCTATTGCGCCGTGGGTTTCGCGGGACTACGTTTCGGCAGAGCATAGGGGTTTTAGAAGGGAGGATGTAGGTGATGGTTGGGTCAAGTATGCGAAGGCTATCGAAACGCGTGATTCTGTATTGAGAACCACGAGTGTAAGTCACTAAGGATTAAGAATATTCAAGCTACCGAACTCACGACTTTGCGTAGGAACGGGACAAGGTTCAAGTCATGTATGACAAGTATCTTCGTGGAGAAGCACAAAGCGAAGCCGCTAAAGCCATCAGAGCTGGTCGTCCTATTCCTTAAGGATGTGAGCGCGGTGTGTGAGATATAAGCCTCGGGGGACGTGTAAGAGTAGTCAACTGCCGAGTGTGTACGATGAATCGTTAGGTGCAGGACACGTGCGCTTACCCCTGGAGATTCATAACTTGGGGTTGTAGCCGAGATGCACTTCGTCTGGGTAATGTCGATCTCCGTGGACATGCAAACTTAGTACGAGAAATTTCGGAATAAACTGACTTAGTATCTGTGACAAGCGTCAGCATAGCACTCGGACCACAGCGGTTCCATACCATTGAACGATCCATTGGGGTAGGGGTAGGTCTTCTATCGGCTTGAGAATAATGATATATTTAGGGGGTTCCTTGAGGTGCCCGAGGGTTATCTGCCAACTGGCGACTTCGAATGACCCATGACAGTGACCGGAGATCCTAATACCTTTGTCGGTGATGGGAGAGCACTTGATAACCACTAATTTTCGTGTTGGGCTCACCGTTCACTGCGTAGTATCCATGTCAAGCCCGTCACTGCAGAGCCGGATGATTAATACTCACCCAAAGAACATCTCAGGCCTGGTGTCATCGAAGGGGTTGTATCTATTGTTACGATAGGCGGAAAACATAAAACGATGGCGCACTAGGGGGTGCGATGTGAGAGTAATCCCGTGGACCTACAGGCAGACGGGAGTGACAAATAGGAGGCAGTGTTAGAACTTCGATGAGCAATACTTTGCGTGTCTGGTGTACTGTGCAAGTTCGCGGACGTAATGCAATATGTAGAAGCAAAACCAAGCACATCGAGAAACGTGTCGGAGACGCGTAAAAAGGCGATTTACTCCTTCTCAGAGCCTTGTGTGAACTCCGTAGAGGACTACACTACACTTCTCGTACACCTTTTGGAAAAGACCTAGCGCAGCTTGTTCAACTGAGTCTCGCCGATCTTCTCCTTTCTGCTTGGCAGTGATAGAGGCGTCGTCAGTAAGGCATACCTTTCGAGGCCAATTCACCAACGAGTTTCGACACCTTCAAGAGGCATTCCAATCCAATCTCCGTTGGGTACAATAGGTTTGTCACATAAATTGTTGCAGGATGAAAATGCTAGGAATTGTCGAGGTGCCGGTTATCACGATGAGTGTTGTTGAGTTATACCCTATGCGAAGTTAGTCTTCAACTTGGTTGTCGTCGATGCCGACAAATGCCCAAAGCCTCCTTACTATTAGATACTACTTTCATCCTAAAATGGAAGACCTTATGCCTTTGAAGGCGCTTAATGACCAATTGAAGACCAACTTCACACACCGAGGTATCACTCGACTAACGGCAGTCATTGTGAAAATCAAACACCTCGAGAATTCCTACAGAATACAATAATACATGTGACAAATCTGTTGTACTGGAAGCCGCAAGAGAGGGTACGAGGGCACTCCATGTTTTACGCCGGTGCTTAACAATGTGGTATCGCCTTCCCCACCTCACTTACATTCACATACTTTTCCCTCCCGCGTGCATACGCAGTCCGTAGCAGACCCTCCGCACTCACACTACGTGTATGAACACGAATGGTCAGCTAACCGAGACAACCAAGCCGTAAAGTGTACCTTTTGTGCGTGCGCCTCGTTGACGCAGTTCGAACACTTGCACCTATTCTCGGGACAAGTGCATCCAGTTCCTGTGGGCCCACATGCACTTGAACAACGGATCGTAAGGATCAGGTCCTCAAAAGTTGATTCCAGTAAGTGGTTATGGACCTACCCGCAGTTTTCTTGACAAGTACAGTCTTCGGCCATATTGATCTTCGCAACCAGTCTGTGATAGTGTGGTGGAGATGGTAGCCGTCTGCTGAAGGCCAAACATTCTCTTGACCGTGAATATATACGGACGGTGTTCTGGAGTACATGACGTCAGTGTCGACGAAGGTAGCTGGCGGGGTACGCCCATGGTGTTCCTCAGGGGCGACGAGTCTCTGGCACCGCGTTCTGGATCTGTGCCTGGTGTCCAATGCCAATACCGGCAAACCCAATTACTCATCGACGACTCGGTACGTACTCCACCTAGATTCTTGCATTGAGAGCAATTGTCGGCAACGGCAGCACGGCTTCGTACCAAAAGCCCTCCGGGTGCCTCTGGATGCTACAGCGTACTAGTCCAAAGAAATCCATGAAACAGTGTATGTACAAACATTATTTGACACGGTCTACAGAGATGTGAAGTCCCGAATTAGTGTTGGAACGGAACAACACCACCCTTGCGGACCGGCCTGGACTTCCAGGATGGCATCCGAGAATGTTAATGGGGTTTGTAACTATGATGGCTTCTCATTGCAAGCAAGATCACCTGGTGTTCGCAGGAACAACCAGAAGCCGCATTCATTTGGCGCAATCTCCTGCAAAGTACTAGGGATGGTGTTGCCACCGGGGACCTTGCTTGCTCTGGTAGTGGGTGTATAATATGAGTCTGAACAAAGACATATAGAGATATCTAGTTTCAGAATTTTACCATACATGATGAACTATAGAGCGTGGAATTTATCAGTATGACACACAAGAAAAGTGAAAGATGCATGAAAGCGGGATAAAATTCATTTCTGGAAGCAACATAAATACAAGTGAAATTAAGGGCAAAAGGAAGCATAGCTGTGGTGTTACTCATCGCGTTTCATGCGTCTCGGCGTAAGTTGTGGAATTGCTGTGTGGAGTTTCCCTTTCTTTGCCTTTCCCAAGGTCTCGCTTTTGTTTTCTGATTGTGAGAGGTCCTGCATGAGGATCTTTGGTTTGTTGGGGGTGGAGAGTGCGTGGCTTTAAAATTTGCACATGTTCTGTTTCAGCCTGGAAGGAATCAACAGGCAAAGCTGACTGTTTCTTGATGAAGGTGCGATGGATGGAAAACAAAACCTCTACAAGGATGCCCGAGTTTGTCATTAACATTGGAGGGTTCTACAAATTGATTTTGTTTGTAAACATGCAGGGGAAGTGCTCAGTAGTTTGGCTTTAGAAGATTGAGTTCTTGTTGAAATTCCTCCATGACTTTCCAGTTTTTGGTGTCTTAGCACCAGCTCCTAAGAATAATAAAGCTATAAAGAACAAACTTTTACTAGACATCCATGCAAGGAACTATGCATAGAAAACGAACATTTGGAGAAGTTATCGCAAAAGACTAAAAAGGTCATGTTAGCACTCAGAGAATGCAGAGACAGTGGCGAGATGGGAGAACCTTAGGGTGTTCCACCTTACTGCAAGCTTACAGTACATTTTTTAACCACAACCTGTTGAAAGGCCCATTCTTTGCTTCGTCATCTAAGTGCTCATGTTCCATACACGTACGCACCTCATATAAAGCTTTGGGCCCTCCCCTAGCCCTTCCAGCACTTCTTAGTCATTTCTCATTACTATGGCACCCCCGGATGCAAACCTTCACCCAGTTGCTACTGGTAGAGCGGCAGAGACAGTTTCTCAGCATCAAAACCCTCAAGACTTGACCTTTTACTCGGCATGGGTAAGGCACTCCGCCTCGAGATCTGGAATGGCGGTGAACTGATCATCATTTATACGACCTTGCTTCAGTTCTGTCCGTTCAGCCAACGCCTACGGGAATTCCCTACCAGTACAAGGAGGTGAACCCGTATAAAAAGGAAGAACACATCCTTTAGATAAGTCCAAGAGGACTTGCCCCCGTAGTCGAGTATGGGGGTAAAGCCATCTACGAATCACTCGTCTTACTCGAATTTCTTGAAGACGCTTACCCATCTTACAAACCAAACCTTCCTCCCTCCGACCCCTCTGACCGTGCACACCAGCGCATATGGATAGATCATATTGCCAAGGCAGTCGTTCCTGCGTAGATGCGGCTAACGATGACACAGTCAAACGAACAGGAGAAGTTGGAAACAGCGCGAAATGAGCTTTATGAGGCACTCAGAAAGCTGCAGAACGAGATCAAGGGACCTTACTTTGCCGGAGAGCGATTCACTCGTGGACATCGTTATTGCGCCATGGATCTTGCGGGACTACGTTTCGGCCGAGCATAGGGCCTTTAAAAGGGAAGATGTATGTAGGTGATGGTTGGGTGAAGTATGCGAAGGCTATCGAAACGCGTGATTCTGTGTACAGAACTATGAGTATAAGTCGCCATGGATTGAAGAGTTCATGCACGGAATTCACGGCGTTGTGCAGGAACGGGACAAGGCTAAAGTGATATATAACCGGTATCTCCGTGGAGATGCACATAGCGAAGCCGTTAAAGCCGTCAAAGCTGGTCGTCCTATTCCTTAAAGATGTTGGGGCGGTGTGTGGGTTATAAGCCCCAACAGACGTGTAAGAGCAGTCTGTCGAGTATGTATAACGTCGTGTTTGAACTGTTGGTTGGAGGACACGCACTTTGGTTGTTGGAGAATCGTGTTGTGGTCCGAGATGAACTTCGTTTGGATGATGTCAATGTCTCGATCGTCCGAGGCTGGGACTCAGCACTAAGTTTGTCCTAAACCGCTACTTTCTCTATTGGTTGTAAGTTGCGCCACAGGATACAGCTGATTAGTACGTCCAACTCATTCGCGGCGAGGTATACACGCCAAGCCTGTCACCACAGACGTGAACTGTCGACACTCACCCCAGGGACTCATCTCGGACGTAGTATTACTTGCTAGCACGGACGCATTCCTGACATCTTTGAAGGGGATGTATTACAACTAGTCGTTTGCAGATGTACCTATTTGTTATGATAGGCGGAAAGCATAAAAAGGACGGCACTGAGCGGGGTGTGAGTTGTGGTGCGAGAAAGCCCAGCTACCTCGAGTGGACCTCGTTGGCAGGCCAGGATTGAGAAATATGTGAATAAGGTACTCTTAGATGGGGGATACTTTTCATAAGTCTAAATGATGCGCGTGGGTGTTCGTGGACGTGATGCAAAATGAGGGGAAGGCGAATGAACCAAAACCGAGTGTATGGAGGAGCGTGCGGGGCGTGTCAGAAGGTGATTTACTCCTTCTTCTCCTCAGAGCCTTGCGTTGACTCTGTAGAGGACGCATTCTCTGCGCTACGCTTCTCGTACACCTTCTGGAAAAGGCCTAGCGAAGCCTGTTGAGTCTCGCCGATCTTCTCCTTGATTTGCTCGGCAGTGATAGAAGCATCGCCGGTGAGTCCCTTCGAGGCCAATTCACGAAGTTCGCCAACGAGTTTCGACACCTTCTCCCTCTCAGCAGCATCGAGTTGGTCCTTGAACTCGTTCATTGCTATCACAGAAGCGAGTTAATGCGAGAGGGCAAAGCACCATGCAATAAATACTCACCCTTCTCTGTGTCGACACAGACCGACTCGCCCTTGTTTGCCTCCTCAATGAGTTCCCGACGTGCCTTATCCGCATCGGCGTACTTCTCGGCGTCGGAGATCATGCGCTCAATGTCCTTGTCGCTCAGACCTGACGAGGACGCAATCGTCATAGACTGGTCCTTGTTGGTTGCCTTGTCCTTGGCAGTGACATGGACGATACCATCTACAAGGGATAAGGAAATTATCTAAAGGCCTGTATAAAAGACGTACCAGCATCGATGTCGAAAGTGATCTCAATTTGAGGGACGCCCTTCGGGGCCGGAGGAATACCAACGAGATTGAAGTTGCCAAGGAGTTTGTTGTCCCTGACGAGTTCACGTTCACCCTGGAAAATCTTGACCTCGATGGCGGTCTGGCCGTCGGCAGCGGTGGAGAAAACTTGCGACTTCTTCGTTGGGATGGTCGTATTGCGGTTGATAAGTTTTGTCATGATACCGCCGAGAGTCTCAATGCCGAGGGAGAGTGGAGTAACGTCGAGAAGTAGAATATCGGTGACATTTCCGGCAAGAACACCACCCTGGATAGCAGCACCGATAGCAACGGCTTCATCGGGATTGACACCTTTACTCGGGTCACGACCGAAGATGGACTTCACGGACTCGCCGACCTTGGGCATACGGGTCATACCACCAACGAGGATGACTTCGTTCACCTCACTAGACTTGACTCCAGCATCGGACAACGCTTTCTTGCAGGGATCAACGGTGCGTTGGATCAGAGGGCCGGTAAGGGTCTCAAATTGGGTGCGGTTCAACTTCAAGTTGATGTGCTTTGGACCAGTTGCGTCCGCGGTGATGAACGGCAAATTAATTTCGGTCTGCGTTGTGGATGATAGTTCAATCTTAGCCTTTTCGGCGGCCTCACGAATGCGCTGAATGGCCATGCGGTCTTGACTGAGGTCAATGCTCGACTCCTTCTTGAATTCATTGAGGATGTGGGTAACAAGAGCGATGTCAAAGTCCTCGCCACCAAGGTGGGTGTCTCCATTAGTGGACTTGACCTCGAAGACTCCTTTGTGCATCTCCAGAATGGAGATATCAAAAGTACCACCACCAAGATCGTACACGGCGATCACTGATGATTCGGCACGGTCAAGGCCATATGCCAGTGCCGCAGCCGTCGGCTCATTGATGACTCGAAGAACCTCGAGGCCAGCGATTTGACCAGCATCCTTGGTAGCCTGCCGTTGCGCATCGTTAAAGTACGCAGGGACCGTAATGACCGCATGACTAATAATAATGGTCAACACTGGGGGGCTCCTAACTAGTATTCGCGCAACTTACTTGACTTTCTTGTTGAGATACTGCTCGGCAGTCTCACGCATCTTGGTAAGTACCATGGACGATAACTCCTCGGCACTCTAGAAAACACACACATTAGTTCTCTTACTGATCCAGAGGGGTGGAAAGGCGTACGAATTGTTGCCTCTTGCCGCCGACGTCAACCTCGACAGCTGGTCGAGCATCTGGTTTCTCGACCATCTTGAACGCCCTACAGATGATATTAAGATGCTCTCCTATATAACAGTCGTCGTCGCATATACTAACCAGTGTTTTATATCCTCCTGGACCTCCGCATCCTTGAATTTGCGACCAATCAAACGCTTGAATGCGAAGACAGTGTTGGATGGGTTGACAACGGCTTGACGCTTTGCAGGCAAACCAACGAGACGTTCCCCGTGTTTCGTGAAGGCCACTACCGACGGGGTTGTTCGGGCACCTTCGGAATTTTCAATCACACGCGCCTGCTTCCCCTCCATGACGGCAACACATGAATTTGTAGTACCCAGGTCAATACCGACAACGGGGCCTTTGAACTGGCGTCAAAAATTTTCCTTCTCGCAGGAATGTTGTCATAGACACACCGGTGACTTTGGAGTTCATGTTCCTCGCGATTAAGGACCGCGGGATCCCCTGTACACGAGTGAGTAAGGGTGTGATATAAGACGACCCAACGTACAGCATAGTTGCCAGTGCGAGCAACGGCGGCGCGGAGGGAACGAGCTGCAGCGTACATGAGGGAAGAGGATGAAAAGGTGAGGAAACGCAAAAACCGGCGATTTCACAAATTTTCTAGGCCAGCGTAAGCTTATGTCAGCACTGGATTATGTCATCGGATTGACTGGAAACTTCCGGATCCATTATCCGCTGGCAGCTTCACATGTCAAAGGCCACGTTGACTTACGGGCTAATGCACTGCGTAATACTAGAACTAGGATCCAGTGTGCACGACGACTAGAAAGTAGTTCTAACGAGTGCTGTGTTCTCCCTTGCAATTTGATACTGTGATTGACAGCGGTGCCGAGGAATATTCGTAAGTTCCGGGCGTCTATTACGGTAGTTGCTCATCTTTCATTATGCCCGGAGACACCAAGCGCATCGGCGGGGAGTATGGGGAAATACGCGCAGCTTTCAATGTCGACAAGTTCAACGCATACTTGAAGGCACACGTTCCCGCCGTTACCCCACCAGTGGCCGTGAAGCAGTTCAAAGTGTGTGACCCTCTTCTAATGAGAACTGTGTTTGCCTGCTCACCCCGATCGTTCTCGGGAACCATACCAAGTTCGGGCAGGTGCGCTAGTTCAACTAATACCGCCCAAATACGTGGCCAACAATTTTATAGTCCAACCCGACGTACTTCTTGACGGATGCAAAGTAACGGGTTCCCTCGCATGCTACCGCCGTCGATCTAAACCAATGTAGGCAGAAGCGGTTTGTCCTCCGCAAGAAACCTGCTGGGCAGTTGCTCTCCTCGACAGCGCACCAGGTCGAGCGGGAATTCAGAGTGTTGAGCGCTCTGCATGAATACAATACCAGGTCGACCACCTCGCCGGATCGTATCGTTCCCGTTCCCACTCCCTTCGCATTATGCGTAGATAGTGATGTCATTGGAACACCCTTCTATATCATGGAGTATCTGGACGGTAGGATATTCACAGATCCAAGGATGCCAGAGGTTTCACCACAGGTCCGTCGGGAATGGTGAGGGATATCAGTGGTCAGTCCAACTATTAATGTATATGCTGACGAGGGGGGATTCTCCAGTTGGATATCAGCAGTCCGCGCACTTGCAGCCTTGGCTTCGGTAAACCCCTTCGACATTGGTCTTGGCGAATTCGGCCCATGCACGGACTACTTTCCCCGGCAGATCAAGTCCCTTACCCGTGTATCCGAGGCGCAGGCGCAAGCCGTCGACGTCGAGACCGGAAAGCCAACAGGACATATACCGCACTATGCCGAACTAGTTGCTTGGTACAAAAGTAATCTACCGGATGAGAAGAAGTTTGGCTTACGCATCGTTCATGGCGACTATAAACTGGACAACGTGATATTCCACCCAACAGAAAATAGGGTTATTGGTATTTTGGATTGGGAATTATGTACTCTCGGGAGTCCGGTGGGAATTGTTGCTGCTCATCGTCGGTCTAATCTGACCAAAGGAACTAGCTTGCGGATTTGGCCAATTTAACTCAGCCTTGGTCGATTGACAGTAGACATGTACCGGCAGATTTGGTCGACGAGCGACTCACCTTTATCACATCATTTAAAAACGAAGCCGAAGACGCGCCGATTGCATTAGAAGAATTGGAGCGAGAGTACTGCCGCTTGACCAACCAAGCTTGTCCCATCAAGGAGATGGGCTTCGCTCGTAGTTGGATGCTTTTCCGGGTAGGTGGGCCCTTGACACATCGTCGTTTTGTTCTGACGTGTTTGCAGTCTGCTGTCATTTCACAGGGCATTGCTGCACGCTTTGCGCTCCGCCAAGCTAGCTCTGAGAAAGCATCTATTCATACGCGTTTGTTCCCAGTTTTGGGCCATCTCGCGAAGGTCCTGCTCGAGGAAGGAGGATACATTATTGGTGGAAAATCAAAGTTGTAGTATCACAATAGTACTCCGCATCCTGCCTGTCTGTGTCGCTTCGCATCATATGCGTTCCTCTTTATCCTCAAAAATTCATTGATGCCGTCCATGGTTGGTCGCCTATTAGGCTCGAACCTCCAGCACCTCTCTAGCAAGGACCATAAATCGTTATCAGTGATCTCGTTGTAATGCTCCCTCTTCAAGTGTCCCTTGTCCCTTGAGACGTACAACACCACAGCAGCCTCTGTCGCTCCTTCATATGGTGTCCTCAGCGAGAACATCTTTCTACTAGTAAGTATCTGATATTGGTCCACTTGCAGCATTACTCTCACCTCTGTGGCAGTGACTGCAAGAGCCCAAACATCCGCCTCTTTTGTCGTTCGAGAAGGCCGATCCGAATGAATAATGCACAGTTCGGGAGCGAAGTATCGGACTGTACCATGAATGTTGTTCGTCGTGAAGCCTGCAACTTCGAGTATGCGTGATAGACCGAAGTCCGTGATGACGACTTCGCCACTGTCGCCTATCAAAACATTTCCCTGGCGTCGAATTATGATAAGGATGACGTGAGGATACACCGAATGAAGAACTTACCGGTTTCAGGTCTCCGTGTACCACGTTGGAGGTATGCAAGTACTGGAGTCCATTGCCAAGCTGGTACAGCTGCAACGATATTAGATGAGTTATGAGGGGTGGTAGCCAAAACTCTACCATTTCGAGCCTTTGTCTGAACGAAAGGTGGGAGTGATTTAGGAGCATGTGTTGCTTTAGATTGCCATTTGGATACCAGGGCGACACGAGGGAGGGTCCGCCGTACTTTGACAGGTCAGATGCTATACCTAGCAAAGGGGCAATGTTGGGATGCAACAATGTTGCCCATACTCGGGCTTCCCTGCGCAACTTCTAAACATTGTGGAAGCATTATGACAAATGTGGAGAGGTGCTCGGTCAAATCGCGACATACATAGCTGGCCTCTGCTGCCTTGTCTGGCAGGAGGTGAGACTTGATTACTTTGACGGCAACCTATGTAAGACACCGTTAGACGATCCCGGTACTGGCCATGGTGACGGGAGAAACTTTACAACTTGGCAGAGAGGATTGTCCTGACTTTTGCACTCGCCCTTCCAGATGTCGCTGTTACCCCCGTGCGCAACCGCATAGGCACCTATCAGGCGGACCTGACCTGTAAGGTCTCTCGCAATGGTCGGGGATGACATACGAGTCGGGCGCTAGACAAGGTTGGTTTTTGGTGGGCCCGGTAATATGTATGTCCGGGTTTAAGTACCGTGCATAGAGTCATGGCACGAGGTCGCCATCTAGCATCTCCAGGTTCTCTCTGCTGTTTCTTGAGAATTTAGAGGCCCGTGTCCCTCAACAGGATGTGTTATGTAGAAGAGGGTATTCAGCATTGCATGCCACCGCGCCGCATTGTAGAGCCTTCTGGAACTGCCACCCCACCTCACACCAGAGGAAGAGAGAGGCCCATACCATAGCCTTTGACATCATGGTAGTTCGAAACTGCAGACGTTCCTGTAGTTTCGAGCTACCAGGGGGATGACGTCAACGTCCAGTGACAGTCCGTCATGATGCAGCATGCCGCGGCACTCGTCACAGTTGTCCCGGTATCATCGGAGTGTCCGGTAGTACACCCGTACACCCAAATAATACGGGGACTCCGGAGCGCAACTGAGGCTACTGGCATACTCATTCTATTCGCCTGGCGGTTTACATGGCGCTCAGCATCTGGGGAGAATTCGAGCGCTGGTTGCATGCTCAATCTTTCACGAGTCCGTCCTTTCTACCTTTAAGAATGAATCTCTGTTCTTTCCTGATCGGCTCTCCTTCTTGCTGTATCGTCACAGTACCTATAGTACTGGCGAGGTTCTTTGACTTGCACAGCTGCATGCCCGCGCGAGCGTTACCGTGCGCAAAGCTATGAGCCTGCCAGAATATTCTGCTTCTGACTGCGGTTGTCACTCGTCTGTACGAACTCGCAATTCCATCCCTTGCTATGGTGTACAACTTTCCACTGGTTATCAGCCTACTTGGTTCCGAATCAACGCTTCTATGCGTCAGAACGCAGTTCGCAGCATTAATGATTTTCTGTACCGGCTTCAACAGGCCTCGCTTTCTGAAATGACCAATTCCCTCATACATCAGGCTGGCCTCCACCTTGGACCTGTCGTTCTCGAACGAAAAGTTCTTACGCAGCTAATGTAAAACAAGTTGCTGTATAAACCTTTGACATGGTCAAGGTGTGTTTGCCCTGTACACCTTGGGGAGTTTGCAAAATATGACGACTAACCTGTGAGACTTCTCAAGATTTCGATGCAGCAAGCTTCCTTCGTGACGCCCGACGGTAACATAGTGCCCCCTGATTCATGTTGGCAACAGCCATTCTATAGAAAGGTACAGGCATTCTCTAATAACTGCATCACTGCACCGCGTCGTGCGGCTTCTTATTCCGGTATCCTTCTGCGATGAGGCTGCGACTCACCTCATTTGGTGGTGAAGATCACACAGAGCGTATAGTCGGAGACACCGCTGAGTGGTAGCAGATTCGCGGGATTTCTGGGTGTGGCAAGCGCACTCCATATAGTATGGCGTCATCTCACGTGAAATATCGATGGGATCGATGCTAAGCGGGTAATCTCGAAGAAGGGTTGGCAAGAAATCAAGAAGCGCCGCACCCAGTCAAATAAAAATGGAACAATCTTTCCTTCGTCGCCACCCACCGCTGTCTCGCTGTCAACGCATACTCAACGCCGCGTCGGAGGGTTACTCTTGCGGATCAGGATGCGTGATGACCGAAGTGATCGTTCACCGATGGTACGTTACTAGCTACAACTTCTTTCTCCGTTGTCTCGTCTTGCAAGATATTTTTACATCATCCAACGATGCACGTATCTCGTACATGAAAAATGCTGTGGGACATGCTGATTCCAGGTTCATGGTTTCTTTCCGCCCAGGACCAGCCACCTGGGATTTCAGGAACCGGTAAGACAAAGGATACTCAACCATTCCCAGTGGCACACGGTTGAATAATCTCAAATTCGAGTTGCCGTCGTGTCTTACTCATCTCGACTTGCATGCAACTATTCACTTTTATATGAGTACCATGAGTACGGGCTTCGTCATCTAAACAACCGATCTTCCAAGTCGACTGGCTCACCGGACTGCGTTCAAGCTCGAGGCTTTCGGGAGCTGTCGATATCCCCTAATTTCATCAATACAGCTGGCCACCCAGCCTGCATTGTAAGTAAATATTTTAGGGATTTATGACACAGTTCGCATTCTAGCAGGGAAATCCTCGTAGAGCGTGATGATGAAGTTTAACGTTGGGATGTGATGTCGCAAATACTGATCACCACGCTTGTTCGCTACTGGTGCAGCCTTATCCTACACTGTGGAGCTCGCACTATCGTTGTCAGCGAATTTACCTTTCCGGCGGCAAATTGTAGGTGGAATTCCTGGGAGGTTATCCTTGCTTTCGGCCAAAAGAGGACAAATGATGGGTATTATCTCGCCTTGTATAATGGCGGCGGGGCCCCTCCCCGACCAAAAATAATATGAATACCTGCGGGAACTACCTTGTTAATATCACGCCTCATCATGTTCTCGCACAGCAGGAGCAACTGCGGTACTGCCAGAGCTGAAATTTACCTTGACGCACAAGTACTTGTGCCTGCTATCCCGTACGGTGTTTTGACAAAGACTGCATGAGATTCAAGCACCAAGAAAGGTGGCCAATAGCAATATCTATGTCCACTCAAGAGTGGAATCCCTACATGTGTATATAGAAGCAAGCCCTACATCAGCAAATCATAAGTCTGCTTAACCATGCTTGACCACTTAGCAGCACCTGTCAAGCACATAAGTAGCATAAGCACGTTAAGCACCCACATTGCCAAGCATGCATGACCACTAAGTAACTTGGCAAATGTTTAAGTGTGACTCAAGTAGATAAGCATCCCAAGCAGCTAAGTTACTATGGAATTTGAGCATACAATCAAGTACGCTACAAGTACGAATCTGATAAAAGTGAAAATGCATGATGATCGATAAATCTGTTCACGTAGAAGGTGGTAAATGCATTGTAAGAATGATGTGGCTTTATGGTTCTGGGAATGGGGTGGGTGCCGTACAAGGGGACGAGGTGTGCCACACGATATATGGTGTCTACGTGTATGACAGCGGTGGCCAGGTGACGATTTGCAGTAAGGGCCAGGTGTACAATCCACATCCCTGTATCCACATCTGGGTCATCCCAAACACAGTCAAACCACTGCACTACTGCACATGGGTAACACTTGCTTTGGGAAATGAAGGAAAAACCCAAGGATACACATGACATCCAAACCATGCATCCCCTTCAGCCCTGGATTAGTATTCACAAATGTACAGTCATACCGGGGTGGCCTGTTCTGCCATGAATGACATGAGCAGATATACTCATGCCACATGCCACCAATACCACTGATATCACTTGGTGCATAGAATAGTGCAGCTGCAGAATTAACGACAGTGATTTTGTTGCCATAGATGGGGTGCTCAGATAGTGGGATGTCACAGAGATCATGGTAGTCTTCAGCATCGGCTTGTTGAAGCAGGAACTCCTCCAGAATGGTAGGGAGACGTGATAGACCGAGCTTGATTGCAAGATCTGTCATGGTTCTGGCCCACTTCATTTCTGAATGCAAGAGGTTGATTTTGTGAGCCGCTGCACTACTCAGGTTAATAAGGTACATACAGGTGGTGCGAGCAAGTTCAACATGCACCTCTATGGATGTTGGGCAGTCCACAGCCTCACCATTGTCTTCATTATGGGGACCAGAACCTAGGACCTGTGATGTACTGCTGTTCTCTCTGCCATCTGTTTACTTCATGTGAATATGATGAAAATCAATATGATCGTCCAATGACCAACCTTGAGTCAAAAGGAGCTGCATAGTTGCCATGAGGCAGTTTCCCTCTAGCATCCCTCGTTCGTTGAAATCCCTTCGAGAGGCCACCAACTTATCTAAGCGCTGATTGATAATGAGCATTTGGCCCAGTGGCTTGTTACGATTGGTCCGCCAGTATGGGTCCTTCACAGCATTGATATGCTTTGATTTGGTGATTGATGTGCAAAGTCTGTTCGGCACCCCAAATAAATGTATAAGATCAGGGTAGTGTTTCATCGCATGCTGGTGCAGTAAGGAAAAAGTTTGAATGGTACCTGATTGGCGAAATATTTCCTGGTACTTGTGAAAGCGGTTGATGGTATCTTGAACTGCAACCAAGGTTTCTTCAGTGAGGACATTGCAATGGACCAGGTATGTGAACTCCAACAAAGTGTGAAATGTTTGCACAATCTCCATTGGTACATGCCCCTCAATGGCAGGTAGATACACCTATGTATCGAACGTTAACGACAGACTGTATAAACAACCTGATCTAAAATTACCTTCATTAGTGCCTTTGAGTCGTTACCAGTCCACTGTTTGAAATGACGGCCCTCGGGAAAGCGACGGAGCCCTGTGAAAGGTGTGATGGCCACGATTCTAAGGTATCCTACATGAGGAAAGAAAGAAATGTAAATTAAAGCAGACGTACCTCTGGTCAATATCATCTAAGATTGCATTCGCCTTTGTTGTGCCATGCATGGTCTTCAAATAGCTTTCAACCCACTCGACCAAATGATCCTTGAATGTCCCTTTGATGATCTGGTGTAGTATATCAGGGGCAATGAGTTGGTATATATTGGCATGGGGAAAACTGCTGGTGAACGGCTGAAATCAGTTTTCAGGACACAGGCACAGTGGAATCTAAGTGAAACAATACTTACAATTGTATCACCCACAATGCCATACGCATCCCATAAGGTCTTGAGATCAAACTCCTCAATCAGCACTTCTGCATGTTCGCGACTCTGATAAAGTGCATCAGTATCGAGTTCCTGCCTCATTGCAAGACATCTGAGATTCTAGTTAGTTGATAGTAAGAGTTGGAAAGTAGAAAAACATACTTCGCACACCACCCTTGCACAATACATGCCAGAAGGACTTGTTCCTCATAATCGGTGATATAAGGGCTGAGTCAAAAATTACATGGCAATAGTGTCCATCACCAAACTGCATAACAGTTGGTTTGGTCATCACAGGCTTGAAATTTCGAAGGATATATGCAAGTGATGAATGAAAGAGTTGGCAGCAGAATTGTCAGAACATGTCAGTGGACACATGCTCTTTGTCGGCTACAAGTATATCTCTCATTAGTGCCATTACTTTCCTATGTATCTATCAGATGCACTTACTATGTGGGATTGCAAGGAAAGCAATGAGAGCGACACTATTGCGATGTGCACAATGAACTTTGTTGCTCATGTTACCTATTGAGAGGTAGAGGGGATAATAATCGTTTTGACTGGTTGCAACTGACACGGTCGTCTTGTCACTGCCAAGGATGATTGGAATGAAGGTTGACCCATGTGTGGTTGAATCATGAGAAATTATGTCCTGTTATTTGCATGCCATTAGTACAGTGCTCAGAGACATAGAAGATAAAAGACACACCACTTGAGTCCACACCCAATCACCAGACATGAAATCCTCCCACTGTCTCTTGTCCATTGCGCTCTCATATTCCTGAAATGGCCGGTAATCCATGTCTCTCAAAAAATCAGGTCAGGAAAGCATATTGTGAATAATGTCTTTAGGGTCCCGGAACCAAATATTGTACGCGGTGTTCATCCATGATGGGACATTATCAGTTGGTTGTTCGCCAGTATAGGATATGCAAAAATTCTCCCACTGTACATCACCAAGTATAGTGTGATCAATTGTCTTGTACATTTCGGCATTATCTTTGAAGACGGGCTGGCTGCCAGTGCCGAGAAGTGTCGCATTCCAGAGATCTAGTAACTCATTAATATTGGCTGCAGACATCTGGCTGCGGGTGAACAGGAAGTCAGCTAGCTCGAACTCCAGACAACTGGAGTATGGCGACCAATCGTTAGGTTGCTTTTCAGAAGGAGTTTGCGGGGACGACTGTCCAACTGGGAGGGGGTTTCCAGACGAATCACAAGGCTGCCCTGTCAAATAATACATCAGTAAATACTTAATTTTTCACCCATACTGCATACTGGTGAGGTTTGGGTGATAGTTCCAATAATACTTGTTGCCTTGTCCAACAAACTCTGCCAGAAGGGTTGGATTTGAAGGGCTTGTGGATGGGTCACTATAGTCATCGTCGTCCGGTCAGAACTGGAATTGTTCCTCTTCAGGCAATGGTACCTGATCTGGCTGTTCTACCTGTGCAGGGATGTTGATAGGCGGAAATACTGGGTGGTATATGTTGACGTGCTGGGTTAGGCCTGACTTGTTTCTGAACCATCGATGGCAGCCAGGTTTTGTGCAGGGAATCATATCTGAAAGAAAAATGATGAGTAACAGGAGTTACTGTGGGACAGCAAAGATTTGCCGACTGAACATAGAATTGAACTAAGCCAAAAGAGATGGCAGTGGGCGTACCTTTTTTTCTTCTGTCTCTTCATCTTCCACCTTCACACACAGCCAACAACCCTTTGCACTGCGAGATATGGACAACCAACTGGCTGCAGAGTGCCCACAGGAGACACTTGTGAGTGGTCGCCTGAAGCACCAGGTGGCTAACGTGCATCCCAGTAGGATCATCCTCAACAGCCAACTGAGAAGACAGATGAGCGCAGAGAAGGAAGCTAACAATGAATGCACCCGGGAAGCCCTTGCCAAAAAGGTTGCAGCACTGAAGAGAGGTTATCAACAGATCGGTGAAATCGAGGATGAAATGGAGGTCAACCAAAGTGGTGTCGCTGCCAGTGCTAAGCCCATCAAGCCATGTCCTTGTCCTTGTCCTTGTCCTCACACTGTTGGCAGGCAAAGAAATGAGAGTGATGGCAGTATCTATCATGCTTAACCAAGAAAACATGAGGCTGATTTTTTTTGTAGGGACGAATGAGCCACTTACCCCCCTAGCTGATGTGGAAGACAATGCTGGACCTGTAGTGATGAAGGGGAAAGGGACAAAAGCAGCAAAGGCAAAATCGCTGCGTGAAGCGATAATCTCCACGCACAACAAAGTATCCCTGCCATCAACATGTGACAATAGCATTGGCACTAGTACTGGTTTGATGTGCATCTTACTTCTTAACATGTTCCTCCTAACTGAGGCAACTCTTTTCTTTGCGAATGTCCTAATGACTGCCAGCTCTGACAATAAACTGACTTTATCTAAGTGTGTCAAAAATTGGGTGAACATTGTCGACACAAGCTCTACGCGATCTTCAAGTGCCAGTGCCAGTCCTCGCACATCAGCTGCACCACCTCTGTCCACAAGTACCCTCGCTACAAGTACTACTGATGTCGAGTTCCATGTATTCAATCTCAGCTCTCCACTGCCAAATGATCCCCAATATAACTACAAGTTCAAATCCCAACTACCAGAAAACTTTGACTCGCTACCTGATCGCAAAGATGGAGAAGCTAGTGGGCCAGTGAGACCTCTGGCTTTGGACATCCCCACTCTTCAAAATGTTATCATTGAGTATCTTTCATGCTGAAACGGTTTTTTACTCATGCAATGGTAGTCTCAGTGCACTGCTGCAATGGCCGAGGAGTATGAGACCAATGATCCTGCTGCCAGACTCACCAACATCAAGAGGAAAGTAGCTGAGTTGGAATACATCTCAACCTCTGAGGTTGAGGGCGACAGCATTGATGATAACTGCGACAATCTAGATGATGCCATCTGTGTTTTGGGGCACAAGAATGCCATGGCCAAGGTATGTGCTGACCACCTTTCTCCATGTGCCTTCATCTTTTATTTTCTTTCAGTCACGTGTCATGGTTACAAAGGGCATGCCAAAGAAGATCAAGATACAAGCTTGCAACTCTATGTCCAGCTTATCAGCCACATCTACTAGCAAGAGATCTATTGTAGTGAGCAATTCATTGAGTCAAGTGCAGACTGTCCCTGCACAAGTGCATTTCAACAATTCAGATCTCCCCTTGGATCTGCATAAAGATCAGAAGTGGAAGAGGGAAGTTATTCCGATGCTAATCCTATGGGCCGGAAACCAAGAGGATGCATTCAACATCGCCAAGCAAGATATTTGCGGGGCTCTACAGGAGATCATGCCAGTCGTATACCCCATACTCAAGAACATGGCAAGTAGCATTCTTCCCAGCTCACCCATGGTTTCTGTCGTAAGTCCATTTCATTCTGACTTCATCTGTAGCTGACTGTGTTCGCCATAGGTGTCTCAACACTTGTGTGATTGGAGGCATGGCTTTGCCTCCATGGCCGTTGCGCAACTCATAGCTTTCTTCCTCAATCCTCAAGACCCATCACCCACCGACACTGCAAAAGTATTACTCGATCATTTCACATTCTTATATGAAGACCTTGACACGACTGTTCCTGAGAAGGCCTTCCGCTCTGTTTTTGTGCAACAGCTGCTGCTGAGCAGCCATTTGACTGCAACCAAAGGATACATTCAAGTCCCCACTCTTGACACTTTGTCTTTGGCGAAGCATGGTGTTGTTGGTGCTCTTGGACTTTGTGCTGCTGCGGTAACATTTATCGAGTCATTTTCATAGCTACAGTATTGATTAGTTTTTTAGCTCTCACATGGCTTGAACCTCATTAGATCTGGTGACATCGAGCTCAAGTCCCCCATCAATGTCAAAGATGGTATTGCCAAAGTGGCAACAAGGTTTGTGCAGACCCCCGTCAAATACAACATGGCTTTGGGCAAGGATAGCAAGACTGCATGTGCATTTTCAGACCAGAATTGGGGAGCCCCAATGAGGAAGTTTACAGGGGCCACCAAAAGAAGATCTATTGCTCAGCTTCAAGCCATTGTAGAGCTTGCCCTTGCTTCGCTTGCGATAGGGCAAGAACTCGACCCCAAGCTGTTGAGTGATGCAGGATCTGACAACGAGTATGCACTTATCTGTAGGTTTTCATTCCCTACTGCTTATACGATCCACTGAGTCCACAACAGGATCTCTAATACATCTTCCCAATTGCTATTGCTAGTTCATCTATGTTTTTCAATCCCTCGATCTTACCGCCACGTAATTTACTTCACTGCTACTTAGCATGTGCTTAGCAGATATTAATTGCACTTTGTTGCTGCTTATCTGCTTGACAGAACAGAACCAGCATTATTTCAAGTAAGAAACTAATAAGCTAAGCACACATTAAGTAAAAAATAAGCAGTGCTAAGTAAGTATCCAGCAGAAGGATCTACTTATCCAAGCAGACAGCTGCTTGGCAGTTGGTATGATAAGCAAATGTTAAGTAGCTGTCAAGTAAGGATAAGTAAACTCGTGATTTGCTGATGTAGCAGTTCCGCCAATGAACAGTAGTCCATTTTAGTCCACAATTTGTGTTCTGAGTCAAAGATGAGAGGTAGTCTCGAGGTATTGTCCGGTGCGAACGTACCAGGCCGGGATGCCCCAATCAGAGGGGCCACCTGCACCGTTTCACCGGGTCCCCAAGGAAGAAGGGTTAGGTTTGTCGCCTTGAATCGAGATGTGGACACTCGTTCCCCTTATGTGTCCAAGATGTACCTCACGGATGTGTCGAACAAATGCGCGTCGAGCAACCGTTGTGGCACAGCCTTTCCACCTGCAGTGGATCACTTCCTTACGAGACTTATTCTCTACACCATGGTAAACAAAGTGGCCCGGAACTACGGCACAGCTGATTTCTTGCGAACACAATGTCCCCTCTACATTCAGATAGAGGCATCGGGTTAGCGGGCAGCTGGCGTACTTATTTTCCTGTAAATATGACGTCGAATGGAAGCATGATGTGAGAAACTGGCCGCAACAAGGGAATAAACCAATGTCGCTTACTTTGGCTAGGACCCCTGCGTCGCAGCCGGCATTACAAACGCGGTTCACGCCTTGTACTGAATCTTGAGGAAGTACATTGTAAGGGTTATCCACTCGGGCTGATCCCGGCTCTGCTTCCCAAATGCTATTAGGCGTGCTCAATTGCAGATGTCGTCCAAAAAGTCGTCGAGTTTGTCAAACTTATATTGAGGTTTCTGTCACTCGAAGCGAGACAGGCAGGGCTATGCAAGTGCAGGTGAGGTAATGCTGGCTCCGGCCGCTCTGAGGCCTGTTTAGGCAAGAGCACTGATGTGGCAATGCTTATCGACGAAGACTCGAGCGCTGGTCTATCTCAATGTTCAACGCTCACCACATGCCGCACACAGGGCGACTACGACAACAGGATGCCAGTGATCTGCTTGCGTTGTATTCTGCACATGCACACATGCTGGCAGAGTCAAGGCGAGAACGAGCTCAAATTCAGCAGGATCTTGAAGGCAGACAAGATGCTGAGTCAGAAGAACATGATCTACGAGTCTCACTTTTTTTTTTAGGACGAGCATGGGGCTCTATGTTCTCTCTGGGTTACTATCACCACTGATTCTTCGTGGCCCTTACAATCAATGGCAGAAGTGTAATGAATTTTTTGAGTTGTCTCTGAGCTGGCCAGATCGTGATTTCCGCCATGAATACCGGTGAGTCATGTCCATTTCCATCACTGATGGATCCTGATAGACTGAGCAGGATGGGCCGTACTACGTTTGATCGCTTGGTGCACATGTTGGAGAAAAATCCGATCTTTGAATCCACTGGAACAAAGCCGCAACGGCCAGTGTGCTTTCAACTTGCTTGTTTCCTTCTTCGTTATGGGATATTGGGTGCAAATCCCATGCAGGCCACACACAAGCTAGGGATTGGTTTTGGCACTGTCTTCCTTTACTGTAGGCGAGTAGTACGTGCCTTGAGGGAACTTGGCCTCAAAGTTGTGAGATGGGGCAATGAAGAGCGCCATCAGGAAATTGCGAGGCATGTTATGGATCATTCTGGCATCCCAAACTGCATTGGGATGCTGGATGGCACACTCATCCGCCTAACGCAGATGCCAGAGCGCAATGGCTTCTCTTTTATGTGCCGGAAGAAATTTCCTGCAGTGCGTTGATATAATTCTTGCAATGTCTTGTGCTCACCTTGTTACAAGTTAAATGTTCAAGTCATCGTTGATCATGAGTGCCGTTTCACTGCAGTTGAGCTTGGATGGCCTGGATCAGTATCTGATGTGACGATGTGGAAGAAGTCACATATCTGGCAACAGCGCTCTCACTACCTTCGAGACAATGCTTTATTGCTTGCAGATAAAGGTATAGTTATCTAGTCATCGTGTTTTGGGTGTGCTGATGGGCCGCTAGGTTATCCGTCATCACCATATATTCTCTGCCCATTCACGGAGCCTGAGGTCAATACACAGCCACCTGTGGAGAGGCAACGTCGCCGGAAGTTCAACAGACGACTGTCTTCACAGCGCATCACAGTTGAGCATTCCCTTGGCCTTCTGAAGGGCCGGTTTCCAAGCCTGAAGGACATGCCGCCAGAGCAGGACATAGGCGATACCTATCGAGCAGTGGAGGCGCTGGTTGCTCTGCACAACTTGTGCATAGACTTGGGTGATCATCCACAACTCATTCCTTTCTTTGAAAACAGTAATACTGAGGTCGACAATGGTGATATTGATGATGTGGATTTGTGTGGCTATGGAGAGGCTGATGACATTCAAGCTGCTGGAACAGCACTTCCTGCTTGGGAGACAGATGAGTGGCCCAGGGAAGCTGGTCGGCAGCGACGGAATGTAATATTAGATGACCTCTTTCCAGTATGATACCTGATGATTACTGATTGATAGAGAAGTAGTTCAGTAGCACTTCACGTGCACGGGCCTTGACCTCCTCTGGCATTCCTTCCATCAACATAACCTCTCGTGCGTGCCTCACTTTTGCATCTGTTTCTGCCTGCCTAACCTCCGCAATTCCCTTTGCCATCAAAAGATCATGCTGCTTCTCCTCCCGGGCCTCCTTCTGTTGTAGCAATATCAAGCATTCCTTCTCTGACTCCATCGTAGACCTCAAGTACTTGACATTTGATGAAAAAAACTCTGCAGCTTCTGTGCTGAACCCACCGTGAGAAGTTTGGCGTCGGTGTCGTGGTGCTGTGATGCCCTTCTGCACTGCCACTTTACCTTTGCTTGCTGGAGGTGTCGTGGTGGAAGTGGGCTTTCGTGATGTAGGTTTTTCAAATTTGCATGATGCCGATGGATTGGCCTGTATCTTCACTTCAAAATCACTGTCATCTTCGTCATTGCTGTTGATCTCAACAGCATCTGACAGTGATCCAGACCGGAATACCTCTTCTCGTGTGAGGCCTGGATGTTCCCCAAGCCTGTACGTTGTTTAGTTCCTCTTCAAGCAAACATAATTTGCTCGCTCACCTGTCATTAAATAGCTCGTACCATCCCAGCCCATAGAACTTCTTTAATATGGTGCCTGACAGATTTCCAACATCCTTCCCTGCACGTCGTGCATTTTCAATCTGTTCATCAAGTATCTCCACATCTGGATCTCCTCCTCCATTTCCTGTGATTGACTCGTAATTGAGAATGTATGAGAAAATTTTCCTCAGGCGTTCGTAATGCCCTCTGACAGATTCTGCAGTGCGCTGCTGGTCACCAAAAACCTCTGAAGCAACCTGCAATCGACACAAGGAAATATAGTCAGTGTGTAATTGTAAATTATAGTTCCAAGTTACCTTCTTATAAGCACGCTTGGCATTTACAATGAGAGTATTGAAGTAGGTGCTCTCACTGCCTAGAAGTGCTTCCAAAAGGAGTGTCGTATCAACATCAGTCCAGTTACGATCCTTTTCCTGCATCCACTCAAACTGCTCCATTGCTTTGTCACCATTGGCCTTCTGCTTTGCCTTGTGCTGTTGCTTCATTGGTTTTACCAGCTTTTTGTTGGTACTGGCACCATTCTCTTGTGCGAGTGGCTGGTTTTCCTTTCGCATCCTCTTAACACCCTCCCCACCCTCAGGAAGGCTCATGCTCTCATTGCATGTGCGCTTCTGTTTCAGGGGGGCTATGCATGGTGATGGTGATGTAGCGGGGTCATTGCTCATGGTGTTTGGATAGGTGCAATCCTGTACCGTAAGGTGGTCATTCTGTTGTCCATGACCAGAGGCCTGGTAAATCTCAAATAAATAAATCAAAGTCAGTGAGTGTACATTCACTTACAGAAGTCTGCCATTGTTCATTCTCATAGCATTGGGTCTCCAGGTTGAGAACCTGCCCTTGGTGCACACTGTGTGGATGGAGCTGGTCATTTTGACTGGAAATGCTGGTGTTGAGATTTGTGTGCCATTGAAGTATTGAAAACTTTACCTTCTATTGAACCAGTCTGTGCCATTTCCATGACTTCGATGGTGTTGTTGATGGTCCATGTAGTGTTCACCCTCCCAGAACATGCCTAAGGAGGACAGGTAGGTATGACCATCACTGTCCATGGACTGCTGAGGCCTGTGTGAACCAGTGAGTGTCCCACTGCCACTGTGCACATAGCGACCATTGCTTGCAAACTCTGGGAGGCTGAATATGCTTGCTGGCTGCCTGTTTTCAGCTGATTGTATAGCATTGTGAGGATAGAGTTGCTGGAAGCTGTGTGCTTCAGTGAGACTAAGAGCTGGAGTATCATATTCTGAGTAGAAGTTGTAGTCCATCTGTTGTTCCTAGTACGAACTTCACTACAGAGCCGGAGTCCAGTAGCATGTCACAGAGGCTCGGAGACTAGCTCCCCACTTGCCTAATTGGTCATTCCCATGCCAGAGCAGCCGGAGACAGCATTACCTCACATGCACTCGCATAGCCCTGCCTGTCTCGCTTTGAGTGACAGAAACCTCAATATAAGTTTGACAAACTTGACGACTTTTTGGACGACATCTGCAATTGAGCACGCCTATTATTAAACACGGAAGTCACGCTGGGATGTACCACTTGATTTGGTTTTGGAGTATATTGGACGGTGTTGCCGAACGAATAGTACTCGCCGACGAGTCCTTCCGGCGTGTCAGGGGGCCAAAAAAGGAGCGGGGCTGATGGCTGATATTGCGGTGATCGAGTGTTCTCTCCTTCGCCGTGGCCCGGACAAGTGGGGTCCGCTACGTTGGGAACTAGCTTCTATGCTTCCTTTCAGCATTCATGAGATGAAACGTTCGAGAAAACGCACGGGTTGAACCGGTGGTGGGCAAGTGTCGGCCACGGCACCATCAAGCGTGTAGGATTTACTTAATGGGAGCATCCTGAGAAGCATCGAACAGGGGACGGTCGAGTAACCGGGATACACAGACAATTTGTCCGGACTGGGATGCATTCCTGCTTCGTGAAAGAGATCACTCCCCCCCTGTGCTTATTTATAAGACCGACTGTAGCGTAGTCGCCGTTGGAGAGCACCCTGTAGGTACCCTGTCTGTTAGGAAGGAAGTGAGTATAGCACAGCTTAGCCCACTTGCGGATATGGCTGCACACACAACCCAACTTAGTCAGATAAAAACGGAAAGTGGAGCCTGACGCACGGCGAAGTTTAGGTACCCTCTCGTCATGCTGGCTAGATCGGAATTTACATCGGATAGGGCACGGATTCATATCATGGCGTGCTTGGTGCCCCATGCTCCTCTGGCACGACCGCAGTGATCTCATCAATTATCTGAATTCAACAGATCACGTTGGTCTCGAACGCAGATCCCCTTTCGGCGATTCTAGTGGGTTCCACATGGGGGCATGCGTTCGGCGAATTATTACACAGGAAAGTGGTGATGATGACGCAATGGCAGGACGTGGCACAGATTCGACAGGTCGACGGGCCCTCCCGCATTCAATATTCACGCCACATCCACTCGCGGCGCGAGGAGATAGGAAGTTGAACGAAAGTATGGCCCTATTGTGTAACTTCATCCAAGACACCACATGAATGCAAACTGCTAAAAGGGCAAGTCATATCACACTACAGATGAGAAACCACTGAAACACGATGTATAATGTTGGTGAGGCTGGATGAATCGATGAGGTCGGGTTTGGCCCCTACGCGGTACGAGCAAGGTGTAACGCACAGTTATGACTATGGTTTAGCATTGTTGACCAATCCGTTTCCGTTGGACGTCAGTGTTGGCATTCTGTCGGGCCGTACGCAACGGGTATAGAAACTGGACATTACTGCAAGGGGGGGGGTCGCGCGATGGTAGGCCATCCGTTCACTGGATCAGAAACCCGCTGAAAGGCTGGATGATGGGCACCACGTTCACCGGCCCGGCTCACTAATAAGCGATAGGGCGCAAAACCTTCGACGAATAAAGGGGCAGCGAGTCACTAGTCAGGGATTTGGTGAGACGAGTCCCCCCACGTGGCTCTTAGTAGCTTCAGTCAATTCCCGCGGGGATGCATTGGTGCTCGACCCTGAAGTACTTGCTGCGGTAGTTTCAGCTTTTGGTTTTCTTCAGTGTGAAGTATTAGTCGAGCACGAATATTAGTCGAGCACGCAATATTCCGTCGACTCGCGGGCAATTGACTGTGGTTTCGTGTCTAATGCCTGCCTCCGTACGTATGTACCAACACATATGTCTTATCAGCACGGTATGAGCACCTCAGAAACGTGCATATCTCCCTTTCTTCCCTGTATGTTGGCAGGGACAACGCTTCCGCGAACAGCGGGAAAAGAAATTACCGAGGCTTAGATACTGGTCCCAGCGTCGAACTTGCTCTATACAATGCGGTTATGGCTCTCAAATAATGCCAGCAGGTTTGGCAGACCTCCTTATTTGCTTGACCTGTTATAGTTACACCTCGTCATACACCTGCCGCACCGCGCGCGTTGTACCTAGGAATAAAGGGTGAGCAGCGCGGTAATTCGGTAAGCCACTCCCAGCTACCTGTGATCCATGGATGGAACAGGCGTACTTGAGTGGCACTCCCATCGTATCACAGCTGTCGAGTCCGATGGTAGGAAGGACGTACTACTGCTGTTCTACCACATGCGCTTCGCTGGTGTAAACTCGAGATTGGATCGTTGGCATTACGGGAGTGGCGAGTGCTGGATTATGGCAGTTTCAAGTTGGGGCAAGGCATTATCTTGTTTCACATAGTGAAGCATGTGGAACTCTAAAAGATTTGAGATTCTGGCGTAGGAACGTGGGCGGTCGTCTTTTCGTTTTTCTCATCCGGACGCTGCCTACCCACTTCTTGTCACTGCCTGCTTGCTGCAGTCATGACTCGCATCACGCGCTATCCCTTGCCATAGGGGCAGCTATCCCATGCCCAACGCACAGCGCCCCGTAAGCCGCAAAACCATTAGGCTCGCCTTCACTGTCTTTCGTGGGTACGTCTTCAATCTTGTAAAGGAACTATGGGGGCTCCATCCCGTTCGGGCATCCCTGATGGTGGTTCTCCACATCATCCATACCATCCCCCCTGCCTCCAGGGACTATTCACAGGTAATGGTCGTCGACGAAGGTCACTACGACCATTTCTCTCTATCTCATGGTCATACTTAAGCCCAGTCGTGCAGCTGTAGACGCTCCTGTCCTCCCGGTGTTTATCCCGGTCGAACTTCTTGCGTCTCGATCGTCGGAATCTTTCAGCATGCTTCGGAAACAGCCATCGACACGTCTGCGTACATGCCCTCTTTAACTTTCCGTGCATCGCTCTTGTAACACCTCATTTTCAGCAGGTCGAACGAGAGCATCGTCCAAGAGTCAGTCAAATTCTATGTCGAGTACCAACATATTGCTCAGCGGTTGCGTCTCGATATCCCTACTCTACGCGACCCTGTAATCCATGATTGTCTCCGGGAATCCGATTTGTTCATCAGCTCTTTCAATGCCATGGATTGATTTCACCGCTTGACTTTATTCCAGTGCTCGCCCTCGTCTCTGAATTCGCGTCCCATCTCTTAGTCATTGACCTTGACGGGTGGTACCATAACGTGGGAGTGCTGCTGCCCTCTATTACTTCTGCTTTGTTTCCACTGTTCGTGAATTGTTGCGGCAGTACGATCTCCGTGCCAGATTCTAATTACACCACCGAGGAAGCTCTAACTGTGGAGCGGCAAGAAAGACTGAAGGATCAACGACTCCCACCGTCCGGGAGTACTTTTTGCCCTGGGGCCGTGGATTCTTTAATCTTGGGCCAGTGCGCGGAGGGGGAGGATGTACCATGTTTGAGACATCTATAATCCATACCCCCCACGGTCGATCCGGAGGGGTATGGGTCAGGGGAGAGTCGGCTACACATACTTATTGTTGTTGCACCTCTCTCGATCAAATGCAGCGATTAGATAGCTAGAGTGCGTATGTCGCAATGCGTCACAAAAGTACGACTTGGCAACGAAGGTCAGCGAGCTAGCTGTGGGCTGCGTGGCCATTGAAGTTTTGAAGTACCCCCTCCTGCGACCCAGAGGCTGTCAGGAAACACAAATTATAGACATACAAGTCCAGTTGTCCCTCCGTTGGATAAGGGCCCATACCCCCGATACCGTTCTCGCTCTGCAACCAAACGACCAGGTGGCAAAATGCTCTGGAACAAGAGTTGGCAGGGATATAAAAAGCGGGTATACCAGCTGCATGATCCCGTAGTCTCTCAACAAAGTTCCTTGGGCCCGAGGACAGAATTCAAGCGATATCTGTCCAAATGAGATACACTGACGCTTCGAAAGTCTTAGTATTATAACAGTTTCCGGGCGCTTCGTGCAACACACTGCAGACCCATGTACCCTCTTGGGTACGACGCGACGACTTTGACGATTTGCTTGAAAAGTCTACCTATGGGTGGTAAAATTAGGCTACGGAGCGATGCAGATCACGAGCGAGGCACCTAGTCCCGGGGTCCCTGCACCTGCGTTGTTTGCACGGCGGTCAGTCCACTGATATCCTCTCCCTTTACGTGCCTCGGATCTGTACTGGTTAGGCCACTGCCTGGAGCGATCCATCACCCAGTCAACTCCGCTCATATCGTGGTGGCAGGGGATTCTGCCGGTGGAGGCTTGACCCTAGCTCTCTTGCGGGTCCTGCGCGAAGTAGACTTTCGAATCCAAAGGGGAAGCTTTCGGTGAAGTCTTGCTCCCTGCTTAGTGTGATTTGACGCACTCGCTTCCCAGTGTTCACAAAAGTACTCAAGCCGTACTTCGCAGGATGCTCCTCCGTCCATATGGTCTCTCCTGCAGAAACCTAGCTCCTTTTGGCCTCCACCGTCGCACGAAGTTACGCGTATAGTCCATAGCCGACTTCTCAAAAAGATCTATCAGATGGTCCTTCTCATTACCGAGAGTGGCAAAGCAAATGATTGCATATCCGTAGCAGACCCTTCACGTCATTCAATGGCAGACTCAACTACTGGTCTTGATGAACACGGCGAAGATGAACCTTCAGGAACACCATAGACAAGGAGGATGAGTCCATACATCTTCATGCGAAATCACGCGAAATCATGACTGTGTAAGTGCTCCCATATATTCTGCGTCAGTGTCTGGCTGAGTAACGACGACCAACGGTTACACAACATCCATGACGTCCTTCCGATCCCCCTCATCTACATGGCGTCACCGGAACTCAGGCTTTTTTGGTGGAAAATGTCAAGTATCCCTCACCGAGAAAGCGAGGTTTAGCGGGAACTATATGTATTTATGATGCCTGCCACGGAGGGCGAGGTCGCTCGTGGGGTTCAATTACCGCTCGCTATATCGGTTGCTCCTGCAGATCAGGACGCGTGATAGCCGAAGTGATCGTCTCACCGACGGTACGTTGCTAGCTACACCTTCGACCTTCGAGCCCTCCTTGCGTTCGTTTCTCTTGGCGGGGAGTTTCGTGCAGCCCTCGATTCCTGAAACATTCTTCTGTATCTCTTTTTTTTTACTCCATCGTCTCATCTTGTAAGATATTTTTATATCATTCAACGATGTACATATCTCGTACATGAGAAATGCCGAATGCTAATCTCAGATTCAAGGCTTCTTTCCGCACGAGACCTGGGGTTGTGGGAAGTGAACGGTGGCACATGTGGTTAGATAATGTCACATTTGCGTTGTCATCGCGTCGGACTCGTCGACGGCGAGTCAGCGCACATATCACATCCACTGGACGAAGAACCTGAAGTAATCGGACGATTATCGGGGTCATCGGACTTCTCTGGTTTTGACTTTTTAGGAACATTTGCTCCTAAGCCGAGTTTTGCAATGGGGGAAGATACGCCGCTCTGAGTCAAAGGCTATTACAGCAATTGCTTCTGACAAGTTTATTGCTGACACCTGATGAGTATCATTCACCATACTGCCGACTCTCGGCACCCGGTTTATCAATGGTGGTGAGTAATCCCTCGTAAAAATACAAGCGTTGTCGTGGGTGGACGCGTAAACGTGCTTGCTGAGGTTTTGGTTAAATTCATATGGTATATAAACACCGTTCTGGCAGGAGTGCACTGATCAGCTTCTCAGATGGATCCCTACTCGACACTCTCGTACCTTGCCCTCATCGTGTATGCCCTCTACAAGCGTTTCACCAGCAGCTCTCTTTCTCGAATGCGCGGGCCTAAGCCCACATCGTTCCTTTTCGGTGAGTGCGCCCTTCGCTTGTACACACTCTCTTAGTCGTTCCACAAAGGGAACCTTCCCGAGTTGTACCAGAGTCAGGCTGGTGATGCTGAGTTCCGCTGGCAAAGCCTCTACGGCGATGTCATCCGTGTGAAAGGCATCCTTGGTGTAGGTGTGATGATAGGATATATGAACTTTTTCTCATCTCCCTTCATGGCCGTAGGAGGTCCAACTATTGATTGCTGATCCGAAAGCCTTGTCGCGAATATTTTCCACCGGCTCCAATCATTTCCTAAAGGCACCCGAACGTCGGATTCGGTCGTTTATGCTGAACGGAAAAAGCGTTCTCTGGGCAGAGGGTGCGTCGAAACCTGAGCTCCCGCGGGAGCTCATCTAATAATGTCATATCTACAGGCGACATCCACAAACGACACAGGAAGGTCTTGAATCCTGGCTTTGGGCCAGCTGAGTCACGGGAATTCTTGGCCGTAGCGCAGGCATCTGTGCAGGCTGTAAGTTGCTTGGCGTTGGATAGAGCCTGATATTGACCTATTGTTAAGCTCGTCGCGCGATGGACAGAGCTTGTAGAGGCTGATAATAGTGGCAAGGTTGTACTGGACATCGCCAGCTGGATGTCCCGAGCTACTTTGGATGCAATAGCAGAGGGTAAATGTAGTAGTCAATGTCGTGTTCTGAACTTACGTTTTCACTTCTGAGTCAGGTGCCTTCGACGTCCGGCTGGGTAGCCTCGAGGATTCGGAGAGTCCACTAGCGAAAAGCTACAAGGGGATGATGTACGTCGTAGTGCTGTCTTTATTGGAGGGTGTGGCCCTCTGATACTTACATTTTCCGCCCAGGATGAGCATTTTTGGTACCCCTTCTGTGCTACAAATCTTCATCCAGGAAGCTCTTAAGTACATCCCGATGTCAATCTTCAAATATTGGGCCAAAAACTCCTCAAACCCTCGTGCTGCACGTGTCCGTGAAGTGAACAAAGTCGCCATTTCTGCCGCAAAAAGTATGGTCACAGAGAAGGCAGAGTCTCTTTTGCAAGGGAAGGGGAGCAGGGATATTTTCACGCTGCTGGGTAAGTAGGCCGCGAGGCCTATAACCCATGTAATCATATTTTTCATAGTCAAGGCAAACATGGACGCCGAGGCGAAGAACAGGCTAAGTGATGAAGAGCTATACTCGCAGATGCGGTACGCTCATGTACTGAAGATGCTGAGGATGGTAATTTTCTGAACTTACCCCTGTCGTAGCGTGATCCTCTTTGCGGGTCATGAAACGACGTCGAATACCATCGGTTGGACCCTGCTGGAATTGGCACGGAAGCCGGAGATGCAGTCGAGACTCAGATCGGAGATAAGGCAACACGAGTCCGTCATCCACGCTCGCGGCGACACACAGTTCACTGCATCTGATTTGGATGATATGCCATATCTGAATGCTATGGTCAAGGCAAGCACACATCTGATATCTCACAACGGAACGACTGAGCCCCATTACTCGCACCGTGGTAACAACAGGAAACTTTGCGGTACCATTGTGTAGCTCCTCAAGCGTTTCGCATGGCTGCCCAGGACTACGTTCTGCCCCTTTCTCGACCTATCAGGACGGAGTCGGGGCAGTTAATGCATGAGGTACTGGTCCCTAAAGGGACTCGCGTTATAGCATCTATCGCTGCATACAACCGGTTTGTGCTTTCCATCCCTTCTACCCAGAATATGCATATCAATATCATTACAGCAACAAGGATATGTGGGGTGAGGATGCTGACGTGTTTAACCCGGATCGTTGGCTAGATGGCATTGCGAAAGACAAAAAAGAGGCTGCTGCTGGTGTATACTCTAGCCTGTGGGTCCCTATATTCTTTGCGTACCCACTTTTGACCTTTCTCCTTTTCCTAGACTAACTTTCGGTGGCGGACCCCGTGCATGCCTAGGTTGGCGATTTGCGTAAGTATTGCCATGTTTTCAGCGCCACAGGACAGCTGAGCAACGACTATCTGTTGTATGAAATCCGTGGCCACCTACTGACTCCTCCCTTCCACACAGCGTCATCGAGATCCAGGCGTTCTTGGCAGAGATTGTTGGCCAATTCGAGGTATCCCTTACCGAGAAAGCGAGGCGTATTCGACGTGAGTCGTGTGCGGTGATGGTGCCTACTGTGGAGGGCGAGGTCACCTGTGGAGTTCAACTACCGCTTGCTATATCTGTCGCTCCTCGAAAAGAGGATGCGTGATGACCGAGGTGGTGGCACGTCGTTAGCTACACCGCAGATTAATGGGAGTTTCGTGGATTCGCGATCCCTGACAAATTCTGCCATATCTCACTTCTCTCCTTTTTCTTTCATTTTCGTGCTCCCGTCTGGTCGCGTTGTAAGATATTTTGTTGAACGCTGAATGGGTATATGTAGGGGGTGGCCTGTGCTAATTTGAAATGAGATATAGTTTTGCTGCACGCGATACTCGAAAGGCAGGAAAGGAAACAGGTGGGAGAAGCAATGCAGTCAATTTAGTGTTCAAACTCGCGGAATCTTGGGCTGTTACTAAACAAAAGAAACAATTCCACGAGTATATTAAAGGCCGCTTCAAGAAATGGGAACTTAGTGTGACAACGCCTGAGGTGACAAGTCTACAGTATGAGACTAAACACTCCTAAGTATGACAATACCGAGACATCCGGGTGTTGGACCCGTTGGTGCGTGACAAGGGCGGTCTCGTTGTGAGACGCGCTATAACCTTCGTAAGTAACAAGAAAAAGCACACATAGGTGCGAGACACTAGAAACACAATAAAGACGAGGTCGCGAAGGTCAATCGCGCAGCAACAATAATGTTAAGGTATAAAGACGAGAACGGAAAGTCGCTCTCACGGCCCGGAACGGACGCGTCAGGACGGAAGACGGTCTACGCACGACTTGCTAAAGCTAACATGAATTTGACGTCCAACTAGTGTGCTGGTACTTGCGCGCCGAGGAGTGTTTGAAATTTCAGAATGGTTCATCAACACTATCTCGAGGGTTTACATCGGCCAAATGAGGATGAGATCCTCCACAATCAGATACTGAGGAACCTCCAAGCAGTAACCTTCTCATTGGGACTTACGTAAGCCCAACTGCCTCTCGCGTTGTTGCATCATCACACCCACCGGAGCCATTGAGTATTATATTGATTCATAAGTCCCCTTCGCCGGCCACGAGACCCAGGCACCCTGTGTTTGTTTCACCTTTTGTTCTCTTCGTCCTTACGTGCAGTATCACATTTCGGTACACGCGTCACCATATGCCGGTCACGTGGTGTGATAGGTTCACAACCTCCACAGCCTGCAGGCCCAGGCGCGAGCAACGCGGATTATTACCGCGTGCAACGCTGTTGATTGTCTGCATGCTGTCTGCATATAAACGCTGAAACTTCTTAGATCTTGGTTTTCAACACGGGCTTGCAATCCCATCCCCTGCGGTGCACAATTTTCCACTGGTTATCGGCCTACTCGGTTCTAATTCGAAGTTCTGTGCATTAGAGCGCAATTTGCAGTGTTACTCGCTTTCTGTTCCGGCGCTTCATTAGACTTCGCCTTCTGAAATGTCGAACCCCCTCACACGTCAGGTTAGCCTCCACCTAGGACCCATCGTTCTCGAAACGTTCGTCCACCACTATTTTGACCGCCTAAAGAAGGAGAACAAGGAGAATGGAAAAGTCATCACACAGCTGAGGCAAAACAAGTTGCTGTATGACGAAGCCTTCAACATAGTCAAGGTGTGTGTTTGCCCCCTGCACCGTGATGGAGGTTGTAAATGTGACGAGTAACCTCAGAGATTTCTTGTGATTTCGTCTTAGTAAGCTTCTTTAATGACTCCTGACAATAATTCTCCCCGATTCATGTCGGGCACAGCCATTCTGTAGAAGAGGTACAGGCATTCGCTAATAACCGCACCCCTGCACCTCCTTCGGTACACGTTGTGCGACTTCTTATCCCGGTATCTTGCTGCGATGAAGCTGCGACTTACCTCATTGATGCGCTTGGTGGTGAAGACCACGCAAAACGTATAGTCGGAGGCACCAAGTGGTGGCAAGTTCGCGGGATCCCTGGGTATGGCAAACCTTCCACGCAATGTGGCTCATCTCACTTGCAGCCATCAATAGGATCGATGCTGAGTGGGTAACCTCGAAGAAAGATTGGCAAGCAGCCAAGAGACGCCGCACGCAGTCAGAGAAAAATGGAACAACCTCTCCGTCATCGCCACCCAACACTGACTCCACAGCGAACACGCAAACCTCGAATCCAGAAGCGAGCAGTACCTACCATAGGGACATGGACGAGCTTCGATGCATTCTTTACGCCCACGGTGGTATGTGAACTCACTTCACTGTCAGCACATACTCAGCGTCGTGGCTCAGGAGGTTACTATTTCGGGAGTATCGATCAAGAGAGGTGGAGTTTTCTCTGTTAGTCAGTCTACTTTATCATGCTAATCCGCTACATCTATTAGGTATGGTATACAGCGTCATGCTAGAAAAATCAACGGACGCGTATTTGGTAGGCAATTTGCTTAACGCCCACACGTGGCGTGGATCATTTACACTTATGGGATCTTAGCTATTAATTATCGCTTGGCTCCTCAATACCCGTTTCCGTGTGCGCTTCATGACCTCCTCACAGCTTGTGAGTACGCCAACGAATCAAGCATTTTGGCTGCTAACCTGAGCACCTTAGATCTGTACCTGATCAGGCCTCCGCCTGGAGCGGCCCATCAACCAGTCAAGCCCGCCCACATCGTGGTGGCAGGAGATTCTGCTGGTGGAGGCTTGACCTTAGCTCTCTTGCAGGTCTTGCGCGACACAGGGCTCCCAATGCCTGCGGGTGGAGTCTTGATGTCTCCTTGGTGTGATTTGACGCACTCGTTTCCTAGTATTCACACGAACACTGAAACGGTATGTTCCTCTCCGGTGGTTCTCAGATCAGAAACAAACCATGCTTTACAGGACGTTCTTCCTCCATATGGTCTTTGCCTACAGAAACCTAGCACTCTTTGGCCTCCACCGTCGCGTGAAGTTACGCAAATAGTCCATAGCCGGCTTCGCAAAAGGATCCATCAGATGGTCCGTCTCAATGGTGGCGAGGCGGATGATTGCGTATCTACGGCGGATCCTTTACGTCGTTCAATGGCAGGCTCAATTGCTAGTCTCGATGAGCATGACGAAGATAAACCTTCAAGAATGCCCGTTAATGTCGGAACCACCGCTTCGCTGCCTTCCGTAGACAACAAGGAGGATCAGACCATACGACTTCAGGCGAAATCAGGCGAATTGTTGACGGTAGATTCTCAAATTCAGCTCTATACCCAGAATAGTCTATTAGGACATCCTCTTGTCAGTCCTGCTGTGTCCTACTTGGGCGGGTTACCTCCCTTAATGGTGATTGCGGGTGAGAAGGAGGTATTGAGGGATGAAATCATTTATTGGTGAGTACGATGTTACGTTCGATAGTGGTGTACTAAAGTCCATGCCTGCGAATAGTGCTCACAAGGCCGCTGAGCCATCCCAATTCCCGGTGAACGATGCAGCGCGCGCGATGTATCCACCATTGGCTGGCATAGAGAGCCGGCACCGGCCCACACCGGTTCACTTGCAAGTCTATGACGGTGGGCACACGAATTCCCCTAGTCATATTCCATATTTAACTTGCTTTTAGACGCCCCGCACGTCCTACCTGTCCTTTTTGGCTTTACCACTCCAGCGAAATTCTGTTATCGTGCCATGGCAAGCTTCGTTAAGCACGTCACTGGTATGACTACTCCCATTCAACCCTCTTCACCGGGCTTGGTTGCATCACTATCACAACCCGTGTTACTCACTCCAGAGCATGAGGAGCAAGTCGAGCATACTTCGAACTCGCAATTTCTCCGACCGCTGTCTGTCAACGATCTCGATGGCCGGAGAGACGACCCACCCCTTTCTCTCGGTCCGACGAAGTCATCGATGCCACCTTCGGATTCCCGGGCTTCTCGTGTTAGCTTCTTCCGCGCGAAGTCTGCGCAAGCACGCTCAGGGTTATTAACGTCATCCCCGCGTCCGGGATCTGGGAAACGTATTCCCTTCTTTGATACCCCCAGCACCCCTGAAGCCTCTAGACAACGTAGCGAAGCGACCTCTTCAGAATCTGTGGTTCGTCACGCGGGCGAGGCAAGTGTGTACTGTGACCCGGCGGTATGCAACATCGTCACACGTGGTCAGTAGCAAATATACTAAACAGTAGTGACAGGGCCATTTCTGGAAGGAGGGGATGATATGTGAACGTGTTTCAACGCAAGGGGAGATCAGGCCCCTTGAACGGAAAGAAGAATTAGATGCTTTTTCGGTTCCCTCCAACATGATCGGAGTCATTTCGGAGCGAGCACTGCGACGTTACATAGATGGGAAAACTCACTTTGACGATCGCTTCCGGAAGGAGATAGAATCTATAGAGAAGCGGCGGAGGCGTAACATGGACCTTGAGAAGAAAGAGTTTTCCAAGGTTATCCTACATCTTCGAGAACTTCGCGATGGCAAGGACAAGGGGAAAGCCTCTACTACGGACCTTTCTAGCGGGAGCTGGGGTTGGGCGTGGGCTCTTGATGAGGACGAGCAGCCGCCGGCCAGTTGCATCGTTTCCCGACGTGACACGGACGAAGCTCGAAGACTTGCACGTATCGCGGATCAAGCTGTTCTGCAAGATGATGTTCGTCTCAGCGGGAACAATTTATGGGCTATCCTCTCGAATTTCTTGTCTTCGGGTTCTGAGTCTGAGGGAAATCCCCACTCCATTTCGGAGACTGTGGAACATGACGATGGTCATCCGACACCGAGGAAGAGCAGGTCTGCGATCGTGTTTCTTCGTTCCCGTGGCAAATCCTCAGCTCCCAAGAAACCTACCGAGTAGTATCAGTTACCACCGAACACGCTTACCCTTGAACCGATCTTTTCAATGTAATGCTAATGCCCACCTTACTAGCCTATGTTGATGGAGACATACTTGATTCACAACCTGTTCACAACATATGTACTTATTTATGTTCATATGCTACATGCGCGCACGACGCGGGCTTACCTGGAGACCAATCAGTGTGTACGCCACGGATCGATACTAGTTCTGGCAGTGAAGTGGTTTCGGAGCCCCAAGGCGGTAAAGCGCCCCTGCATGCCGTAAGGGTCTAATTGTCCGTGCGCATGAGTGACTGTTCGTTATAGCGAGCACGCGTGGCATCTCCATGGTATCACAATAGGCCCGTCGTGCGTGACTCTCATGCTCATCTTACTTCCTCAGGGTGCTTTTTGTCTTGCAAGTGCAGCGTACCGGCACCGCTATAGATAGACTCAGGATGCCACTTAAAAGCTTTCCAAGGAGTCTCGTTCCTTTCGGAATTACCCTATAATCCCCACAGGACTGGCTGGCACCAGGTCCTGTTAGTCGTTGTCGTTCTCTCATGTCTGCACCCCCCGTTATGACTTTTCCAACACAGTGCTACGGGTTTGCACCCCGTTCTGGTCCACTGAGTTCACCTCCGGATACGCAACAGGCGTGTAGCCTCGCTATGCAGTATCCCTTCGATGTGTGCGGTAGTAGTTATGGCCTCCGTCGACCCTCCCGGATTTACGGGAAAAGCCCACTGGTACATTATCTACCTTCCCGACGCAACCGACAGTGCTCGGGCTTTCCAGCCGATCAGAAGATGCTGGATTCTGACATGTTGGAGACCTTCAAGCAGTTTTGTGTACTCGTGGTCGTCTTCCTTATTTTAAGAGTCGTCGCTGATACAGTGAGTTCGAACTCTGCCGCTCCAGACTATGACGATAAGACGTCTTGCTGCAGGCACTTTATGTTTGTCGATCACCCTCTCACTCCAAGTATCTGCCTTGTCGGACGGTGCTGCCCTCCTCTCGTAAATCATCTGACCCCACTCCAACAACTGCTGCAGTCTTGCAATTCGTCTCAGACCAGATCAAATTGGCCAATTCTATGGCAACATGGACTACGAGTCTTGGCATTCGTTTCCATGAACTTCTGGAGGAGGATCAGGCGAAGTAAGTGTGATTGAACGTCCATTCGCGTCACATGAGATTCACCAGTGTCTGTCAGCCTGGAGGCGCTTCAGTGGGCAAGCTTGTTGACTGAGCAAAGCCACTTGCCATATGGTCGACGATTGACCGAATACTCCGGAGTTAACGTGACAAAACTGTTGCATACCCCTCTTATCGATCTCACTCCGCGGGGATTCATTGGTAAATCGGTATGTTATTGTACCCCGTATCTTTCGGTTGACTCACGTGTGCTACAGTTTACATATGCACTTGACGAGCTCGATCGTTTGAGTACCCTGTCCTGCCCCGACTACTCGTACACAAGAGGGGGAGAAGAAGACCATGATATTCACGCGCTGGCTGTCTACCATCGGATTTCTTCCAGCCTACTTCTTGAATACTCTGCAGCTCAACCACGCGTCAGACGATTATTAGACAGTTTGCGAATAACACACCAACGCCTGGCTTCAATGGTTGCTCACCGCGAGGATAGGCGACAATTTTACGATACTCGACGCTTTTGGTGGCGTCGAAACGACTATGCGTATGCAACTAAGCAAGAGGCATTCAGCGGGCTACTCGCTAGGCTGGATGAGGTGATCGAGGGTTTGTCTCTGCTGGCAGCATATCTTGATCGTATAACGGACGAACTAGTAAGTCCTATTTTTGAATGAGGGTCTTCCTGCTCAAATCGTATATTTCGCTTGCAGTCCAGTGTACCAGATGTGCCAGAGTTGAATCGCAAAGTTGAGGTATCGGCGTGTTTAGATGCGCTGCGAAACCTCTTCGCTCGATCTACTCTGCCCCTGGGATACTCATCTCCCTTACCCACCACTGCTCACGACGTTTCGTCTCTCGCCGGAAGGCGAATGAGAGCCATATTTTCTCTGATTCACGCAGTGGGCGTGACGTGAGGACATCTGCACGGACTTTGCATGGTACGTTATCTTTATGGTATGTATTGCTATGTTAAGCGCGCCTCCCATGTATTCCTGTGTCACTGCACGGTTACAGCTACTGTATTGTCCCCCGCTATTGTACCCCCTTCCAAGCTCTATGATATTTGGAGTCGTCTATCCTGTTCGTACCGTCCCGACCATCCACGTGACAATTGCATTTATTACCAAGTTTCGAAGTTGAGTGGTTCGGTCAGCCAACCACTGTCATCCGCAACCCGCCATCATGCCAGGACCACGAAACAAAGTCAAAGGAAAGTCAAAGACTAAGAAAGATCGCCCCCAGCCCCAGATCGCTTCTGAGAGTCAGACAGTAACGCCAGAAGCGGAACCCGCTCAATGCCTTACTTTCCAAGTCGACGAGGAGACCCTGTGTTGGAGACCCGCCACACAAGGATATCCACCTCGTTGCGACGTTCACCGCGGCCAGTTCCAGATCCTGTACAAAAGATACGCAGATGCATCCAAGGTGGTGGACCAAATAAAGTGGGGTCGACAGCTTCCCGCCAGCGAGCAAATTAGGCGTTACACGGACTGGAGCACAGTTCTGGAAAAGGCCCGTTTGGTCCGTCAGTATATCGATGCTATCCGGATCGAAACAGAAGGGAGTCTTTTACATGCCCGAAGGTTCCGTCTTGAAGGCGAGCAAGCGAATGTATGCGCTCTTTTTTGACTCTTCCCCTGACTCTTCGTCATCCCTAGTGGACGACGCACACAAGGCGCGCATGAAATTCCTCCAAAAGGAGATGGTAAACGCTCGCGACACTCTGGACAAACTGCACACTCGTGCGTATGAGCTGTACATCTCGATTATTCCCAGTGCGCGAGAGATAACCAAGTCGGCCGACGTTCGTTCACCTTCGCCGTATCCGCGTGCCTCGCGACGGACGGAAGATCTTATTGCGGCGGCAGGATCGGACTCCCGTCTTTTTGAGGTGTTGCAGGTGGAGGGCAGGACCCTTGCCCGCGTACCCGAAACGGGCAACGAAGATCTTATCGAGATCCTACTTGCGGAGTAAGTTGTCTCCTTCCTCAGAACGTACTTCTCATCATAAATCCGATCCACCCCCCTGTGTGCAGGAGGAAGCACGCGCTTCTCACCGAATTTAGTCTCTTTATGGACCCTGAATGCAAGGTCATAAGGGAAGAAACGGATTCTCCATGTGAAGAGGCGACCGAGGCTGTGGTGGAGATGATCCACCTTTGTTATCAACAGTTCGCGCGACGCATAATTTTTCATGAACCCACCCTCTTTATGAAATCACTACGCAAGACGTCTTTGGATGACTTCTTCCAAAGCAACGATTTCGACGTCGAGGATGCTGTCAGATTCATTGATTTGTTTACAGAATTGTTGGGATCTACGCTGACATGGTGTAAAGATGCGATAGCGGACGCGCTCACCATTTCCCGTGAGGGCAGTGAGGGCAGTGAGGACACTGTGACCCCAAACAACACCACCGATGGTAAGTCACAATTCTCCCAGCCTCCCACGTTTTCCCCTCGATCCAGAAATCAGAAGATAGGCTACAACTGCTCGGGGGGTATATCTTCAAGGCTACCGACCTTACGAACGAATCCTGGTGGGTGCGTCCTCTTTGCTAACTGGTGGTGCTATTCCAAGCATCAACGGCGTCGATAGTATCTCCTTAAATTGACCAGTCCGCCCAACGACATGGAGCATCGCTTCGTCCGACTTTGCCAAAATTTTGACGACCTCATAACTTTTCTTTCATTCTGCGTGTTGGGTCTCGTTCCACCTCCAAGTTTCTGTCGCAACCAGCCTGGACCTTTTGATCCTTCGCTATCGCGACTCCATTTATCGCTGTGCGGCGTGGTAGTCGCGGACATGGTGTCTCCTCCGTCGACCAATGCGAAAGGTCCTGTACCTACTTCAGGGAAAGCGAGGAAGCACGATTGCATCGTTTGGGCCGAACACGAGGTCAGGGCACACCTTTTCGCCGCTATCAGGAACGAGAGCGACGCTTTTACCGATGCTTTAATACGAGAACTACGGGCACGCCCCGACCTATTTCAAGTCATCGTTCGATCGGAAACGGATCCCGACCAAGTCGTTGCATTCGGAGCTGGCCCCGGAGAAGCTTTACCGAGCATGCGAATCCGCACCTTCGAAGCACCACCTGCACCGGCTTCGGATCCTCCAAAGGGTGATGGCGAGTGGAAGGTCAAGAGAACTGCCCTCGACCTCTTATATGGGACAACGAAAGACAACCGCGGCTATTTCACGGTCCATGCGTCGGAGAAAAAGTGGTTCTTTCGATTCAAGACGTTTACGGTGAAGTATTTGATCGTCCTCGATGCGATTCCGAACCGCGATCACAGCCATCTGGCACGAAACCTGGCTTGGGCGGCACTTTGCGCCAAAGGATACGGAGAAGGAGAATATACCCTACGCAAATACGCAGAAGCGGGAGATAAGATAGTCAATGACTGTGCGGAAGAACTCTTTGGGTGGATGCCGGTAGAATGGACGTGGTCGCTTCCACTGATTGCAGAGCAACTGGAGGTGCTCGCAGAACTGGAATTCGGAGATGTGTAACCATCGCAGTCAAGTCACGACTCGTATTTCTCCTGGATTGTTGGTTACTAGGGGCACTGTCGGACCCTTTATATAGCAGTATGATTTATTGAGTTTACCGGTTCATGTGCGAGAGTGCAGCTCTACTGAACAACGCGACGCAACTCCAATATGAACCTGTGCGGAAGCACCTAGTCCTTGGTCCAGATCCGGGAAACCGTTTGAGAAACGCTGGTCCGACATTCCGGGTCAGAATTCTGAGGGGAGAGTGACAATGATTTGGGAGGTGACGGCGATGATCTCTGTGTACGTGCTTGGGGTGCCCGTATGTACATGGGAGACAAAACGTCAGCCCAGCCGATTCCCAGCCGATTTGCGGTCATAATATCAGGAGCATCATTAGACCGACCACTGACGTCAGAGGCCCCGTCAAATCGAGCCCCCAGGGGTTGGGGCTAGCCCACGGGCCGTACCACGATAAATGCCCTGGAGCTATGCAAGAATTTGTGTCATTGATACAACCTTCCACTCATGAAAGCCTTTTCTCGCATATTCAAAAACTCTCGCAAGGGTGCGTTACGCTCGCAGGAGTGCGAGAGTGAGAGGACGAACACGGTAAACAAGAGCGAAAACAGCTCTGGTTGCACTCGGGAGTACAGCAGCCCAGGTGTGCCAAGCCCTCCTTTCAAAGATCCCACGCGGAATTTTATGGGGTCATATGCTAACAAACGCGTTACGTCCTAGACGACTCGGTCGAGAGCACGAGAACGAGAACGAGTACCAACACCGTTGCCCCTCTTCCTCCAGATCCTGACTCTGGCACCCCGATCGACTCCGCTGAGCTTGCCGACATCATTGCCAAACACGGACACGCACCAGCGACGGCATGGCTGGACAGAGAGCGGTACCATGTATGGCGACCAAGATCGCCACAGTCATCTGCGGGCTCATTCTTACCTATACAAGGATATCTGTGCGCAGATGGATGGGTATTTGCATGGGGAAGCCCAATCGTGCCTGAAAAGAAAGAGGATGAAATACGAAGGGTGGCAATAGCATTCGTGGAGTGGGTCCAATCACACCACTTGCGCCCAGTGTATTGTTGCGTCGACGCTGAGCTGGAGGATATACTGGGTAACATGGGATGGTCGACGGTGCACTGTATAAACGAGGACGTGATCGATGCGGAGCACGTGTTGGAGCTGACGAGCGAGGACGACAAGGGTGGGCATGGACCGATGGTGAAGGATTTGAAGAAGAATTTGAGGCGGGCAGCAAGGGCGAAGATAGAGGTTGTCAGGATCAATCGCGAGGAGTGGACACAAGAGCTGAGGGAAGAAGTTGAGGCTGGGATTGAGGAATGGAAGAAGAATAGGAAAGGTTTGCAATTGGCTGCTGTATGGCTATCTGTTCTTGTTGTAGACCATATTGGACTGACGGGGGGTTCTACAGACATCCTTTGACCCCTGGCTTGATTTTGAGAACCGTCTGTATTGGGTAGCGAAGAAGGGCGAAAAGGTGGGTTCGGTGTTCACACTGCATGCCGGGGGCGTTCTGAAGCATGTGCAGCTCGTTGGCATACTCATTCTGACGCCGGCTGGGGATTCCTACGTGATCAAGAACTGCGTCTCGTTTCCAGACGCACCCAAGGGAACGTCTGAGCGGCTTATTCACGATGGGCTGCAAGACCTGGACAACAAGCATGAGCAAGGAGGTAGCATGTCGGTTACGTTCAACATCAGCGCGGCAGGGGACCTTGAACCGACGAGGAATATATCTGGATGGAAGTTCACGTGGTTAAGTCAGACGTACCGGAACGTATCCAAGGGCGCAAACTTGCTCCAAAGGAGTGATTTTAGGGTGAGGATTACCCAAAAGCGCTTGAGAGATTACTGATGTGGCGAAATGGGCAGAGAAAGTTCGATGCATCCAAAGAACCCATGTTTGTGTGTTACCTTACGGAAGATGGATTTGGATGGGACGGGATAGAGACGCTGTTGAGGCTGTTGCGACGATGATAGTTATCCACGTATTACTCCGAGGTTAATCCTGGCTGAGAGAACAATTTGAAAAGAAGGGTGTGGTCTGCTTACCAATTCGGGCATGCCAAGAAGAAGAAGAAGAAGGGAGAGTGTGACAGGTGTGACGTGTGACGTGTACCTTGCAGCTCTTGTCACTAAAGTGTAGGACGTCGGTGGGCTCGATGGCCAAGACTTGGCTTGGCCCCCAGGGGTGTCGATGGCTGCTCTTCCTTTGCTACCTCATTCCCTCCGCCATGGCAGACTCGTCCTCCAACCAGTCCTCCTCCTACGCCTCCGACCCAATCCTCCGCTATCGTCCCCCCTTTGCTCAGTCTCTCCCCGTCCAGATCCTCACTACCGGAATCGTGCTCACCCTCGTCGTCGTGCTGCTTCTCCATCTTATCTTCACCGCACAGTACCACTGGCCCATCGCTCGCCTAAATTACATCCTCCAACTAACCGGCGTAATCACCCTCCTCACCTCGGTTATCGCTACCCTCTATGTCGTATTCATGTCCACCGTCCTAGAGAGCCAGCACTGGCCATACATGCTTTCTTACTTGGCTGTAGACATGCCAAAAGTACAACTCAACGGCACCTTGAACACGACCGACCCGACCGTCGCGTATCAGACCCAATGGACCTTTGCTCAGATCGCCGCGTGGACTGCTATGAATGCAACTACCTCCGTCATCGTCCAGGTCGTCTTCCCCTCCCTCTTTTGCACGCAGCTCAAACTCATGTCCATTCCAGATAACTCATATACATTTTCTGACTCTCCTCTATCCCTCCGATCTCGAGGCAAAGCTTATCTTTTTCACTCTTGGTAAATTATTTCGTTTCCTGTGCAAAGATAAGAGACCCTGAACGCACCCCTCACAGGTCCCCTTGCTATCATATCCGCTGTCATGCAGCTCCTCCCTCTCATAGCCGGTCCTAATGCCATCGGAGTATCCGAAGGCGTCCGCAACGTCTGCAATGCCGCTCTGTCCCTTCTCTTCACCTCCTCTCTCGTTATTTGGGGATTCTTTGTCAACCGAAAGCAAGCTTGGCGCACAGACGGTGGAACAGCTGCATTCGGAGCTGGCGCTATCATACTCGCACTCATCTCCACCACACTCAACTTTATTTATATACCTAGACAAGACCAGTATACGTGGATGCCAAAATTAATGTGGGCCGTCGTGCTTTGGCAGAGCTTTTTGGGCTGGTGGTGGTGGGTAGGTGCGGGTGTGGGCGTTAGAGAAGTCGAGGAGTCGCTCGCCAAGGAGCATAAGAGACAACAGAAGAGGAAACTCAGGGAACAAAGGCGGAAGGAGCAGAGGGAACGTGCAAAATCTGTATGGAAAGGTGTCACGAGCACGTTCAAGCCGACCGGTACCAGCGTGCGCACACAACAGGGTGAGGAGTCAGACGGCGGTGGGAGGCAGACGACGGGTCGCACACCATCGTCGACAACGGACACGGCGCCAACGACGTGGCGGTTGCTGCATCCCGTACACCTTGCACAGAGTTGGTTTGCGCGACTACGTCACGATCACTTGACAGCTGCACATCTCCAGGCAGTCGAGCGAGTCGAACGAATCCACCAGGTATTCGGGCGAGAGGAAGCCCGAAACTCGATGCGGGAACCGGGGGCACAAGTTGTCGGCTGGGGTCTTGGTCACTACGGTGTGCGGGAAGCAGAGCGAGAACGGAGGGAAGAACTTGGGGTCGACGAGGGAATTGCCGACCCGAGTGGGAGCAAGGTCAAGAATGTAGACAATGACGACGAATTTTCTTCGTCCTCTGGTACGGAGTCAGATGGTGGTGCCCCCTCTCGGGATCGGTATCGGGATCAGCACGTTCAGCTACGTCGACGGAGTACGAGCGGACACCATTACGCCGCGCCACAATCCTCGCCGTCACGAACGTCGTCGTCGCCAACGGAGCCGCGGCCATCGTCCCCACCGGCGCGATTTCAAGAAGTGGATGACGCCACAGGGTCGTCCATGTGGTGGTGGGGACCTCTTCGCAAATGGCGTCTACAAGATTCGACGACTTATCGGTGATTCCATTTCCGTTGCCCCGTGAAACACAAAAAAGTAAATATGAATACGCTCTCCGCTTTCGCATGCTATGTTCTTTTAGAGGCAGTCAAGGACTGCGCACCTCTATATATTGTTGTTGAGTCGCTGTAATTTTTTCTTGTAACCATATATCTGAACGGAAAATGCCACCTTTGTTGCTTGCTCAGGTACACAGGGTCTAGATTGTGCAGTGCAGTAGGTAAAGGTGACGAAAGTCCATGGGGTAATTACAAGACGAAAACCACTTTATGAGAAATCCCGCAAGCACCCCGTGCAGAATGTTCAACCACAGCTTCAATCCGCGGTGTTTCCAGTTCTTGAAGAAAGATGTGTAATGTTCCGACGAATGTCGGGGTCAGATAATGATGATCAACACTCAGGGATTCCTTCTGATCGTAGGTATTATGCTATGTATATCCCCGTTCACGGCTTCAGGCTAGAGGAAGCAGTCAGACGTGGGAAGGGGCTTGGGTTCCTGGAAGTCGAATTTCCTCTACTGTACGAGAACGCTTCGCGAAGTGGGGTCTCCTCGAAACTGATTGAGACGGAGTCTGAAAATACCGTTGAGCACTCAACTTTTCTCACGCGTAGTCCCCTGATGCTATCTTGAGACTCGACGGAAGACATTACAGCAGTTTGTGAAAATAATGTCAGTAGCAAAATATTTGTGAGCGCGTCGTTGGGCGGGCATGCGCTCGTTCTTGCTTGTTCCGTCGACGACCCCGAGTACTGACCCGTCGCCAGTGAGATGTTCGTGAGTCGAGGTGACGCCGGTAGTTATTCTCACTAGTGTTTTCATGCCAGCTTGGTACATTTCCTTATTGGGCGGAGCTCACGACGCGCTCACAAGTATTTTGCTACTGACGTTATTTTCGCAAACCGCTGTGACCGTTCGACCGCTGAGAGCAAAAGGTGCACATGTTCTAACTATCCCATATGTATATGGTTGCGATTGCAGGACCGTTCTGACGCTTCCAGTGAGTCATTTATGCGGGAGAAGCTGTACGAAGGTGAACGTGCTCTCAGGACGGCGACCAAGGATCACAACTTATTCTGCAACTTCGCGCTTCCCTGCCACTGGTAAGTGTACATGGCCAGATATATAACAGTCGAACTAGAACCCACCGACTAAATCTGCTCGCTGGTGGCACTACTACATCGCTCGTGCATCATGTTTTCTTCGTCGCTCGGAGGTTATCCGGTCCGAGGGAAAATGCTCTTGCGCGCTTCTCTTCAGTGGCGAGGGGGATGTGTGTAGATATAATACCAGTACATATGTCGGCTTCAGGCAAGTTGCCTGTCCACAATGTCACCCTCGCAAGTCCCCCAACCCATCCATGTCTTGTCTCCTGATCTTGTTGGTGTACTCAAGAATAGCGTAGAGGCTACATTGGTAGCTCTTATCAAGAAGAACAAACACACCCGCTATTTTTCCGAATCTCCTGTCTTTGCATCATTTCACAGTGCAATACGCAATCTTGGGAGGGGCGATTATGGCGGCATTTCAGATGATATCTTCCTGGAAACCTATCGTACCACGATCCCGTTAACAACCTACAGCTCTTACGAGCCTTTCGTGGCTAAATTCCTTGCGGAAACTTGTCAGGAGGACGATATTCGAGATATGTTCTCGCCTGGGTTGCCCCATCACATAGCGACCACGAGTTCGACCTCGAGCCCAAAGCCAAAGTTTTTCTGCAAGTATAAACACGATCAAGGTTCGCCTTATGCCTATGGTGATGGAAGAACGACCTTCTGGACCTTTTCCCTCCACTATCGCCAGTTGGTGAAAATCCAAAATCGCAACGGAGACATAATTAAAACAATACCCGCCGGTTTAGAGTCATCTGGAGGGGCCCGTATGCGGCATGGTTTGACAGTGGAAAATGATCACTTGAATATGAAGTTGGCAGGTAGGTCTCGTCACATCAAGCTGGAATGTCTGTGTTTTACAGTAAAATCATCGTTCACCAGGAGAATGGGCCACTTCTCCACCCGCCGTTGGCTTCATCCGCGACCATCGCACATTCTTGCTCACGCACACACTCTTTGCACTCGCAGATAGCAAGGTTGAGACGATATCTATAATCTTTATTACGTCCGCAGTCGATATGATACGCTACATGGAAGAAGAGTGGGAAACCCTGATTGCTTCCATTGAGACAGGTGAACTCCCCGCCTGGGATGAGATCAAAGATGTCCGGGAACACCTTCAAGTAATCATTTCCCTTCTAGTTAACAGTTGTAGCAAGCTGACCTGGGTATTCTATTTAGCCCCATTTTCCTCCACGCCCAGAGCGTGCTGCTCAGCTTCGTACAGTCGGTAAAGCAACGGACCAACCTGGCTGGCTGTTGAAGATTTGGCCGATGCTCAAGACCACTCTTTCCGTCAGTAGCGGTGTTTTCTCTGTTGGGGTTCCGAAGGTCAGCTTCATTACATCGAACAACGCCCTCATGCCCAGCTTCTGCATTAGTTACGATTCTACTTGGGCCCCGACGTGCAGTTGCGTAGCGTCGGGTTTGCCTGTTCCGAAGTCTACATTGCTTCAGTCTATGACCCTTCAGATCTGAATCTTTTCAAAGTCACATCACAAGACATCATCGAATACCTTGACGTGGTCAAGGAGGAAAATGCGTCTAGTATCGTCCCCCCTGTAAGCTTTTTCGCTTTCCCTTTTACCCGGCCCAATCTGATTCAAAGGAAAGTGGCTAGTTGAGGTCGGGAAACATTACGAGGTCGTGGCCACCACCCGTGATGGAATGTGGCGCTACCGTTCTGGAGATGTCGTCAAAATTGCAGGCTTTGATCCGACCGACGGCTTACCTATCATTCGTTACTTCGAACGGCGGAAGCAAGTATGCTGATATCCTCACCAAATTTTTTGACTAAAGAAAATGCAGTGTTATTACATGGATGGCAGGGGGTGCGCTGACTGAGAAGCATATCGCCACTGCTATCTTAGCGGTGCAAGATACCCTTGCCCCGATAGTCGAATTCACTGCCATCATCGATAGCTGCAGCGGGATTCCCACCCTTGGATATCTTGTTGAAGTTCATGGCGAACTTCGTACGTGACTAATATCTCCCGGGTAGTTCACGATGATTCTTACTACCACCAATTTCAAAGATCCAGAGGCCGCCAAAGCTCCCGTGAAACTACGCAACGAACTTTGTCGCCTAAACGAGGAGTTTGATCCACAGAGAATGCAGATACCCACCATCCGGGTGTTGGAGCCCGGAACGTTCGGGGAGTACAGACATTGGAGAACTGGGGTGACCAACTCCGGTTCCGGACAAACCAAGGTCCCTGTGTTGATATGGGACAATACGGCCCGAGAGTGGATGTTAGCGCGAGTCCGGAGGGAATTGGGTGTAAATTCGAACGGTAGAGCCTTGCAAGGCTGACTGTGAGTAGAGAGTGACGCTATCGACGCTATCACGAGGACACAAACAACTCATATCGCGTCTGTTTGACCAACATGGTCCCGGTCTAGTCATACTTCCTGGCGACGTCGCGACCCGAACGGAATGGCCTGTGTCATCAGTGCTCTAGATTTATGTATGTACTTAGCACATTAGGCATAGAGGATGGACCTGTCGTCGATATCAGTGTATTGTACCATGTATAATACTCATATGTCCTGACAAGTGCGACAGCCGTCTGGGCCTACTGCATGTACTTTCGTATGGACCCATTAGTTCATCCGAGTCTCTGCAGAATGCCTGGGAAGTTGTCTCCATTGTTAGTTGCGGGAAAAGCATTCCTGATGTTTGACCGCACTTTTGAATCTGCTGTTGGGAGGTCACTGCGCCGATCGAAACATGGTAAAAAAGGGACAATCAAGAATAACTATTTCTTTTGAGAAGACAGTATTTATATTTTACAAGTTGTGCCAACAAAAATGCCGCATGCAATCTACCACGCGTGATGTCCACCGCTGACAACGATGCTGAGACGTGCATGAGTAGTGAGTGCCAACGAGGACGATAAACACTAACTCGCTTCCAGTGCAGAAAGTAGACGCATCAGATGCAAGCCAGGTGATAACACCGCGAAGCTCATCAGGCCTTCCCATTCGTCCAAGCGGGTTCAAGCTGGACCACTTGTCGAGCAAGTCAGGGTGGTTATCAATGAATGCTGCAGTCATCCTGGCTCGCTCACCCGATCAGACACAAGGCTGCCACGAACATGAGAACCATATGTACGTACTTGGTGAACATATAGCCGGGGGACAACGTATTCACACGAATCTTCTTCTCTCCGAGTTCACATGCCATGCTACGTGCCATCTGCAACACAGCAGACTTGGACGAGTTGTATGAAACCCATGCGTGGTCCTGCAGCAGGTTCGTTATATCGTACGTCACATTAGGCCAAGCTTACCCTGTTGGTAAGACTTCCTGATATCGACGCGATCAAGATGATGCTGCCACCACGGCCGAAGCGTGCCATCTGCCGTCCAGCAGCCTGTGCCGTAAACAGAACGCCAGTTGTGTTCACCTCCACGACCTAGACCAAAATGTGACCATCAAACAAACGGGGTTCTGGTTCCCGTGGCATATATTACCTCTCTGAACAGGTCTGCAGAATATTCCAAGCAATCCATCTGCGGCTTGAGAACACCGGCGGCAGCCACACAAATATCCAACCTTTGCTCCTCATCGCCTATCTCCTCTGCTTTCTTCCAAAGCAACTGTTGGTCACGCACGTCCGTGGCGAAGTACTCGAGCCTCGAGCCGTTATCAAGCTTGCTGACATACTCTCGGGAAGCGACAAATTCTTCTGAAGGCTCCTCAGGAAGATCAAAACAATAAACAGCTCTCGCGCCTGCCTCGGCCAGCGCTATCGCCATCTCGAGTCCGAGCCCCCGATTGCCTCCAGACACAAGTGCCACTCGATCAGTCAAGGCAAACTCGTCAAATATTTTTGGGCGTGGTTGGATGGAAGGGTTGGCCTTCGCCTCAAGGGCAGCTTCGACGCCTAAAGGACCAAGAGGACACGCAGATTGGGCCTTTGCTCTCCTTGAGCAATAGATTAGCAACGGTGTTCCATAGGTGCCTTGATCTACTCACTGACGGACTTCGCATGACATTGTTAACTGATGAGTTCAAGCCTGCAAACTGGAGATGGGTGAGGATATTGACCAGGCCTCTAGAGAGGAGATAGTATGCGAGGGCTTTTTATATCCCCTGCACAGATAGGGGAGTCCATAAACTTTGTCCAGCTGACCCCATAACGATAGAGAAAGGAAGCCTCCGATGTTCATACGATGACCGTATGTACGTCAGCGTCCCGCTGGCACTATCAATCCGACTACCACTTTGGTACTCTGGTCAACCATGATGTAATCACCGCGATTGCCGGTGGAGCCTGAGGGGCAACGTGCCGCGTGTTGGCTGTTCACATTCTCCCTCACTTGTCTTCCACCCATAAGATTAGCTTCTTGTTTGCGTCCAAATTGACGACGACAACGGAATAAGCCCTCTATGGGACTGTGATCATCATTTTAGTTCGTCAAAATCCCTACGTACCTTCTCTCCCAAGAACCACCAAGGTATAGTCTTGAGGCTTGGGTTTATCAAAACGATCTCGCCGTGGTGGCATTAACTCGTTGAGACCGGGATGGATCGTAGAATTCATTCTGTTGCCTGCTCTGAGCGGTTTTATGACCTGTTCAGCCATCGACATAGTTGGTGGCCAAGTCCCAGGATTGATGACGATTACCGGGTGCAAGTGAGTTGGATGTTCCTCGTGTTTTGGTGATCTAGGTTGACGTTTACAACAGTACCAGGCCGCTACATATGAGGTTATCATCAACACTCTCGAACACTTACCCGGAACCGCTCTCGATGCTGCGTGGGGACTTCCTGAGCTTGCTGCGCTCCACATCATTTAGTGTTCCGGGAATTTTGACCGGTTACAGCAGTTTGCGTAAATGATGGAAATCCTCAAAATATTTGTGAGCGCATTGTGAGCTCCGCTCAATAAGGAAAAGTACCAAGCTGGCATGAAAACACTACAACCCTCCATAACCCATACCTTTTTCCATTTCCCAAATTCCCATACCCCTGACTAGCTCTCAGAAATCCCATACTCTCTCATACCCCCATACCCTATGTCCTATCCCGAATGGGTATGGGTTACAAGGGAGTCGATTATGCTGGCGATCTAGGAAATTACCCAGGTGTACCTGGTATCACAACATGAACTTCCGTTTGCTTCTTATCCTCATAATAAGCATAATCAACTTGCATGTGGCTGCCTTGCCCATGCGCCAGCCTGCTGGGTAAGATGCAAGGGGAGGGCTACTCTCCCCTTCGCCTGTGACGTGGATCCTAGCTGTTGTCGTGTTCACAATAATTGCGCCTGACAGTGACATTGACCTGCTCTGGATGATCAGTACGGATCCTGCTGTCCTGTAAAGACCTACTTCGTTGTTACCTAGGGTAGGGAGATTGGCAGAGGAGTTGGCGTGGCGGGATCAGCGCTGCAGATCTGATGAGAAGACATTTCGTCACAAGGCAAGTTTTATCAGCTACAAAGTAAGCTCACCAGGAGTAATTGACAGAGCTCTTGAATGTCTTGTTCACCTTTATTGCGGTCAGCTAGCTCACAGTGGGGTGCGCCTCACATCGAAGCGGTATTGATCCAGGCGGATCGACGACGACAGAGCCCTCATGTAAATAAGTATGCCTGTTCTTGATGTTCAGGACAAGAACAAAATGTTGAATGAAACATAAAGTAGGCTAAACATGTCTTCAATTGAGCATTCGAAGGTATCCTTTCAAATTGGTCGAGTATTCAAGTGAGTGATGGGTTGAATTATAACGTGCGGATAAATACATACGTAGAGATAGTACACTGGGGTGCATCAATCTATAGTACTGTGTTGTCCAAAGACCCACGCAAACGATGAGTCTAGGCTGGTGACCATTGTAAAATTCCTTCTCTCCTTCACTATATCCATTTCACTCCGTCTGTCTAATGTACCTGCGCTATCCGCTGATTGAAGAACGTGAACTTCTGCGGAGAAGAGCGCGTGAGTGGAGAGAGGATGGTGGTCAAAGGCTTTCAGGAGCCAACCCAGCCTCTGCGGCACCGAGTTGTGCGGCCATCAATACCCGGAACCTCGAGTCTTTTCGGCCCACAAGTTCGCGATAGGTGCCTGATTCGGTAATCCGACCGTCTGAGACGTGACAGAGAAATTGACAATGGTCATTTAAACGAACGGAAAAACAGAGGGAAACCAAGGAGAAACAAAACGTACCTTCAAGCACAACGATGCGTTCTGCGCGTGCGATCGTAGACAATCTGTGGGCAACGATGAGACATGTCGTCTGACGGTCTCGCAGGATTTTGTCAATTGCATCGTTTACCTAAGAAATCGTAAGAGCGAACTTCCAATGAGACAGAGACGTATGTCTTACCCGATGCTCCGACGTGGCGTCTAAGGAACTAGGTAGCCTCATCCAAGGCAAGTATCGCAGGTCTCTTGAGCAAAGCGCGCTGCGATTGCAAGACGCTGTCTCTGTCCGCCACTCAAACTCGACCTTCCGACTGTTATGGGTTTGGTATCATTTAAATTATTTATCCAGGGCAAGAGACGAAAGAAAGGCAGAACTCACTTTCTGTGTCGAAACCCTTAGGCATTCCCCAAACAAAGTCACAGTTAGCCTCCCGAGCAGGCCGTTTCTATCTGCTCCCGGGTTGCATTGGGGTTTCCGAAGGCGATATTAGAAGCGATCGTTCCGGTGAATAAAACAGGGTCCTATAGGGAAGCGATTGTAAGCCGAAATAGCATAGTTGTGAACGTTGCGCTCGCCTGAGGAACGATTCCGATGATATTCCTCCAGGAATTGGGGTTAAACTCCCTGATATCTAGACCAGAAATGTCACGCAAGACCTTCGGAGCGGTTTTTTTAGACGTACCTTGACCATCAAAGGTCACCTTTCCACGCACAGGGTCGTAGAATCTCAAGAGGAGCGACTGCACAGACGACTTCCCGCCACCACTCCTTCCTCTGGAAACGGACCCAGTACCAATCGTCAAACACAATCATCGCAAAAGATCACACCTACTCACACAATTGCTACACTCTCTCCGACGGCGACTTCAAGATTAAAATTGTCTAGGATTACCACGCCTCTCCGGCTTGGATACTCGAATCCAACATTCTCAAACTTGACAACGCCCCTTCGAGAGGGATCCAGCTCGATGCCCTGATTAGGGGGTATGGCAGGCTTTCGATCTAAAATTTCGAATATCCGCGTGCCTGCACCGATTCCACGCATTATAGAGGTCTAGGAGAGCAATGAGCGGGGTCGCTGACGCGAGCAGGGCGGCACATACAAAGAAGGAACTGCGAAGTCGTCAACACGATGCTCAGAAGGAAATTGGTGTGCGCCTCACGAGAGCATTTGAAGACCACTGCCAACGTAGACCGTATACAACAGTAGGCTAGTGAGGTCGCCAACAGTGATTGCGCCTTGCGCAACCAGCGTTCCACCTTACAAATGTAAATGAGGAGCGCGCGGTGGTATGGGCGTCAAAAGACTGACCATATCCTAGCAAGCCAAGCATCGTGACATTGCCACTCCAGCCCGTGCTTCCAAAGAAAATCCCACTAGCGATGGCTTCTTTGCGTACGAGGTTGAGCACATTAGTTACTTGTTCGTGAAACTTCTGCTGCTCCTGAGCATGCCCGTTGAACGCTTGGACTGTCCGAAGTCCTGACAGGGATTCTTGAGCAACCTGAATGTAAAACGTTAAAGGAATCAGAGGAAAGCAAGGAGGTTCCCTACTTTCGTCATCTCACCCATGGCTTCCTGAGTTTGATTCGACAACTTCCTAAGATAACGGCCATACCATACCTGCCGGAACAGAATGAGCGGCAGCCATATACACATAAAGAATGACTATACGGCTCCGAGTGAAACAGGAGGCACAATTCCAAGCATCAGAAGGGTCAGTTTCGGGGAAAGATAAAACATGGCTCCGACTTGACTCCACACATGTCAGTTACGTGGGCTAACTGAGGTCAGTGGCACTCACGCCCAACAGAAGACATTACGATTGCGCGAAGTCCATCAGAGAGGTTGTTTGTCACGCTGCGAAAACGACCGTCAACACTACTGAAGGTTCAGAAGAACATGTCTGGCACAACCTTTCACCCACAATACTTGAATCGGCACCGAGTCTACTTAGAACATCGCCCTCCCCCTTCTCGACAAATTCTACCTCTTGCCTCAGTGCAGCACCATACATGTTCTCTCGTAGACGGGCGACTATGCGCTGACCTTGTGGTTCGCGGAAGGTGAGGAAGCAACGTCAAGGGGACGAAAGAGTAAGTTACGAACCTGACATGCGCATGAGAAAGGAACGACCAGCATTACATACAGCGCCTGTCGTGAAGGCTAGTAGAAGAATCCCTGATGCCTGCCACGTCGTAAGTCCAAAGGGTATTTTCTGGCCAAGGTGCAACGTCATGATATGTATACGGCTCGAATCAATTTCTGTGGAACAGTTCTTACCGGATTCTCGGTCGAGAAATAGTCGATCAGTTTCCCAATCGTAAATGGCACGCTCATGGCAACGGATGAGGAGACCAGCAGAAGGAAGACGGCGAAGAGGAGTGGTTTTTTCTCTGGCTTCGCAAGCGAGATGACTTTGCGAAGAGACGAGCCGGTAGCGGGGCCAGACTGTAGCGCAGAGGGCAATGTCCGAGAAAATATACTAGACCGCTCCTTCGGCTGCGGTTGCGTAGAATAATGTCGCGCAAAAGCAACCCGAGATATCTGCGCCAACGGGACGTGTCTCGACTGTTCATGGACGAACAGGAATTTGGCATTGAAGTGCACAGGTCGATTCCAAGGATTAAGGCGACATGGCGACGCCAGTACCTGGTTCCTTGCTAGATGCAACACGTACGAACCAATCATTACTAGAATTTTGTCAGCCTCCAAAAGACATTAGGGATTCGACGAGAGAATCTTGAGGAGCTTGGGACTTGCAAAACAACCGAAGAAACGTCCGGCACACACGACACGCCGGTCAATATGGTCACGTGATGATGCGATCGACTGCATATCGACACTAAGTCGTAGATAACACTTACCGATTTTCACGAGTCTTAAACAGGTTTTCACACATCGCCGAGAAAAATGTGTAGTCGCTGCCTCAATTCAGACGGTGACGCTGTTATAAAGCGACCATCTCAACAAACACTTCATCGACTCTGCGACGACCACTACACGTCAATGGCGCAGGTGTACAGAGTCATGAAGCTAAGTGACACAGAGGGCCGCAGATTATCTGTGAGTCCCACGTAACCCTGAAATCATACTAATTGATTCCTGGAGCTACATTTTACAGATTTGGGTGAAAGAGGTCATAATCAAAAGCGATTTCGATTTGGAGAAATCGTATTTGAAGCATACACAGAAGGAAATACAGAAGATCGAAGAGCTGGTATGCGGTGTACCCTACGTAGTGTACCGTGAAGTAAAATGACATTTTGCAGGTCTGTGAAAAAATCTGCGACTTCGACAGATACGAGGACAATTGGGCTGCCGGTGTGCTTGTAAAGCGCCTTCTCAAAAAACGTAGAGGGCTTTTGGGTTGTCGGTTGGTGAGCCTTGCCTTACCCTATTGAACGCGTCCGATTCGAATGTTAGAACCATCCCAGGAACTCCAATATACTGTAATTTTTTTAAATTTTAATTGCTGGGTTAGCACTTGCTGAGATTCTACTGTTAGACACGTCCATCAAGGACGAATGAAAAATTACACTGTTCTCAGTCGAGGATAGACGATGGATTGGTACTTTTTCGATTCCAAGAGTCGTTACTTACTAATATCGTACCAGATGCGGCCAGCAAGCACCAGCAAAAAAACAGACAGCGTCTGTTCTCAAAGGAAGGATGATGGATGGTGGTCACAGAATACCCCCATAAGTCGTCAAGGCCATAACAAACTACGTGAATTCCTTGACGAGCTTCATAAGACTCATCTTTTGTTTGCGCTGGTCAAGGCTGGAATCACAGGGAATGTCCAGTTTGACTCTTTTATTAACATGTCATCCGCGGTGAGAAAGGCTTTTTTGGTTTCTGCTTTGGATGACACACCGCATGAGGCGGATGCGATTCAAATAGCAGCGTTGCAATATGGGACATAAGGAGTTAAAGGCCAATCCAGAGCCAATCAAATGTACAGTAATTCACATTGAAGGATGATCGTTCTATTTCCTATGTAACAACTTTATAATCAGGCGATGACACCCCGGAGAATATCTGGCTGTGGAAATAACTTTGTCAACAGTTCCCGCGGGTCGGACAGCTCAGGTTTACTGTCTATCCGACGACCAACCACATCCACCAAGTGTCTCTCGATCCACCGTATCACTATACTCTCCTGCCAGACACCGTTCGTCCATACGGCCAGTGGGCCATTCCACTGGTCACGCGTCGACGGTGCCTTGTCTGCAACAATGTCACTCCAAGTAGTAACCACAATTGAAGTAAAGGTCTTACCCTTGCAACACTGCATAATCGTTGAGGGGAGACGGCTCCATACTAGCCAGGACATGGAGAAGCGGTGACAGGTTTATTAGGTAACGAACATTGGCAATGCGATTCCCTCCGAATTTCAAGTCCACGGTGGCTATGTCGTATAGTCGCGGTCTGAACTGTTCTGTTCGTGTTCGTGGTTTAATGATTGCAGTTAGCGTGATTTTGGACCCGTAACAATAATACCCTACGAGAGCAGTTCAGCCGTGTAGGCAACTAAAAGAAAAATACTCACCGAGGACATAAGGCAAACTGGGACACGTCCATACGAAGTTACTCCTCAGTTCAGCACTAGAATGCTGTGGGTCGCATGGTCCCTTTTCCTGACCCTGAAACAGGCACGAGCCATCCAGAAGGAAGGCATATTCAGGACGACACTCGAAGTCGCGGAAACTTTTACCGCGCGGAATCATGAACTTGAGGAGTTTACCGACATTAACGTCCCAAAAGGAAATGAAGTCCCGCTTTGTGCTGCCCGTAGGCACTCGGCGAGTGACCGCACAGAAGACTGGATAGAAGTATATGCTAGTTCCGCCAATTCTGAAAAGACTGCGGAGGTCATCGGCAGTGCACTGGTCGGAGTCATCTTTGGAGACTAATGATTGAAACTCGGGCTCGGGAATAGGAATTTTCTCGGCCTCGGATAATGGGGCTTCGAGGAGTTTACGCAGGTCCTCTAGTTCCGGAGGAACGAGGTCCATGCATCGATTGTTCATCCACATGTCGACAATTTCGGCAGCAGTAACTATACCAAACACTGAAAATCTCGAGTTCGAAATACATCAAGCGTTGGCCTACCTCGGGGTTTGTTTGTGAACACAACAACAACTCGACCCTGGGGGACATCTGACTCGAGGAATGATAAGGTGTCACAGGGGGAGAGGTGGATGGCCTTGTCTGCAAAAAAAGCCTTGTCTACCGCCCCCAGTTCATTTGCAATGTCCCCAAGCCTGCGGCAATAGAAATCGCCAGCAGCATTGCGCAGCTGAATAAACGTGAGCTGCGAGAGGTAATTTGGAGTGAAATTTTACACACCTTGTAGACCTCGACATGAATTCGACCCGGTTCCAAGTCTGCAAAACTGCAGATTGACATGGAAGCATGATCTAATAACATCTGGACTTTGCTGTTGTTGGGGATGTTGGTGGTTTCAACATTGTAAATCTTGCATGTTCCTGATGGTTTGAGCTCATATATTATATAAGTGATTCATAGCATAGTCTGAATGCAGGTGGTGGCAGATGGTGGATGAATGAATGAAGGGGGTGCTGGCTCATGACAGTACTATAGTGGCACTCAAGGTGGCGCTGGAAGCACTCTGGAATTGTTCTGGAATGGCATCTGCAACTGGCATTGGCCTTGTGGAGTTTGAAAAGTTATGTCTCCTCTACAACCACACATTTGGTGCTCTGCTTGCCTGCAAGCAATCTCAGGTCAGCCCATGGTGTTGTCACACACCAAAGGTGTTTGGTGAGGTGGACATGGATACAGCTGATGAATGGAGATGAAGACCATAGCCCTCATGTGAAGAAGGACAGCCAGGAATGTTGGCAGTCATCCCTCACACAAGAACAAGTCATCAGTGCCAGAGAAAAAGAAAGGGAGTGAGTTAAGTGCTGGCTAAAATTCTTAAGCACCTGTGTATGGCATTCCAGTTTTTGACATATCTCCACCATTTCTGCAGATAGCAAGACCATTCCCACACTTGCTTGTAGTGCTCAGCCACATGATCTTACCTTCCAAAATTGGAAAGGATTTGTGCACTCCACACATTTCTACAGCACTCCCTCCAAAAGATGCTCATTTCACTAAATTCTTCTGATATGGCCACCTCTACATCAATCATTTTGCTTGTCCCCTTTGCTAGGGACCATGGCTACATATATCTACCAGGGGTTCCTACCAGCTTCCATCCTGCAGCATCCTGGTACATCCCACCCTTGCCTGTGCCCTCTCAGCCCATCCAGCAGACAGTGTGTTCTTTTTGTCAGTATGACCTCCAGGAGGACATTCTTTGGTCACCTCAGGTCTGTCATTTGCTTGGAAAGGTCTTATGTGGTCATTTCAGTCTCTCTGGTCCAAGAAGCATATGGATCCTTCCTCCCTGCTCCCTGCAATGTCTTCATACTGGTCTCATCCATCATTCTTCCAAGATTGTGACAGCTACAGTATAATCTACTGTTCTCCACTCTCCCTGATCACATCCATGATGAGTATGATGCACATCTTGCCTCCTTGTTGCAAGATACATCAGAAGACACTCCCCCTTCATCCTCTCTTCCAACAGAGCCTCATTCATGAAGTTTTTATTTGCTTCCCTGAAAGGATGGGGGGGAAAGTTGCAATCCCCTATGCTCCTGTCACCCCACAGACCCCCAAAGCTTGACCCCTGTTGACATCTGACTCACCCTGTCCACTTTTGGATGTACGATATTGGCATCAGATCAGTCCTGCCTCTCTGTCATCCCACCTTGACCTAGAAGTGATCTCTTCAAGATGTGACATGCACAGCCTCCCCCTAATGCGATTCCAGTGCGCTTTCCCAGTTCCTGACATTACTTGACTCATACTTTGATGTTCTGACTGTCTTTGACTCACCTATTGCCAATACTTACCAATCTTTTGACTTTGCTTACTGATTCTTCACTTTTTGGCTTGCTAATCCTTACCAATGCTTACCAATGCTTTCCAAGATGATTACCCATTGCTTACATTCCTTACTCATCAGTTACCAATCACTTACCAAGTGTTTGCACCTTGTTTTCCAAGGGCAACACCCCTGTACTGTATATAAATCACTGTACTTAGATAGCAAAGAAGAAGACATCAGAGAGCCCCTCTTGCTTGCATTTTATCATCACTCAGTAATTCATTCAGCAGCTTTGATAGTTGAGACTTTATTAAGGGTCTGTTATGCTCGGGCATGGTGACTTCTTCAAATGGAATAGGCACGAAGCACGAGAGTAGGGAAGACTATGGGCCGAACTTATCATAACCCCTATGGACAAGGTATTGCTGAAGTCTGACAAAGGTCTTGTCTACTGGCGAGTCCTTGAAGGTTGTTCACACGGAGAGAAGATGAGGACGAAAGCAAAGTTATTAGCTTGGTTGCAAGTTATTGAAAAACTGCAGATACAGGACGAAGTACATAGGGTTATATACTCCTAAGTACGAGTACCGTACCAGTCACGACAGACGTGTCGCGATGCATATCCACAGTAATCAACAAAGTCATCAATGAAATATGAACGAGTCATAACGAGTCAAAGGACAAAAAGGGAAACTGATCAGCACTGCCAAGCCAGCCTGTGCGAGGCGGTGTCTAACCGGGACTATAGTACAACAAGTAAGTGACATAAATGAGTCAGAGAGAGTCACCAGAGCAAGAAGTAAACAAGTTGTCCATCAGAGAGGGTGGTGGAATACCAGATCACGGGTAAGGAGTCTCGACAGGTATTGGAAATACCTGGACAGCAGGTGATCTGAACGTTCCACAGAGCATACGCACTCCTAGAATAACGACGACTATGAACGACGCGACAAGGCACGTGACACATGTGACTGCGAAGAGCCAAAAAAGGAAGGAGCCCTGATGCGGGTGTAACATCACCCCCCCCTCAAGGTCCTCAGACCCGTGAGGACGAGGTTGGAGTGGCATTCGTGGGGCATGTGGAAAGGGGTCAGCGAGTAGTATAAATGTGGGAGCGCGTTTGAGAAGCAATGGGCGCAGATGGCGATGGAGATGGCGGCTCCTCGAGGGCCGGAGTAAAGTGGGAGCCACGCCCATTCTGGCACGACCAATGTCCCAGGTAACGACACTGGAAGCAGGCATGCTCGTACAAGGGGTGTCTGGCAGGAATGGGAGACTGCCCTCCAAGGTAATACCATAATTGATCAGAAGGGATGGGGACGAAGGGAGCTGCAGGGAGAGGGTCGGAGGTGTGGACGGCATTAAAGTAGTGTTTGTGAATACCGGCCCACGACGCGTCCTGTAACAAGACCTCCCAAGCAGAGTTATGAGTCCCAGTTCCCAGTCGTGCCCCTACCTCTTTAAACAACTCGCTAGAGTCTATGAACCCTAGTTCCATGGCGTGCCAGTGCTTTTCCTTCTCCTGATCCGTTATGGTATTTTTGAACTTTTCACCCGAAGCCGATGGTTCCTCTTGCTTCGGTCTGATGTGATCGAGAAGCTGAGAAGCCAGCAGTGCCAAGAACTTTCCTATTTGTTGTTGTTGAAGGTGATGATAGGCGCCTCTGGTGACAGCTTCGGTAAGTTCCGATGAAGCTTTTTCCAACATGTCGATCATGATGGCTTCTGATAGTGGGGTGGTTCTGGAAAGCTTCTGAGTCTGAATCTTCGAGACAAGGCCGCTGATCATGTCTGACGCTCTGTAGATTTGAGACAACAACCCAAAATACACAACCTGTTCTGGTGAGCACCTGTCAATGTCATCCCCGTTGTGGAAGACATCAAGTGCCCTAACAATGTCCAAGTAGTCAGCTGCTGAGACTGGTAATCGCTGCTGGTCAAGCTGGGCAGAGGCGGCGGACACAAGGAGGTTGAGGGCAGCACGTTGGGCACTGTCAGAGTAGGTGGTGAAGGTGGAGTGTAAGTGGGTAGGTTCGGGAGCATCGGTGGGACTGGGGGCAGTTGACTCGACACCAGGGTCATTGTCAACGACTGCCTTATCCTTTCCCTTTCGGTTACTGCCTCCAATGGGGGAAGCTCTGGCCTTGGGGACCGGGAGGCGTCGGATGGAGAGACCCTGGAGTGGACGCAGTCTGACAACATGGGAGAAAGGGGGCGATACCGAGTGGGGCTGCGAGAAAGGCAACGAGTACCCGGAGACATGAAAGCCAGAGGGGGTGGTTGGAGGCGAGGCTGGGGCATAGACAGTGACAGGGGGTATGAGCCCATCGTTGGCAGCATCGTAAAAGGATTCTGAGGGGCAGGAGAGGTTGGCATAGTCGTTTTCAGTGTTGACAGAACGAGGGGAGTCCATTAAAACTTCAGGTGACAGGCAAGTTTGTACTGCTCCAAGGCGTCGGAGGCATGGTCTTTTAAGTGTTCCTTGGGTTCCCACGTATTTGACGAATGAGGGAAACCTTTCCACTTAACCAGATATTTTCATTTACCTCTCCAACCTTCGGTCTTATGATTCAGCACTGACTCGACCTCCCACTCAATTTCATCGTCAACAAGCTCCGGAAGCAGTGTTGGTTCCGCAGTTCCATACGTCTCGTTTTTGGTGTATGGGAAGATCTGAGAGGCATGGAACACAGGATGCACCTTCCAGGTAGTGGGCAGGTCCAATCGGAAAGCAACTGGCGACACGACCTGAGTCACCACGAAGGGTCTGAGACATTGGGGCGTGATTTTGTCACACTGGTTTTTGATTCAGAGATGTCTGGTATCGAGGAGTACCCTGTCTCCAACCTTGGGCGCAACATAAGTACCTTTCGAGCACAACCTCATCAGCTCCTGTGCCTTCTTGTGGCTAAGGATGGCTACATCCCAGTTTGATGCAAGACGTTCCAGTCGTTCGTCTACCGATGGAACAGGAGTGAGCCAAACTTCAGGGTATGGGGATGGGTCATATCCAAGGAGTAGGGAGAAAGGAGTCATTTGGTGGATGGAGTGGATACGCGAGTTGTGAGTGAACTCGGCAGAGGGAAGTTTAGCAGCCCAGGAATTGGGAAACTCGGTGCAGTACAGCCGAAGGTACCCCTCCACTTCTTGGTTGACGCGTTCACTTTCCCCATTGGTCTGCGGATGGTATCCTGTCGAAAGTTTTGTTTTGACCCCTATCGCCTTGTAAAGTTCTCGGGTAAACAAGGATGCGAATTGGGGTCCACAATCGGAAATCACCGATTTGGGAAGTCTGAACCAGGTGTAAATGAAACGATGGAACAGCCGCGCCAAACCTTCGGAATCAACTGTTTTGTGGCAAGGCACGAACAACGCAGCCTTCGTAAGTCCCTGATCAACAACTGTCAGGATGGAGTCATATTTTTCTGCCCCTGACACGGGAAGATCTGTGATCAGGTCCATCGAGATTTGTTGAAACGGGAAAGCGGTTGTTGCAGTTTCATGTGGGACGACCGGAGGTGTCAGCGGGTGTGTTACCACCTTGGTAGTTTGGCATAGTGGGCAGCCTGCAACGTAAGCTTTGATATCGCATCCCATACCTTCCCACCAGACCTCTTTCCTCATTTTCGTGAACATCGCTTTCTGGCCGGGGTGACCGGCACTTTCGTGGTCATGGTACATTTGCATACAATGGCGGCGGTGGTTGGGCAGAATATAG